GCCCACCAAGCCACACCACGCCCACCAAGCCACACCACGCCCACCAAACCACACCACACCACACCCACCAAGTCACACCACACCCACAGAATCGGTAGTAAAAAAAAATGTGGATTTCACCACTGGTTTCGGGATTGTTATGTGTGTTGGACCTGGTCTTTGGGTGTTAAGTAAATTTCGTTGTATGGGTATACTGTGTATACACGTACAATGACAATAAAGTTATTATTATTATTATTATCAAGGGGTCATTCCCAATTTTCTCACCTTCTTCGGAGAAGTAAGAGCAGAGAAGTTGGTTTTGGGCTGCATAAGACAAATGCAGGATGTTGATGGCCGCAGAGTCGGTGAGCGACCCGCCGAAGCCTTTGACATATTGGTGCCGAACGGAGGGATCGTAGGTGTAGAAAATTCCACCTGAGATAACAAGAATGAACAGAATGAGCAAAATAAGGAAGGGACCCTTACAGGTCATCTAGTCCAACCTCCCCAGATTTACCGGAAGCTCCTGACTTGGCAGCTGTTTTCCCTTCGCTCCGCTCCAACCGTTGGCCGTCCCTGCTGGTTGTGTACTTGACAAAGCTGCCGACGTCAGGGAGGGAGACCGGGTCCACTGTGTCACAGTATGTCGCGTTGCAAACGCACACCATTGCAGTTGCGCGAAGGTATTTAGGACTACAGGGCTGGCGTGCTAGAGATCGACCAAAATTGGACAGGGGAGGGGGAAAAGTAGGTGAATTTAGTCCCCGCCTACCAGCGCAATGGAGCCCCGCCCACTTTTCCTTCCGGCTCCACCCACAAAAGACTTCCTGAAGGCTTCCCCACTGACCTCTGACTTCAACCATCCCTAAGAAGACAAGGAACAGCGCCCCCAAAGCATTCTGTGTCTGCATAGCAGCCTTGAAACATCAGCCTCCGAATTTTAGAGAAAATTGCCTGCAGGGGGAAGAAAAAAAAAAAGATGGATTTTTTTTGGGGGGGGGCATCCTTTGCAAAGCTGTTAATTTATTCATGCACAGTTCCTGCAGCCCAAATCCTAAATCTACTGCCTCCTCCCAATCTATTCTATACAAGAACCTTGGTGGCGCAGCAGACTAAAGTGCTGTTAAATAGCACCAGCTGCCTGCAATTACTACATGTTCAAATCTCACCAGGCTCAAGGTTGACTCAGCCTTCCATCTTTTCGAGGTAGGTAAAATGTGGGGGGCAATAAGCTGACTTTGTATAAAAAAAAGAACACCGCTTAGGGGGGGCCGAGAGCCCTACTAAGCAGGTATATACAAAAAAAAGTATGAAGGCTATTGCTTAACGCATTGTAAGCTGCCCTGAGTCTCCGGAGAAGGGCGACATATAAATCGAAGCAATAAATAAATATTCCTTGCAGGACGTAGCCCCCACCACACCCAGTGACTCTGCTGTAAGGTTGGGAGTCCAAGCTAGACCGATTTTATCTACCAGATGTTTCGCCTATTCTTCCCAAGGACCCGTTCGGTCAGGGATCAGCAACCTGTTGCTCTGGTGCTTCCATCCGATCTACAACGAAAAGTCCTTCCGATGCTTGTAAAAGCAAATCAAGCCATTAAAAATGTTGGTTCATCAACAGCCAAGAAGCAGATGTTAAAGACAGAGACAAAGATCCAAGAGAGGAATTTGAGAGGCATGTAAAAAAAAAAAAAAAAGCATAGCAATTAAAGTATTGAAGCGGGCAAGAGACGATGGATAGATGATTTCTTTTTTATGTTGTTCTGCTTTGCTTTTCTCTCTCCTTTTTTTTTTTTCTTTTTAGGTAGGTGACATGAATAGAAGTTAGGTAGGATAGAAAGAAAGTGTCTTTTAATAAAGGGTGACGTGATTAAAAGTTAGAATAAGAGACAGAAATAAGAGAAGGGGGAATATTAGTGTATACGCTTTTATATAATAAAATAAGAGAAAACATGGAATAATTGAACAATGACAGATTGCCTTTCTAATGTTCCCTTTGATCATGCCTAATAAAAAGATTTCTGGTTCTAATTCAATAAAATATTTAACACTACATATAATTACGGTGGCTAAACTGGCACTAGGACAATTGTGGAAAACAGATCGTTTGCCAATGGATCAGAAGGTAATACAAAAAATTTATACATGTGCAGAAATGGATAAATTAACCTTACAATTAAAAGACAAGGAAGACTCAAAATATTTTAAAGTATGGAATAGATGGTACAAGTGGATAAATCAAAAGAAAAAAGGGTAAAGACAAAATTCAGGAAAAATCAAATGTAATAAATAAGCACCGTCAGGTAGATAGAATAGGTAATAAGTCACTGTTTATATATGTGTGTATATATAAAAACATATATTTAGTTTGTTTGTGGTGTTGTATACTGTATATGTAATTTTATGATTGAGAAAAATTTGTATATTTTTTCTTTTTTTTAATATTTTTAAACTTAATAAAGTTTGTTTTTAAAATTCAAAAAAGAAAAAGAACAATGACGGATTGCAACTTAATATAAATGTGTATCATTATTAGAAATATATAAGTTGATTGAATGTAATAACCATGATGAATTCTACTAGTTTTATTTGTACTAGAATGTATGACATCCAGGTGCCACGCTGTTCATGCATTGATTTGATATATTTGTAAACAATAAAAAAATAATAAAACTTAGGAGGGCGGAATGTTGGTTTGAATTGCCAGAGGTTTTACATCACAATCGATATGTCGGGTTGGTTCCCCTGATGCATTTATAAGACGGTTTAGCCCTCAAGCCGCACAAGTCAAAAGCGCCGTATAAAACATTCCCCACTTATTCCACAATCCTAAAATCACTTTATCCCGCATCCCGCAACCCTGAAATACTTTTCATCCAATTTGCAATCCCGTTCAAACTTGTTTTTCCTTTCTGCGATCCTGAAATTATTGTTTCCCCCATTCCACAATCCTGAAATACTTTCCCCCTAATTTGCACCCTGAAACCATATTTTTTCCCCATTTTTCGGAAATCAGAATTTTCCCCGTTCTGTGATCTTGAAATCACTTTTCCCCTCCATTCTACGATCCTGAAACTGCCACCCCTCCTTTTAACCTGGCACCGTAATAAACACAGGATTGTAGGTGACATTCCTACCTGTCGGACGCTTTATTTCAGAACTTGGAAAGCTGATGTATAGTTCCCAGGGAGAAGAGAATAAAAACCAGGCGATCGTAGCTGCTAGCTCAACTCTTGTATGCTTGGAGGGAAGCCAACAGCTCTGGCAGCAAAATTTACGACGCTCATCTAAAATGAGAGCTGGAAGACCTGACTGGCTTGGCCAGAAAAATACAATGAAAGAACTTCCACCGAATGTCAGTTATTACCTGGATGAAACTAAAGGAAGTTAGAAATGGAGAACTGAAGCTGAGTCAGCAATTCCAGAGGAATGAAGAAGTGGATAAGGAGAGATCTGGAGATCACCCAAAAGTGCCTCGGGCAGTTGCTCCTCACAAGAGATCATGTCAATTGTCTCCAGCAGGTTTAATGCTCCAGAAGATGACCCATCTTCCTCAAAATCTATATATATATTTAACTGTATTTTAATATTTGTATTTGATGTTTTTATTTGGCTGTTCACCGCCCTGGGTCCTCAGGGAGAAGGGCGGTATACAAATTCAAAAATAAAAAAATAAAAAAATATGATGGACACCTTTAAAATGACGCTGGGTTTGCATATTTCCTTTTCTTAACAACTTTTGCAAATGCTTGTTAGCAGCTTTTCGAATGTTAGGAACCTTTAACACAGGGGTGGAATGCTATTTCCGATGATCAGCTGTGCCACACGATTTATATTCTAAATCACGCGGCACAGCTGGTCCCCCCCCCTTGCTGTTCTACTTACTTTCTTACGCCTCCTTTTTCCTTTTGCACACACGCAGGCAGCAAACCGGTGTCAAATTGCGGAGGATTTCGCCACTCCTTTAACCTTCCATGTTTTATTCTACTCGGTGAGTTTTTCTCAATTTCTTCGATTTAGCAAAGAAAGTTTTAAGTACAAGTTTAAAGATTTAAAAAACTTTTTTTTTTTTTTTGGAGAGTAAACAGAAAAAGGGTGATTGGAACATGGATTTTTGGAAAGGGGTAAAGAGACAAAGATGAATTTGAAATAAGATTTTGAAATTAATCGTAAGAAAATTTCCGGGAAGGAACTGCTGTTGTTTTCAATTCTTAAAAAAAAAACAAAAACTGATAAGATGAGAATTTGAAGGTTGGACACTAGAGGGAACCAGAGGGAGCTAAAAATATTTAGGTAGTCCTTAACTTATAACAGTTCATTTAGTGATCATTCAAAGTTACAATGAAAAATGTAGTTACAGGCACTGAAAAATGTGACTTAGGATCGTTTTCAACACTAACTTGGTAGCATCCCCATGTGATCAAAATTCAGATGATTGGCAACTGACTCATATTTATGACTGTTGCTGTGACAAAGTCAATGAGGAAGCCGGATTCATTTAACAACCAGGTTACTAGCTTATCAACTGCCGGGATCCACTTAACAACGGTGGCAAGAAAAGTCGTAAAATGGGCCAAACTCACTTAATGAATGTCTCACTCAAGCAACAGAAATCTTGGGCTCAATTGTGGTTATAATTCAAGGACTACCTGTCCATTAGAGAACACTTAATGATCTGAGTTACTCATGCAGAAGACAACAAATATTTTAATCTCAGACATAATGGTGTTTGCGAACAACGGATGCAGAATTAATTTTAAGATTGTCTGCCATTATAGATAAATTGAGTTTAAAAGGTGTTATGGAAGAAGAACAGATTTTACTGGGCAAAACTAAAATTGATCTGAAAGTGGATTTAAAAATGATATGGAAAAAAAAAGATGCCATGTTAAATATACAAATGAAACCGTCTGATGTCTTAATAATCCAAGGGGTAGGCAGAATGCAAGCTGGAAAAACAACTTGCGTAACCTTCTTATATTGGATTTACAAAAGAGGCTTATTAAAGCTTTGAAGAATTTTGTGAGAAGGGACAAAGAAGAAAGATAGAACGGAAGAAAGAAAGAAAGAAAGAAAGAAAGAAGAAAGGAAAGAAAGAAAGAAAGAAGAAAGAAAGAAGAAAGAAAGAAAGAAAGAAAGAAAGAAAGAAAGAAAGAAAGAAAGAAAGAAAGAAAGAAGATAGTTCTAGGACTTTATTTAGAATTAAGAGATTCCAGGGAGATTATTTGAATGGATTAAAGATCAAGAGCATTACAACTAAGATATGAATCGAGTCAGCCTTCAAAGGGGAAAAAAAAAACCTAACATCTCTGAGTCACTTCTAATATGTTTCGATGCAAAACAACGGCATGAGTTGTCAGGAAGAGACAAAACCAAAATTAAAGTGTATTAGCTAACTCCTTACCCATAGGAAGATTTCAGCACCTAGTGACTCACCTGTTTTTTGTTGTTTTTTTTAAAGTTAAAGGATGTAAAAGCTGGTATTTTTCAAATTGGCAACTTTAAGATGTGTAGACTTCGGCTCCCAGAATTCCCCAGCCAACATGCTGACTGAGGAATTCTGGGAGTTGAAGTCCGCATCCCGTAAAGTCCTCGAGTTTGAAAAAAAATGTTGTTCTGAGACAGTGAAGGCGAACCTTTTGGGCACCGGGTGCCCAAACCGGAGCACACATGCATGCACTTAGATGTGCGCACGCCGGAGCACTGACTGGCACATGCCGGTCAGCTGGTCTTCGGTTTCCGGCACACACATGCACGCCGACCGGCTGGTCTTTGCATGCGCCGGAGCACCGGAAACCTGAAGACCTGAAAACTGCCCGAAAAACGGCCTGAAAAAGACCCAAAAAAGGCCCAGAAAACAGGTTGTTTTGGGGCTGTTTTTTGGACTGTTTTCCAGCAGTCTGGCGCCCACGAAGATCAGCTGGCTGGCGTGCCAGAAACCAGAAGACCTGAAAACACCCCAAAAAACGCCCTGAAAAAGGCCCAGAGAACAGCCCAAAAAGGCCCAGAAAAAGGCCCAGAAAACAGGCTGTTTTGGGGCTGTTTTTCGGACTGTTTTCCAGCACTCTGGCGCCCACAAAGATCAGCTGGCTGGCGTGCCAGAAACCAGAAGATCTGAAAAGTGCCCGAAAAACAGCCTGAAAATGGCCCCCAAAAAGGCCCAGAAAACGGGCTGTTTTTTGGACTGTTTTCCAGCACTCCCGTGAAGACAAGCTGGCTAGAGCACCAGAAACCCGAAGACCTGAAAACTACCTGAAAAACGGTCTGAAAATGGCCCGAAAAAGGCCCAGAAAACGGCCCAAAAAGGCCCAGAAAATGGGCTGTTTTGGGGCTGTTTTTCGGACTGTTTTCCAGCACTCTGGCACCCGCAAAGACAAGCTGGCCAGAGCACTGGAAACCACCTGAAAACTGCCCAAAAATGGCCTGAAAATGGCCAGAAAAAGGCCCAGAAAAAGGCCTAGAAAACGGGCTGTTTTGGGGCTGTTTTTCAGATTGTTTTCCAATACTCTGGCGCCCACGAAGACCAGCTGGCTGGCGTGCCGGAAACCAGAAAACCTGAAAACTGCCCCCCAAAACAGCCTGAAAATGGCCCCAAAAAAAGGCCCAGAAAAAGGCCCAGAAAACAGGCTGTTTTTGGACTGTTTTTCGGACTGTTTTCCAGCATTCTGGTGCCCATGAAGATCAGCTGGCTGGCGTGCCGGAAACCAGAACAGCAGTTGGCAACGGCACGAGTGCCCACAGAGGGGTCTCTGCGTGGCACCTCCGGCACACATGCCATAGGTTCACTATCACGGTTCTAAGAGCTGTGACTTTATTCAGAGTATAAATAACCTTCAGGGTATAATAACCTTCCTGAAAACTCTGGGATTAATTAGGCCATTAATTCATGAAGTCATCTATGAGTTCGTTAATTAAGGCATCCTGTGCTGAAGTGCTGAAAGTTTTGACGTAGCCCTATGAAATAACCATCATCGAATTTAATGAATGGTTCAAAGCTGATCTAAACTGTTGGCATAAAACCCCTCTCAATTTTGTTATTAACAATACTGTTCATTATTAAAATATGGCAAGAGTCAGATGTATTTGTGCTGGACAACTTTCTCAGGGATCTGAGCCTATAATCACCCAAATATAATGTCCTTTGGGATTAAGGATGAGGTTAAATTTAAAGGACATTTTCTACATGTGGACTAGCAACTTTTTGAAATGCTGTTGGTCTTTAAGGCTGCAGCACCCCCTGCAGGCCAAAGGATATAGCAATTTTTGTTTTTCTTTTCGTGCCTTCAAATCCGTCCTGACTTGGTGACTTATTTTATGACCAGGACATATTTTTATGATCTTTTTGCCAGGATGGTTAAGCCAATCACCGCCGTGACTAAGAGGATCATACCGTCATTAAATGAATCTGACTTCCCCCATTGACTTTACTCGTCAGAGGCCGGCTAGGGGAGGTTGCAAATGGGGATCACGTGACCCTGGGATGTTGCAACTGGTGTAAGATACATGTTGGTTGACGACTGCCCATGTCGTAATCACGGGGATAGTGCGATGGTTGTAAGTGTGTGGATACACACACACACACAGAGTTGTGAGGTCAAGAAAGTCATTTACTCAAGGTTGAGCAGATAGCAGCAGATAAGGGAAGAAATAGCAATCAGAAATTAAAGCTTGCCAAAGTAATTTTGTTCTCAATAGGAGTGCGCAGAAGAACAGTCAAAATCCAGTCCAAAGTTCAGAGAGCCAAGTCAGATTCATCAAACAGTCCAAAGGTCAGGGTTTCGGGAATCACAAGTAGAAATTCAGGAATGACACACTACAACAGGAGTGTACGGTCCATGTCCAAGGGATTGGAGACTGAGCATCATCAGACTGCTCCAGCTGTGTGTCTCCTGAGGCTGACATTCCACTGAGGCAGCTTCTTCAAAGTCAAACTCATGGTCTACAGTACAATGTCTTCTCAGCAGAGCCTGCTATTCCTGAGCGAAAAGCCAATTTCCTTCCCCATCTCAGGACCTCCTCCACAGATAGGTTTGGATGGAGTGAGCTCTCGCGCGGTCCTTAATGTAACCCACCTGATCGTCCGAGATAGTAAAAGAAATATCGACAAACCAGCTGAAAAGAGAGGAGAAATTCTGGTCAAAGGAAACGTGAGACATTTATGCTTTTCAGAGGTGCAAGATTCCGTTAATTATTGTAATTCTACAATAAAGTAGAATTAGCTTGTCTGGTTCTGTTTCCTGCCTGGAAGGCTGACAACAATTTTGCACGTCTGGAAATACAAATCTCTCACTGTTCGTTTTACAGACTGAGAAACTAGGGAAGGTTTCTTTTGAGTTTCTTTCTCTGCCCATTATACAGCTGCGGGATACTCTTTCTCTTATCTAATTGCTCCCTAGGCAGCCTCTCTTTTTCCATCTCCCAAACTTCACACGAGGAATCTTCTAGCCCAGTGATGGCGTGCCCAAAGCGGTACGTGGAGTCATGTCATCTGGCACGCACGATGTCACCTGTTCCTTTTCTGGGTTTCTGGCACACATGTGTACATGCCAATCAGCTGGCTTTTGTGTGTGCAGCAGTGCTGGAAACCGGAAGAGCTGTTCTGCGAGCCAGGAATGGAGCTTCCTCGAACTTCAGAATTGGGAGTGTCCAGAAAGAAGGAGGACCAATGGGAATTCTCCCTTCTGTAGCATCATCGGTCTCCGGGCAGAGTCTCCCTTGACTTCACCCACTGGAGGAGAGAGTTCCGCGTAGAGAAGAAGCCCAAGTTGGTTATTCAGGCCAAGATCCCCCCCTTCCACTTTCTCCGCTTCTCTCTCTCTCCCACAGAATTGTCTCTCCTGCTTCCAGAGACTCTGCCTGGAGACCGATGATGCTCAAGCAGGGAGAATTCTCATTGGTGCTTCCCCTGATTCTGGCCCCTCCCACCTCAAAAGTCCGAGATAAACACTCCCCCCCAAATGCAGAACATGCGGGGTGCCAGCTGATTGGGGTGTGCGCATGCGTGGCAGTAACTGGAAGACTTGGTGGCCTTATCCGGTGCAGACATGCCCACCATATTCCCAATTTGGGGTCTCTTTTCCTCCAGACGCTCTTCACTTACTCGTTCAACACCACGATCACTGCAATGCCATCGGGTCTCAGGAAAGCGGAGGTCTTCAACGGACAGCTGTCAAACAAGCAAGTGGAGGTCAAAGCAACACGCACGGAGCCTTCAGGGATGAATTTGCTGGCCGGAAGAGAGAAGAAGTTAGCCGATACCACTGCACAGAGATCAGTTCAGGCAGCCCTCCACTTACGACCACTCATTTAGTGACCGGAGTTACATCGGCACGGAGAAAAGCGACTACGACTGCAACCTCACACAACTGTCGAAGGATCAAAATTTGGGTCCTTGAAAACGGCTGTTTAACCTACTAAGAGCAATCGGTTATCAAACTGCCTCCTTCTCTCCATATATTACCACGGCAGCCTGTGGAACTCCCTGCCACTGGATGAGCCCATTCTATATAGCAGTGATGGTGAACCTTTTCGGGGCCGAGTGCCCAAACTGGAACATGGGGAAACCTGAAGACGAGCTGGCTGGTATGCGTATGCCTTTTTTTTTTTGGCCGTTTTTTGGGGCATTTTCAGGCCATTTTCTGGGCCGTTTTCAGGCTGTTTTTCAAACCATTTACGGCTGTTTTTCTGCTTGTTTTCTGGTGCTCCGGTGCCGGCGAAGACCAGCTGTGCACCGGAAACCAGAAGAGCAGCTGGCGATGGCGCGTGTGCCCGCAGAGATGGGCTCTGCGTGCCACCTCTGGCACACGTGTCATAGGTTCACCATCATGGCTATATCTGTGGGCACGCGAGCGTTGTCCTAGCTCAGCTCCAGCGCGCCTGTGTGCACCAGCCAGCTGTTTTTTTGGGCCTTCCAGAAGTTGGGAAATGGGCTGATTTTGGCCTCCAGAGGGCCTCTGGGGGGTGGTGGGGGGTGGTGGGAAGGCTGTTTTTGCCCTCCCCAGTCTCCTAGAAAGTCTCTGGAGGCTGGGGAGGGCAAAAATGGGGCTTCCGGTTTCTCTGGAAGTCAGGAAATGAGCTGTTTCTGGCCTCCAGGGAGCCTCCGGGTGGGGGAGACTGTTTTTGCCCTCCCCAGTCTCCTAGAAAGCCTCTGGAGCATGGGAAGGGTGAAAAATGGTCCCATCATGCCATCACATGGGGAACATGGGGGGGTGTCATGTGCGCAAGCACAGTGGGGCGGGGCGCATTGAATTATGGGTGTGGGCACATGCATGCATGACACCCCTCCCCCCGCACTCTCCCTGCTTTTGGCACGTGACGGCAAAAAGGTTCACCATCATGGCATCTGTATTATAATTTTTTCCTCATCCTCCTTTTCCTCCCCACCTTACAAAACCGTCTCGGATGATGAGTTTACCTGAAATGTCCCAGGTGATAAAACATGGGCTGTTTGTAGAATTCATCTTTGAGGGGGTTCACAATGATGGGGCTGTCCATGGGATTGTCCACCCAGTTGGGACCCCCTTCCATGTCCAGGGCCAAGTTCCAGTCAATCCACCCGGTGACAAAGTGGTTGAGATTCTGCAGAGACCAAAAGCATCAGGGGCTTTACCGGTTGCATTACAGCCCAAATCTCCCTTTCCTTTGCATGCCAGGAGGAAAAAAAAGACATTTCTGAATTGAGCAAAATATGAAAGAATCAAACTTCAGACCATGGTCTGCTTGGACTCGGGGAAAACTAGAGAGGGAAGGTTCTCTAAAGATGAAAACTTGCCCTCAGAAGTTGTGGGTGAAGAAGAGAATGGACGACCATTTGTCTGAAATGGGGTAGGGTTTCCTGCTTGAGCAGGGGGTTGGACTAGAAGACCTCCAAGGTCCCTTCCAACTCTGTTATTCTGTTATCCTCAAGCCCACCCTTCTCCTCATCCAACTTTTGATTCCCTGGCTCAGCTTTCCCAAAGACGCCATGACACCCTTTGATGTCCGAGAAGCTGCAAAGACATTTCAATCACTCGTCCATTCCTGCCCTTCTTATCGTCGAAGAGATCCAAGGGGTCCCCTTACCGTCAGGATACTTCTGCTGTAATAGGTGCCTCTCTCCCAGCTCCCCAGGGCAACCTTCACGTCCCAGTACACAAAACCGTTGCAAGCTTCGGTGTAGAGCAGGAAGAAATCGGGGTACAGGCGATGGGTAACGTCCAGAGTAAGTCCAGCTGGGGTGACCGTATCAAGATACCAATGGATGCCAATGCCTGATACGAAGGCTGCCGCGGTACTATTGCCAATCACCTGTCAGGGGACAGAGGGAAGGAAGAGGAGCCTCAATCCAGGCAGTCCTCGATTTACGACAATTCATTTAGTGACCTAAGTTCCAAGTTCCCCCAGGTCACTGCGATCAAAAATTCAGACGCCGGGCCACCGATTCCTATTTACGACGGTCGCAGCCTCTCGCGGATCCCCTTTTCAGAACTTTCGACAAAGCGAACTCGAGGGGGACAGGCAGATTTGCTTAACAACCATGTGTGGTTAACTTCACCATGGCAATGATTTGCTTAACGACTGGGGCAAGGAAGGTCATCAAATGAGGCAAAATGAATGGAAGACGTCGCAAGGATTTTCGGCTTGATTGTGGGTCATAAGTTGAGGGCTACCTGTACATCGTAGATTACAAAACCTATCATCCCCAACCGATCCCTTGAGACATTTTTGGGGCCCCCCACGGGGCTCCCCAAATTCTCCCCCAGCATCTTCTGCAATTCAGCTGTACCTTCTCGGTCATGAGCCAAAACCTGGATACCTAGACATAGTCCTCAATTTAGGACGGTTCGCTTAGTGTCCATTCAAAAGTCAGCTAGAACCACTCCTCGCACTTACAATGGACTCAGCATTCCCTCAATCATGTGATCAAAATTCAGGCTCGCTTAGCAAACCAACGTGAATTTCACTCTCGAGGGTCACAAGATCATCGGCGTTTGTGACTTTCCGACAAGCAAGGTCAATGGGGGGGAGGTTGGACTTGCTTAACGGCCACAGGATTCACTTAACGACAACCATCGTTGCCGTGGTGAAGTTAACCACACAGGGTCGTTAAGCAAATCTGCCTGTCCCCCTCGACTTCGCAAAAGGGGATCCACGAGCGGCTAAATTGGGAATGAAGCTCACTCAATCGTAGCTTTGCTCGGCAACGGGAATTCTGGTCCCGACCACTCAGTCGTAAGTCCAGGACCGCCCGTCGTAGGGTAGATACATCCTACAGTTCGAAGACCTACCTGGTTGGCCCACTTTGGCAAGTGAAACCTCTGGTCATCCATAATGATGAGGTGAACATCTGGATGGCAGCTGGCGGCGAGGGCGGGGCCCAAGTCCTTAATGATAAAGTCGCGTTGATGTTTCGATGAGAAATAATTATCGGAAAGTTGTCCATACTTATGAAAACGGTGCTGACTGGTTCATTCTGGGAGCTTAACGCCCAGAAAGTAATATTATTTTTAGCGTACTCATCTAGGAACCTAGATTCAAATAGAGAATGTTGCAATCATGTTAGTTTAGCATGCTGTATCTTTGCTCAGAGAACCAAGCCAATTTTTTTTCAAGCCTCTTATATTTATGAAAACCCCTATTTTCCAGCCCTCTGACTGACCGAAAGGCGTATATTCCATCAGAAGCAAATTCCAATAGCGATAGAGAAAAATCCATATTTAGATAAATCCAAAATAGGCCTGAAAAACGGCCCGACAAGTGACCTGAAAATGGCCCAAAAAACGGCCTGAAAATGGCCCAAAAAACGGCCTGAAAATGGCCCAAAAAATGACCTGAAAATGGCCTGAAAATGCCCGGAAAATGGCCTGATAACAGTAAAAAAAAAAAAAAAAAACTAGGCTATTTTTGAGGCCTTTTTCAGGCCATTTTCAGACTGTTTTTCTGGCCAAAATCGGACTGAAAAACAGCCTGAAAATAGCCTGAAAACAGCCAGAAAAATGGCCTGAAAACCCAAACTCAAAAAGGCAATTTTTGGGGCCATTTTCAGGCTGTTTTTTTGGGCCAAATTTGGCCCGAAAATCAGCTCGAAAAACAGCCTAAAAATCAGCCTGGAAAACGGCCTGAAAACAGCCAGAAAACCCTAACCCAAACAGGCCATTTTGGGGGCTGTTTTCAGGTCGTTTTTTGGGCTGTTTTTCCGGCCTAAATCGGCCCGAAAAACAACCAGAAAATTGGCCTCAAAACAGCACAAAATCTGCCCGAAAACAGTCCAAAAAAATGGGCGGGGGAAGGTCTGATTTGCCAGTTCTTCAAACAGTGCCGAATCGGAACAACCGGTTCGGGAAAACTGGTCCAAATCGGCAGCAATCCCACCTCTGGTTATTTACCTGATAAAATAACGAGCCCAGGCCTTGTGGTAGCGATCGCCTGGTTCTCCCTTTATCCTGGATTTGCCATAAACCTTGTTGTTGACTCTTAGCCAGCCAGGACTGGTCCAAGGGCTGCCGACCAATGAGAGGGGTCTCCTGGTGTGGGCCATGATACGATGGAGCAGGGGGATCTGTGGAGAGAGACAAAAACTGTCTCTGGGGATGGCCTGATCGACGCTCCACAAGACCGTTCACACCATCTCCTTGTGGGTTTATTGACTTTGACTGTGTTCATTCCGGAACTCTACGGGTAGTTCTTGAGTTGTGACCGCTATGGAGCCTGCCCATTACAGTCGTTAAGTTGTAGCGGTCGTAAAACGGTTACCGACCCACGGATTGACATTTTTCACCGACGGCGGTTAGGCAAATGGGGCAGTTGCAAGTCCCAACCCAGAGGTTGCAATTGTGAATACGGCGGTCGTTAAGACAAGGCCGTTGTTGTAAGGGTGATCCCATTGTTTGCTGGGGGGGGGAGGCGCTTTCGCTGAAAATAGGAAGTGCAAAACTGTCAGAAAATTTGCAAAGGACTGTAAATTTGACTGTGTTGCCAGGAGCCTAAGTCCGATCACATGACTGTGGGGAGGGTGGGGACTGAGTGCAGGAAATGGGTCGAAAGTCCCCCTTTTTTCGATAGGTCGTAACTTCAAATGCTCTCTAAGCAACTGGTTGTAAATAAACCGACAACTACCCGGATGTAGCTGAACTGCAAAAATGGAGGGAACTTATTTTTCCTTTATCCACTGCGGCCTCTTTTCCTCCATTGTCATGCCTGCTTTTTGTTTTTTTAAAAAATATATATATATCTAATTATTATTATAATTCTCAGCCCAAATACGGGAGCAATATTCCCTAGGGAGCTTTTAATGAAAACCTTTGTCATCCTGTGTAATTTGAACCAGAATAGTGGATTAAATTTGAGCCGAGCATTAAAATAATTATCATTATGGCATTATGTCATCATAATACACGGCTTTTAATGCCGTACTTCCAGAGAATTCTAGCTACCAGGCAGATTAAAGAGATGACTTAAAAACAGACAGGGGGGGGGGTATCCTCATTAAAAAAATTATGATTTCTTGGATTCGAGGAAGGTATTTCGGGAGCCGAGGTGGCGCAGTGGTTAGAGTGCAGTACTGCAGCTACTTCAGCTGACTGCTAGTTCAGCAGATCAGCGGATCAAATCTCACCAGGTTCAAGGTTGACTCGGCCTTCCATCCTTCCGAGGGAGGTAAAATGAGGACCCAGATTGTTGGGGGGCAATATGCTATTTAGTATATTGTCTTTGGTGTAAACTGTCCAGAGTCCTCGGAGAGTGGGCGGCATAGAAATATGAATCATAAAATAAATAAATAAATTTGGAATGACAGACAAATTAGGGGATAATTCCGTTTAGTGCCGGTAGAAGAGAGTGTTTGTAGCTCAGGATTGAACTTTTGGGTCTTCCGGTGCTCTCTGAACTTGGTGGTTTTCTTGCAGATGTTTCATGACCCAACTAGGTCACATCATCAGTGCTAGAAGGGAGAGGGGGTTGCAGGGAGGAAGAGGAGGAGGAGGAGGAGGACCGAGGGGTCCGTGGTGCTCTCTGAGCTTGGTAGTTTTCTTGCAGATTTTTCATGATCCAAGTAGGTCACATCATCAGTGCTGGATAATTTGTCTGGTATTAATCCCGGCTTATCCGGGCATTGACTGCTACAGAAGATGTCTTGTGGCCTTTTTGTTTCCTTCTTATTTGTTTCTCTTCTCTTTTGAATGCTGTGTAAATGTGGTTTATGTCTACGTGTCTGTTGATGGCCAAGTGTCACGCTTCCAGGAATTCTCCAGCGTCTTCTGACTGCTCATTGATGTTTATGGATGTGGTCGGCTACGCCTCTGCCTGTCTGCACCATATTCCCACCAACCCTAACAGGACTAACTATTATATGTAAACAGAGAATAAACCCCACTTCCTTCTATACTGATGATGTTATGTACCTGGGCCATGAAACGTAGGCAAGAAAATTATCAAGCTCAGAGAGCACCAGGGACCCCACAGTCCTCCCCCCTCCTCCTCCTCTTCCTCTCCCTCGCAAACCCCACTCACTACTAGCACTGATGTTGTTACCTAGTTGGGTCGTGAAATGTCCTCAAGCTCAGAAAGCATCAAGGACACCACAGCTCATATTGGTAGCAGAAACCAGCCTGCAACACAACCAGAAAGCTCCTTAGTGGGTGGGTGTATTAAGTCTGGCCGAACTCACCCTAAATTTGGTGTCTTCAGGAGCCAGCTCAAAACACTTCAGTTCGAAGTCATTCACGCAGCGGTCATCATAACTGTATGGCCGCGTGGAAAAGTCGGAGCAGCCAATGGGCCAACGCAGCAAATTGTACTCAATTCCTGCAGGAGAGAGGGAAATATTCCAGTCTTCTGATTTTCACAATCAGAAAAAGAAAATCCAGCAGGTTCTGGTGAACCGGTAGCGGAAACTTTGAGCAGTTCGGAGAACCGGCAAATATCACCTCTGGCTGGCCCCAGAGTGGAGTGGGAATGGAGATTTTGTAATATCCTTCCCCCAGGAGTGGGGAGGGAATGGGGATTTTGCAATATCCTTCCCCCAGGAATGGGGAGGGAATGGTGATTTTGCAGTATCCTTCCCCCAGGAGTGGGGAGGGAATGGGGATTTTGCATCTTTTGAAAGATAAGAACCTCAGAGTGCTAGCTTTCCACACACACACACACACACACACCGAGCTGCTAGATTTCATCAAGCAGTCATTCCCAATTTTCTCACCTTCTTCGGAGAAGTAAGAGCGGAGAAGTTGGTTTTGGGCTGCATAAGACAAATGCAGGATGTTGATGGCCGCAGAGTCGGTGAGCGACCCGCCGAAGCCTTTGATGTATTGGTGCCGAACGGAGGGATCGTAGGTGTAGAAAATTCCACCTGAGATACAAGAATTAACAGAATGAACAAAATAAGGAAGGGACCCTGGCAGGTCATCTAGTCCAACCTCCCCAGATTTACCAGAAGCGCCTGAGTTGGCAGCTGTTTTCCCTTCGCTCCGCTCCAACCGTTGGCCGTCCCTGCTGGTTGTGTACTTGACAAAGCTGCCGACGTCAGGGAGGGAGACCGGGTCCACCGTGTCGCAGTACGTCGCGTTGCAAACGCACACCATTGCAGTTGCACGAAGGTATTTAGGACTACAGGGCTGGCATGCTAGAGATCGACCAAAAATGGACAGGAGGAAAAAATAAAAGGGGAAATTTAGTCCCCTCCTACCAGCACAATGGAGCCCCGCCCACTTTTCCATCTGGCTCCACCCACAACAGACTTCCCGAAGGCTTCCCCACTGACCTCTGACCTTGACCATCCCTAAGAAGGCAAGGAACAGCACCCTCAAAGCATCCCGTGTCTGCATGGCAGCCTTGAAACATCAGCCTCCGAATTCTAGAGAAGTTTACCTGCAGGGGGAAGAAAAAAAAAAGATTCATTTTTTTGTTGTGGGCCTCCTTTGCAACGCTGTTGATTTATTCACGCAGGTTTTTTGCTGCCTAAATCCTCAATCTGGCCCCCTGGCAAGACGTAGCTCACTCCTACAACCTCCACTGATCCTTCTGCTCTAAGGTTGGAGTCCAACGTAGAGCAAACTCAACTGATTTTAATCTGCCAGATGTTCAGCACAGTCTTCACAATGACCCTTTAGGTGAACTTCAGAATAGAATAGAGTAGAGTAGAGTAGAGTAGAGTAGAGTAGAGTAGAATAGAATAGAATAGAATAGAATAGAATAGAATAGAATAGAATAGGAGTTGGAAGGGAATTTAGAGATAGCTGAGTATTCCAAATATTGGAAGACTGCTGTCATGTCTACCCCTCATCCTTCTTCTTAAAATAGACATCCCCAATTGCAGCAACCATTCCTCATATGTTTTAGCCTCCAGTCCTCTAATCCTCTTTGTTGCTTGTTGTTGTGATGAAGAAAGACGCACAGGCAGGAAGAAGGTTAATGGGAAGGCCCAGAGAACAGCTTCTGGGAGCCCCCTTTTTATTGCTCTGTGTGGTCTTCGTGGCAGAAGCTGATTCATTGATCAAAGTTCACTTTGTAGTTGATTGGCTAAACAAAGCCAGGCTATAGGATATGCTATCCATGTGGACAGTGCATGGACAGTTCATGTTTTCCTGTTGCAAACAATGTGAGCTTGCTTACGTGACAGACCTCATGTCCCCAGGGTCTTTAAGGATCATTGTGCTGACATTTGCATTCCTCAGCGTGGTTTGCCAACTACTGAGAAAACAACCACCCCAACATCTCCTCCTTTTTATTTTATTCTTTATTTTTTAATAATTTGTATGCATACATAACTTCAGATCTGGAGGGCCGAATTCTTGGACGAAATACCGTCAACAAACCAGGCAAACATTGCACGCAGCAGCAACAGCAAATTAAGGCAATGGTAACTAAGATAACAATGAGCACTATTTGTAAGAACAAAGGTCGTGTTACAATAGGGATACTTTCCAACATCAACAGATGCCTTCCTAGTATGGTTAATGAATTCCCAACAATATGCCGCTACTTCTTGAAGCCTGCTACCAATGGCTAAAATAGTATAATTAACTTTTTCTTCTTGTAGCGTTCCTGTTGTGGCTTCGTTACCTGAGCCTGTGTCATTGGCAGGAGAGGACTCCGAGAGTGAAGGAGAGGAGTTGGCAAGGCCTCCCTCTCCAGGACCCTCCTCTCTGGCAATGCCTTCGGTGTCCGCCAAGCACGTCCATGCAGCCACAGATGGACAATGATGAGGGTAATGAGTCTTGGCTGGATCCACGCCAGCGTCGCAGAGATAAACGCGCGCAACAGAAGAAAAGGCGTGCCCGAGATTAGGCTGAGTCACTGGACCACACCCCACAGGGTATAAAAGGGAGCGTGGTGGCCAGTCAAACCTTGTGACGAACAAAGCTGAAAGCTTCCACGCCATTCTGCATTGCCGGACTTGTTGCTATAGACTTTGCTGGATTATCTCTGGACTTGATTCACTCTGTAATTATTGAGCTGTTTCTTTTGATGTACCAGGAGAGGGGAGACGTTATCTCTCCTCTTCGTAAATAATAAACTCTTGGCAGGCAGCCACTAGGTTGTTGCCAAGTTCCGTTATCATAAGGAAAAGGATTTTGCCGGCTGGTTTGGTCTTTAACTCTTGAACGTCTGTTGGTGTGTGTGCGTGTGGTTGGGAACAGAACAGTTCCAGGGAGATATTTTGCACATCCCATATATAGGAATTTTGTTCCTTGCTCTGGAATTCCATCTTGCAAAGGCACTGTAGCCACGCCAGGAGGAAAAATACATATAAAAAGAATACACATTACAATAGTTACAGAATTGGCATTTAAACAAGCAAATGCCGCTACCAAAAAGTTCTCTGGTGTCTGTGGCATGTCCTTTTCCTGTAGCAATTTTGTAGATTGAGCAGAGAGGGCCTTAATCTGCCTCCAGGTCACTTGATGTTTCTGACGAGGTGCTCGGTCCCGATCCTGCTGAGGGTTCTGCAGGCTGAGGGAGAATTTTGGGATCGGGTTTTTCAGTCCTTGGTGCCACGCCATCCTTCCACGGTTTCACACACCGAGCAGGGATCCACACCAGACCTGTAGGAGTAAGCACAGCAGCATACCCCCTTCTCCATGTCAATAAGGGAACAGGTCCATGCCATTCGGGATTAGGCAATAATCTATACATTACCTGTGGCTGGGGATGACTTATTCTACTTCCAAAATGATTATCTACTGGAGTTGATAAATTTGTGATATTAAGATGATTCAGAGTAAACAGAACTTTATTCAACCATTCCTGTTTACCAGGGAGACCTATTGTCAACTTGCAAAGCTTTCAAGTTGCCATGAGCAGGAAGGAGGGAGAACTGATAGAGCTGATTGATTTCCCTAACTGAAGTGCATTCCATACATTCTTCCTGACCGCAATCAGAAGGAGGGTATTGGATTTCACAGCCAGCCAAAGTGGTTAATTGGAGAATGTGATTTATGACATGGCCAGAGAGGAGGGGAGAGACAGGGTCATAGGGGAACGTAAATCTACGTGGGATTAGTTCTAACTGCATCCAAATATTGCCGAAATGGTGCTCCTAATAAATGACTGTATTTCTTTTGAAGTTCGGCTCATGGCTCATGAATTAATTAGGGCATCTTTCGGAAACTTCACACCTATAGGAATCCCTCCTGTTTGTTTATGTTTATCTAAAGCAGATTTTAAAGTAAAATTTGCTCACTCCACTATGGCCTGTCCCATAGTGTTATAAGGTATGCCAAAAAGATGTTTAATTTGCCATTTGTCACAAAATTCAGCAAAGGAGTGACTACAATATGCAGGGCCATTGTCTGTGATCTATGGGGCAAGCCTGAGGGGGAGAAGGGGAAAGTAGAGGATCTATGGGGCAAGCCTGAGGGAGAGAAGGGGAGAGGAGAGGATCTATGAGGCCAGCCTGAGGGAGAGAAAGGGAGAGGAGAGGCTTCTGTGGCGCTAGCCTGAGGGAGAAGAGAGGATCTATGGGGCCAGCCTCAGGGAGAGAAGAGAGGAGAAGAGAGGCTTCTGTGGTGCTAGCCTGAGGGAGAGAATTACTCATTAATTTTCGAACTCTTTTAAGTGTCGATTTATCAAGCCCGATCACATAGTTCCGTAACGGAGCACGGGTATCCAGCTAGTCGTTCATGAAATAAACCTCCGAATCTTTAAGTAAGAACTATTGTTTGTGTTGCTATCTCCTGTTTTTTTGTTTTTTTTAATTGGGATATTTTTATGACACTTGAGCAGCGGGGGGTTGGTCTAGAAGACCTCCAAGGTCCCTTTCAATTCGGTGATTCCGTTCGAATCTTCGGCACACTTTGCTCGGATGTAACACAGCAGGTCCCCCCACCCCACCCCAATTTTTTTTTTAAACATTTCAGGCTTTAATCAAAAGAAAAACACCAGAGCGAGATGTGAGTCGTTTTGCACCAGTTTTGAAAGTTGCTTTTCGCATGTCCCTCAGAGACGTCAAGCAGACAACCAACGCAAGGTGTGTGCGTGCATAATTAGAACTGGGGGCACAGAACCAAGCACGGGAAAGTCACACCCCAAAATCCCATCAACAGAAATCTTGTGTTATTTATTTATTTATTTATTTATTGGTTCGATTTATATGCCGCCCTTTCTCCAGAGACTCAGGGCGGCGTAACAATGCGTTAAGCAATAGCCTTTCATACTTTTGTATATACCTGCTTAGTGAGGCTTTCGGGAGGCCCCCCCTAAGCGGTGTTCTTTTTTTTTATACAAAGTCAGCTTATTGCCCCCCACAATCCAGGTCCTCATTTTACCTACTTCGGAAGGATGGAAGGCTGAGTCAACATGAAACATGGGATAAATAAGTCTTGCTTTTAGTCCCAGCCAAGGAAGCCTTTCATGTGTCTGCCTAGCCCCAGGAGTCTGCAACCTTAAACACTCAAAGAGCCATTTGGTCCCGTTTCCCACAGAAAAGAAAACACCGGGAGCCACAAAAACCCTCCCCTGTGCCTGACTTATTTCTCGAGCGGCCACAAAACTAGCATATGTCATTGAATTAAACGTTCCGTTTTCTTCTGAAACTTTTCTTTTCTTGGATTTATCCATGGCTGGTTGAAAAGCTCAGTAAATCAGATGCCGGCGAGTGTCGCACATTGGAGGGTGTGGCACATATTTTGAGTGACAACCAGCTGCAGCTGAGGGGTGGAAGACGTCATCAAGCGTCCACATCTGGCAATCCAGGTCCTTGGAAAGAACTCGAGGGTGCATAAAAATGCCATATCCAGTTTGAACATCTGGCTGAGCGCGTGATGAACCATTAATAATAATAGAAATAATAAGCCACATGGTATTTTAATTCTCCCTTGTGCAGGACGCATAATCTGAAGCTGGGAAAAGGCAGATTTTAGTAAACGTAATCAGCTAAGTATGGGTGTCACTCAGGGGTGAAATCCAAAATTGTTCCCTACCAGTTCTGTGGGCGTGGCTTGGTGGGCGTGGCAGGGGAAGGATATTGCAAAATCTCCATTCCCTCCCCTCCTGGGGGAAGGATACTGCAAAAATCTCCATTCCCACCCCACTCTGGAGCCAGCCAGAGGTGGCATTTGCCGGTTCTCTGAATTACTCAAAATTTCCGCTACCGGTTCTCCAGAACCTGTTAGAACCTGCTGGATTTCACTCCTGGTGTCATGTTGTCAGTTACACCAAAAATAATTTGAAGACGGAAAATGAAAAACAAAAACCTCGGCTATTGATGATCCCAACTGCTTAATTTGAAATGCTGACCACGAATCTGGAACAAGATGGACTCAACCGACTATTTTTTGTTTACTGGCCGGATGCCCTTCCTGTCGTCAATATGGAGTTATATTCAGCAGATATATTCTCTGGTAGCTAGGAATCTGGAACAAGATGGACTCAGTGACCTCATCCAGGTCGAACTCCACGAGATGAAAGTCGTAACTTGGCTTTGAGGCGGCCGGTTGTGGGAAACAGTCCCTGTGGCTTGTAAACCAGGATTCGAAGCTTAATGAAGGGCACTTCCAAAGGATTGGGCAACACGCAGCGCTGAAGCCAACAGTCTTGCCAAGGAATTCCCAGCCAGAAAATTAGAAGGAACACCTTGGTTTTGGTTAATTTGAACCATCTATCGATAGACACTTCAGGAATCATGGTTTGTTCATCCCAGCAAACATCAAATCTCTGCTTCTTTGGTCCTTGTCAAGGTTTATGTCCTAGAAGAACGTAATCCATTGGGATGAACCACCATCTCACCTCCCGAGAGGGTTAGTAAACTATCCCAGTAGCTCAGTTATTTTTTTCCTCCTAACTGGCACCCAGTATGATACTCCTTCCTTACTGGCGCCGCCAGAGATACGTCTGGATGGAGTTGGCGGGGATTTGGGCTGAAATAAGTCCAACCGAATCGGAAATTTCGAAGGTGAGGTTGAACGAAGACCTGTGTCGAGAAAAAGAGATGGAAAAGAAGGGAAGGAAGAAAAGACGGAAAAGAAGAGGGGAGGAAAAGGGGGGGGAAGGAATAAGGAAAGGAGAAGCGAAAAGAAAGGAGAAACAGAAGCAGAGACACAATCACAAAACCGTGGGCAAAACAGCCACGCAATTGTAACTTGCCTTCTTCTACTCCAAAGTATTTATCACAATTTTTTTTGATTGGTGTTGTTAATTCCTGCAAAGTTTCTAAACGAGGAATTTCTCGCCCGACTGTCAGAGTGGCTAGAGTCTTTGACACCCAGTTCGGTGTGAAAAACTAAAAATTCAGACCACTGAAATGGACACTTTTTTTTCTGCTGTGCTCCATTTTATTCAAGTATTTATTAAATTTAAATGCCCCTCCCCTTCCCCGATAAATGGCTAATTTTGAGCCCAGATGTCAACACACTCGAATTGAGAAGACGGGTAACTAGGCTAACTTAGCGACATGAACCTTTGGATATAGCCTGCTTCGAAGAGGGAGGTGCTTGAAAAGGACCCCCCCCAAAAAAACCTTCATGAGAACTAGTAACTTGGCTCTTTGAAAAAGCAGACATTTGGAATACTGGCACTCAACAGTTAAGGACCACCAGCACTGCCAATCCATCGTGTTAGGAAATGATTTTACCTAACTTGTTGGGCTGGCAATATATAAACCATCAATATAGCTTTAAGACTGCTGTTTTGCAGTATTGCATCATACTGTGTCCTGATTGGTTAGCTCTGTAGCCAATGTCCTTAAGAGGGAGCTAGAAACATGGTTTGTTTCTCTTTGCTGATCGTTACTGCTCTTTGCTGTGTTTGCAAATACAGAAGAACTACGACAACTGGTAAGAAGACTTTGTTATTGGAATATCCCTGGACTATTGTTTTACTATCTACTGCTTTATCTGTGTATGACCTTTTATTGGACTGTGCCTTATTACTATTTTCTGAAAGTAAACAAACTCAATGTATCTCTGTGTTGGCTGTGTTATTTCCTAACTACTCTCAATCGCTTTCATGTGCACACCCTTGCTACTCAAGGTTTGCTCTGCGAATTCCTCAACACATCGGGACGAAGCTAACCCTAACCCTAACCTTAACCCTAACACCCCTCCCCCCCAAAAAACCTTCATGAGAACTAGTAACTTGGCTCTTTGAAAAAGCACAGACGTTTGGAATATTGGCACTCACCGGTTAAGGACTACCACCACTGCCGATCCATCAGGACGAAGCACCGCGACGTGTTCCAGGTTGCAACTAAGGTAACTTTTAACCACCGTCAGCCCAACGCGCTGCGATCCTTCGACAATAAACTTGCTAGGAAGGGAGAAAGAGGAGGAGAGGATGAAGAAGAGATCCCACTGGGGGGGAGGGGGAGGGGGGAAGGGGATCCACCCCGGTTTAGAAATCCGGAGCACAAAACAGGGGGGAATGTGGCTCCTTGAAAAGCTGTGTCTTAAAATGGTACACGAAACATACCTCTCACTTCTCCCCCCCTCAAAGTGACAATCCTGTAGGGAGGTTGGTTGGTTGGTTGGTTGAGCTTCAGGTTGGGTGGTTGAGTTTGGCTCATTGAGTTTAAGATTAATCGGTTGAGCTTAAGGCTGGGCAGTTGAGTTTAGGCTTAGCTGGTTGAGCTTAAGGTTGTCCGGTTGACCTTAAAAGTGGTTAGTCAGGTGATAATAAGGTTGGTCGGATGAGTTTAAGGTTAGTTAGTTGAGTTTCAGATTCAGAAAACAGCCCGGAAAATGGACCATAAAATAGCCTGAAAAACTGTCTGTTTTTTGGTCATTTTTCGGGGTGTTTTCAGGCCGTTTTTCAGGCCCAAAATGACTGGAAAATGGCCCAGAAAACAGCCCAGAAAATAGACCAGAAAACAGCCTTTTTTTGGTTGTTTTTTCAGGCTGTTTTCAGGCCATTTTTCAGGCCCAAAATGGACTGGAAAACAGCCTGAAAACAGCCCAGACAATGGACCGGAAAACAGCCTGAAAAACTGCCTGGGGTTTTTTTGGCCGTTTTTCGGGCTGTTTTCAGGCTGTTTTTCAGGCCCAAAATGGCCGGAAAACAGCCCGGAAAACAGCCCGGAAAATGGACTAGAAAATAGCCTGAAAAATTGCCTGGTTTTGGCTGTTTTTTGGGCTGTTTTCAGGCCAAAAACGGCCAGAAAACAGCCCAGAAAATAGACCGGAAAACAGCCTTTTTTGGGCCATTTTTCAGGCTGTTTTCAGGCCGTTTTTCAGGCCAAAAATGGCTGGAAAAATGGCCAGAAAACAGCCCGGAAAATGGACTGGAAAACAGCCTGAAAAACTGTCTGTTTTTGGCTGTTTTTCAGGCTGTTTTCAGGCCATTTTTCAGGCCCAAAATAGCTGGAAAACGGCCCGGAAAACAGCCAAGAAAATAGACTGGAAAACAGCCTTTTTTTGGGCTGTTTTCAGGCCGTTTTTCAGGCCAAAAACGGCCGGAAAACAGCCCAGAAAACAGCCTGGAAAATGGACCGGAAAACAGCCTGAAAAATTACCTGTTTTTTGACTGTTTTTCAGGCTGTTTTCAGGCCATTTTTCAGGCCCAAAATGGCTGGAAAAATGGCCAGAAAACAGCCCAGAAAATGGACCAGAAAACAGCCTGAAAAACTGTCCGTTTTTTGGCCATTTTTCGGGCTGTTTTTCAGGCCATTTTTCAGGCCAAAAACGGCCGGAAAACAGCCCAGAAAAGAGCCCAGAAAATAGACTGGAAAACAGCCTTTTTTTGGCCGTTTTTTGGGCTGTTTTCAGGCCATTTTTCAGTCCCAAAATGGCTGGAAAACAGCCCAGAAAACAGCCCCAAAAATGGACTGGAAAACAGCCTGAAAAACTGCCTGTTTTTTTGGCTGTTTTTCAGGCCAAGAATGGCCAGAAAAACAGCTGGAAAACGGCCCAGAAAACAGCCTGGAAAATAGCCTGAAAAACTGCCTTTTCTTTGGTCGTTTTTCAGGCCATTTTCCAGGCCGTTTTTCAGCCTGTTTTCCAGAGCTCTGGCGTCCGCAAAAACCAGCTGGCGGCCATGCCGGAAACCAGAAAAACAGCTGGCGACGGTGCACATGGCCACAGAGAGGGCTGTGCGTTCCACCTCTGGCACATGTGGCATAGGTTCGCCATCACGGCCTTAAGGTCACTCCTCCTTTGGGGCTCAATGCCCACTAGCCCCCCCCACCCCAGGCTGCCGGTTACACCTGAAGTGCCCCAGGTGGTAGAACATGGGCTGCTTGTAGAAGATGTCGCTGCTGGAGTCCACAATGATGGGACTATCCACGTAATTCTCCACCCAGTTGGGTCCCCCTTGTAAATCCAGGGCCAGGTTCCAGTCGATCCAACCGACCACGTGGTGATTCAAATTCTAGAGGGAAGTTGGGGAAAGAATCAGGGTCTCTGATGAGGAGGGGGAGAAGAGCATGCTAAATCTTTACTTTCCTCCCTTCCTCTTCCTTTCTTCTCTTTACTTCCTTCCTCCAACTGCCTTCCTCTCTTTTCTTTCTCTCCTTTATTCCCTTCCCCTACAATTCCAAACTCCTTCCCTCCCTCCCTCTGCTTTTCTTCCTTCTTCTTCCTTGTTTTCCTTCCCTCTTCCATCCCTCCTTTCTCTTTCTTTCCTCTACCATTCCCCTCCAATTCTCCTCCCTCCCTCCCCTCTTCCTCTTCTCTATCTCTTTCTTTATTCCATAGTTTCTTCTGACCCTTCTCATTCTTTTTTCTCCTCCCTCCCTCCTTTCCTTCCTTCTTCCCTCTCTCTCTGCTTTTCTTCCTTGTTTTCCTTCCTTCTTCCATCCCTCCATCCCTCCTTTCCTTCCTTTCTCTTTCCTTCCTCTACCATTCCCCTACCATTCCCCTCCTTCCTTCTTTCCCTCCTCCCTCCCTCTTTCCCTTCCCTCTTCCTCTTCTCTTCTCTCCTCCCTCCCTTTCTTTCTTCTGTTGTTCCTTCTGACCCTTCCCTTCTTTTCCTCCCCCTGCCTCTCTCGTTATGTTTCTCCCCCTCCCTCCCCCCTCCTTCCTTCTTTCCTCCCTTCCGTCCTTTCTTCCTCCCCTTTTCCTCTTCTCCCCTCCCTTTCTTTCTTCCATTGTTCCTTCTGACTTCCTTTCCCCCTCCCTCTCTCGTTATCCTTTCTTTCCTCCCCCTCCCTCCCCCCCTCCTCTCCTTCATTCCTCCCTTCCTTCCTTTCTTCCTCCCCTTTTCCTCTTCTCCCCCCTTTCTTTCTTCCATTGTTCCTTCTGATCCTTCCACCCTACCTCTCTTGTTCTTTTTTCTCCCCTCCCCTCCCTCTCCCTCCTTCCTGCTTTCCTTCCTCCCTCCCTCCCTCCCCTCTTCTCCCCTCCCTTTCTTACTTCCATTGTTCCTTCTGACCCTTCCCTTCTCTTCCTCCCCCTGCCTCTCTCTCGTTATTTTTCTCCCCCTTCCTTCCCCCTTTCTTTCCTTCCGTCCTTTCTTCCTCCCCTTTTCCTCTTCTCCCCTCCCTTTCTTTCTTCCATTGTTCCTTCTGATCCTTCCACCCTACCTCTCTCTTGTTCTTTAAGGCTCCCCTCTCCCTCTCCTCCTTCCCTCCCTCCCTTTCCCCTTTCTTTCTCTCTCTTCTCTTCCTTCTTCATCAACTTCCTCCCTCCCCGCTCTCTTCCTCCGACACCCCACACCGTACCTCCAGGATGCTATGACTGTAGTCCTCCCCTCGGTCCCAGGAACCCAGGATAACATCCTGTTCCCAAAAGAAAGAACCGGCGCACGCTTCCGTGGCAATCAGAAAATAGTCAGGGAAGATATGCTCGGTGGCTTCTACGGTGCTCTTGATGGGGCTGATGAAATCCATGTACCAATGGAGGCCGATGCCATGAATGTAGCGATAGGCTTGGCTCTCACTGCTCAACACCTTGACGGGGGGGGGAGGAGGGGGAAAGGATCAGAGTCGGGAGGGAATGCAGAGGTCATCCAGTCCAACCCCTGAGGATGTGGAGGCATTGCTACTTCTAACTCAGTTAGAAGGCTATCTAGCTTAGTGCTTTTTAACCTTGGCAAGTTGGTGGCTCCAACTCCCAGAATCCCCCAGCCAGCAGACTTTAAGAGGGGTGGATTTCAACTCCCAGAATTCCCCAGCCAGCATGCTTTAAGAGGGATGGACTTCGATTCCCAGAATTCCCCAGGCAGCATACTGGCTGGGGAATTCTGGCATCTGAAGTTCCTCCATCTTCCACTTCTCAAGGTGGAATCCAATGTATTTGAAAACCTCACATTTTTACTCTTAAAAAAAAATTGAAAAATCTCAGGCCTCTTGGCTGTTGGACAGGACACCACCAAGAGATCCCCAAAACATTACCTTCCTTATTGTGATCTACAACCTTAATGGAAAGAAGCAATGCTGGATAATCTTGAACAATGGAAGCATCACGGAAATCGTCGTAATCTTTTAACGACCCCCATAATAATCCCTTGCGGGGTGGAGTCTGGGCAACTGAATGGAGCTGAGTGTTTTACTGGCCGGATGCCTTTCCTGTCGCCAGTGCGGAGTTTTGTTCAGCAGATATATTCTCGGTGTACCCAGAGAGAGAGGCATATCTGCCTCTAGCTAGGATCGAACCCACAGCCTCCTGATTGTGAGGCGAGAGCTTCACCTCTAGGCCACCGCACCGCTCAAAAACGTCACGGAAATGGATCAGGAAAATGAAAATAGAACGCAATGTACTTTTCCTAATGGATTTTTCCGCCCTGTTCCTGGCCTCTTATGGTTTAAGAATAGCTAACTTTAATTGTGCTTTTCACACGTCTTCCTCCGTATTTCATTTTGCTTTTCCTTCCCATCTCACCGTTACGGAAGCCTTAAAATTTTGCTCAATAATTTTAGAACCAGGCATCAAAGTTCTTTTTTCCCTGTGTTGATTAACCTCTTTTATTTCTTGCTCTAGAATGCTGGCATTTGTCTGCTTCCCTCCAACTCACATTCCCAGCCTTAGGGACTAGCAGCTTGATTTCTTAAAAATAATTTCAAACAAAAAAAGTTTTGAAGTTTTAAGCCTTCCACTCACCACTTTGGCCCATTTAGGGAGATGAAGTCGGTTGTCATCTAAGGTAATTAACCGGATATCTTTGTGTAAACTCCGGGCCAAGGCAGGGCCAAGATCCAGGGCAATGAAGTCGCGTTGTGATTCTGCGGTGAATCCCAAAGTTTGGAAAGGATAATTTTTCACAAATCCAGAGGAAGGTTCGTTTTGAGCGGTGATCGCCCAGAAGGTTAAATTCTGCTTGGCGTATTCGTCAAGAAACCTTGGCCAAGGGAAACAAGACACCGTTGTTCACATTTAAACCAGAAAAACTGATTTTTAAAAAATTTTTAAAAACTATTTTTTTTAAAATTTTAAAAACTATTTTTTTTTATTTTAAAAAACTGTGTTTTTATTTTTAAAAACTGTGTTTTCAATTTTAAAAACTACGTTTTTAATTTCCATAACTATTTTTTTTTTAATTTTAAAAACGATTTGAACTGCAGCGTGTGACTTTTAAGAGGTTGCCAATACCCTTCGCCGCCTGCAGAGGGCGGTGTTTCCCCAAAATTCAAGACATTCGTCTGCCTGTTTCACCTGACAAAATAGTTAGCCCAGGTTTTGTGGATGGCATCTCCGGCCTGCCCTTTCAGCCAACCTTTCCCTTTCCAGTCCTCGTTGTTTTTCATCCAAATCGGAGCGGTCCATGGACTGGCCATAAGGAAGATGGGCTTCTTCGACATAGCCTTGACCCGATGAATGATGGGGATCTGTGCGGAGAAGGAGGGGGAGGGGGAGTCAACAAGGACCAGGGATGGCCGCCCAGAGTCACCTCCCTACCTTTCTGCCAACCCCCACTCCTTTTTTGGGGTGGGGAGGGAGTAAAGCTTACTTTCATTAGGAGGTCTTCTGCAACCAGGCTGAAATTCTTCAACTCGTAGTCGTACGGAAAATCATCGTAAGTGTACGGCCGGATAGAGAAATCGCAACTCGCCATTGGCATGCGCACAAGATTGTATTCGATCCCTGTGGTGTGTCGATAGGCAGACAGTCAGCGTGGGCGTGCGTGCGTGGGGAGTATGATCTGACCAGGGGGTGGGCTTCAATCATTTTAGCAAGGGGTTCTCTGCTGAGTGGGCATGGCCACCATAGTGGGCGTGGCCTAGTTGGCCTCCTGCATCACGGGGGGGTGGTGCGGTTTTGCCCTCCCCGGGCTCTGGAGGCTTTCCTCGAGCCTCCAGGAGGGCGAAAACAGCCTCCCCAGGCTCCAGAGGCCCTCCGGAGGCCGGAAACGGAAACGGCCTTCCCTAACTTCCGGTAGGCCCGTTTTTCGTCCTCCCCGAGCCTCCGCGTGCGCCCTGCACCCAAAACGGGCCGTGTTGGGACTCCTGGGAGGGGCGGGGTGGGAGGGGCCATCCAGGAGTGCGATTCAGGGGTTCTCCGAACTGCGCAGAATCTTAGCTAGAGGTTCTCCCGAACCCCTGCGAACCCCCAGCAGATCCACCCCTGGATCTGACCGCAATAACTCAGCTTGTACGCCATCAGACCGCTGTTTTATCTAGCCGGCTTTGAGATTTATTGATTTATTATTATTATTTATTTGCTTTGCAAATTGGAAATCCAAAACTTAGCAACTGGATAACACAATCACATCAAGGGGGGCTGTCGTTGCCGATTTGGGCTGGCGAGGGATCCCTGCCTCGCACTGCGCCGGGCTGAGATATCTGCTGGCCGGGATATCACTTTTGGCTTGTTGTGTTGTACGTAAAAACAAACACCCAGTGACAATTTACTTCATCAACCCCCCCCCCCACCCCCCACCGGAACGGCGCAAAGATATTCTATTCTATTCTCTATTCCGATCATAAGTGTGGCTACTTAAAACGCAGCTGAAGTGTTAGCAAAATACAGCTAGTCCTCGACTTATTTACGACCGTTGAAAAACGTCTCCCAGAAATATTGGGCTCAATTGTGGTCGTAAGTCGAGGACCACCCTGTAGAAGGAACCTGTGCTAATTGCCTTTTTTTGGGGGGGTGCTAATTGGCACCCCCAAAGAAGGGCAATCTAAGTGCCTTAGTTCTCAGTAAGTCTTAGCAACGTAACTTTGCTGCCACACAGTGCAGCAATTCTGTCTTTTAAGAGCGTCACAGTGGAAGGGCAGGGAAGTAATCTGAGGTTTGTTAATTATGAAACACTGACGCTGGCATCCTCTATTATTTATGCATATGCATGACTGTGCCATTTTCTGAAATAAGACTCCCATTATGAAACAGAGAGATGCTCCCCTCCACCCTTTTAAATTAAAAACAAACATAAGAGGAGAAAATGGATTGAAATTCTTCCCTTAAATTCTTGTTCCTGCAATCCAGTTTGTCCAATTCAGGCACTCTCTCTCCCTCCCTCTCTCTCTCTCTCTCTCACACACACACAACTATCATCTATCTCCATCTATCTTATCTATCATCTATCCATCCATCCATTCATCCTTTCATATATCTATCATATATTCATTATCTATCTGTTCATGTATCCATCCATCCTTCCATCTCTATCTATCTATCATTTCTATCACCTATCTATATCATCTATCTGTCTGCCTATCTCTTATCTATCTATCTATCTATCCATCCATCCACCCATCCATCCTATTTATATATCTATCTATTCATTATCTATCTCTGTGTCTCCATCCATCCCTCCGTCTAACTCTAACTAATCTATCATCTCTATCATCTCTCTGTCAACTATCATCTATCTATCTGTCTGTGTATCTATCTATCTATCTATCTATCTATCTATCTATCTATCTATCTATCTATCTATCTATTTATTTATCTATGTATCTATGTATCTATATCTATCTATCTATCTATCTATCTATCTATCTATCTATCTATCTATCTCACCTCTCTCTATCTTACCTCTCTCTATCTCACCTCTCTCTAACTCACCTCTCTCTTTATCTATATCACCTCTATCTTTCTCTCTCTCTCTATCTCTCACCTCTCTCTCTCACCTCTCTCTCACCTCTCTCTCTCTCTCTCTCTATCTCACCCCTCTATCTTACCTCTCTCTCTCTCTCTCTCTCTCTCTCTCTCTCTCTCTCTCTCTCACACACACACACACACACACCTCTCTCTCTCTCTCTCCATAAATATCACTCCTCTGAAATCCCTACTCCTGCAATGAACTTTGCCCAATCCAGGCCTTAAGGAAGGAAACGTAATTCTTCCGTCATTAACAAACAGAATAAAGTAATTATCTATCCTATTACTAATCCACCAATCATCATTGTTTTTCAGCCCCATTGGTGATGCTAAGAATTTTAATTTTCAAAAGGAAGCCTGTTTTTTTTTTTGTTTGTTTCCCCTATTCATGTTCTCAAAGGGAAAGATCAAAGCTTAAAAAAAAAAAAGGTTTTAGTTAGTCACATTGGCATGTCCTTCTGAGCTCAATTCATTCTAGATCCCTTCTACCCTGTTTCCCTCTCCAAAATAAGACATTATCCCTTGATAATAAGCCCAATCGGGCTTTTGAGCGCATGGCAATAAGGCCAAGCGCTTATTTCAGGGTTCAAAGAAATATAAGACCGCCTTATTTGGGGGGAAACATGGTAGATAGATAGGTAGATATTAGACAGACAGACAGACAGACAGACAGACAGACAGACAGATAGATAGATATAGATTAGAGAGAGAGAGAAAGAGACAATAGATAGAGATAGATAGATGATAGATAGATATAGATTAGAGAGAGAGAGACTGATAGATAGATAGATAGATAGATAGATAGATAGATAGATAGATAGATAGATAGATAGATAGATAAAGATATAGATTAGAGAGAGAGAGAGATGATAGAGATAGATAGATGATCGATATAGATTAGAGAGAGAGAGAGAGAGAGAGAGAGATAAGAGATAGAGATAGAGATAGAGATAGATAGAGATAGATAGATAGATAGATAGATATAGATTAGAGAGAGAGACGATAGAGATAGATAGATGATCAATATAGATTAGAGAGAGAGAGACTGATAGATAGATAGAGATAGATAGAGATAGATAGAGATAGATAGATAGATAGAGATAGATAGAGATAGATAGATAGATAGAGATAGAGATAGATAGATATAGATTAGAGAGAGAGACGATAGAGATAGATAGATGATCGATATAGATTAGAGAGAGAGACTGATAGATAGAGATAGATAGAGATAGATAGATAGATAGAGATAGATAGATAGATAGAGATAGATAGATATAGATTAGAGAGAGAGACGATAGAGATAGATAGATGATCGATATAGATTAGAGAGAGAGAGACTGATAGATAGAGATAGATAGAGATAGATAGATAGATAGATAGAGATAGATAGATAGAGATAGAGATAGATAGATAGATAGAGATAGATAGAGATAGATAGATAGATGATCGATATAGATTAGAGAGAGAGAGAGACTGATAGATAGATATAGATAGATAGATAGATAGATAGATAGATAGATAGATAGATAGATAGATAGATAGATACCCTGTTTCCCCCAAAATAAGACATCCCCTGATAATAAGTCCAATCGGGCTTTTGAGCGCATGGCAATAAGGCCAAGCGCTTATTTCAGGGTTCAAAAAAAATGTAAGACAGGGTCTTATTTTTGGGAAAACACGGTACCTCCCCCCTCAATCATTAAACCCCTTGCAGTGACGTTCACCTTCCTCCGAGAAGTAAGAACGGAGTAAATTTCTCTGGGCATTCGGCGACAAAGCCAAAATGTTGATGGAAGCTGCATCTGTGACGGAGCCCCAAATCCTTTTATCCTTTGATATCGCTGGGCTTCTTCCAAAATCAGAGTAATATCTAAGAAAAGGAAGGATGGGAAGGAAGAGTCACATTGAGGTGAGATAGGTGGCCTCTACATTTTATAAATAAATACATCAAATAAAAACCACAGGTAGAGTCTTCGGAGACGGCGGCATATAATTAAATTAATTAAATAAATTAAATTAAATTAAATTAAATTAAATTAAATTAAATTAAATTAAATTAAATTAAATAAATTAAATTAAATTAAATTAAATTAAATTAAATTAAATTAAATAAATTAAATTAAATTAAATTAAATTAAATTAAATTAAAATATTACATGTAATGGAATTACAGATTAGTAATAGTAATTATTATTACTAACATCCACCCCACTACTATTATTACTATTACTGCTATTACTATTACCAGTATTATTATTTTGCTACAGGTAGACCTCGACTTACGACCGCAACTGAGCCCAAAATTTCGGTCGCTAAGCGAGACAGTTGGTCAAGTGAGTTGTGTCCCTCTTTTTAACGACCTTTCTTGTCACCGTTGTTAAGTGAATCACTGCAGTCGCTAAGTTAGTAACACGGTTGTTAAGCGAATCCGGCTTCCCAGCTTGACTTGGCTTGTCGGAAGGTCGCAAAAAGGCATCCCGTGACCGACCCCCCCCCCCCCCGGACGCTACAACCGTCATAAATATGAGACAGTTGCTAAGCGTCCGAATTTTGATCACGGGACCGCGAGGGAGGCGGCAACGGCCGTGCGAAAAACGCCGCTGTAACTTCGGTCGCTAAACAAGCCGTTGTCAGTCGAGGACCGTGGGGGGTTGGACTAGATGACCTATAGGATCCCTTACTAATCTGTCATCTGTAATCCAGCCTGTATTGTATTCAATTAAAAACCGCCTGTCTCCTTCTAGAAGGTGGAATTGTCTCTCCGCTTCCTCCCGCAGCTGCCAGCCGCTTGGACCCTCGGGGAGATGGGACTTGTAGTCCTGACACATCCGAGGAAGAGAAATACCTGAATTGGTCGTTTTGTTCTGGAAATGACCTTCTCTGCGATCCAGTCGGTTCCCGGATTTGCTGGATTCGTACACCACAAACTGACCCAAAGGAGGGAGGACAACAGGATCCTGGGAGTCGCAATAGGTACTGTTACAAACACAGACCATCGCGTCGTTGCCGAAATATTTCTGATTGCAGGCTCTGCTTCCTGAATGGAGAAGGGAACCGTTTTTACAGAAAATCTATATTAGAATATATTGGTGGAATATAAGCCTCGACACTCAGCAGTTCATTCAGTGACGGTTCAAAGTTATAATGGTGCAGAGTTTCTCTCTCTCTCTCTCTCTCTCTCCTATCTTTATTTATCTATCTTTCTATCTCTCTAGCTATTAACTTTCTATCTCTATCTCTCTTATCTATCTTTCTCTATCTATTTATCTTTCTATCTCTCTAGCTATTATCTTTCTCTCTTTCTCTCTTATCTATCTTTCCCTATCTATTTTCTATCTTTCTCTCTCTCTCTCTCTCTCTTATCTATCTTTCTCTATTTATTTATTTAACTTTCTATCTTTCTAGCTCTAGCTCTCTTTCTCTCTCTTACCTATCTTTCTCTATCTATTTATCTATTTAAAAAAAGACAATAGCTGTGCTTGAATTTGATTCTTTCTTACCACACCCAGCTAATCCAAAGTGGTGATGGATCTATCTATCTATCTATCTATCTATCTATCTATCTATCTATCTATCTATCTATCTATCTATCTATCTATCTATTATCTGTCTTTCTCTCTCTCTCTCTATTATCTTTCTCTCTATCATCTATCTTTTTCTCTCTCTCTCCCTCTCTCTCTATATCTTTATCTCTCTCTATTATATCTTTCTCTCTATCTCTCTATCTCTTTATTATCTTTCTCTCTCTCTCTCTCTATCTATCTATATCTTTCTATTATCTTTCTCTCTCTCTATCTATTATCTTTCTCTCTCTCCCCCCCCTCCCTCGCTCTTTCTCTCTATTATCTTTATCCTCTCTCGATATCTTTCTCTCTCTCTATCATCTATCTTTTTCTCTCTCTCTCTCCTCTCTCTTATTATCTTATCTATCTCTCTCTATTATCTTTCTCTATCTCTCTATCTCTTATTATCTTTCTCTCTCTCTCCCCCTCTCTCTCTATCTATTATCTTTCTATTATCTTTCTCTCTATCTATTATCTTTCTCTCTCTCTCTCCCTCCCTCTCTTTCTCTCTATTATCTTTATCTCTCTCTATTATCTTTCTCTCTCTCTATTATCTTTCTCTCTCTCTATTATCTTTCTATCTCTATCTTATCTATCTATCTATCTATCTATCTATCTATCTATCTATCTATCTATCTATTTAGAAAAAGACAATAGCTGTGCTTGAATTCCGATTCTTTCTTTACCACACCCAGCTAATCCTAAATGGTGAAATAGCTTCACCTTTCTTACAGCATCCCACATTACAAGTAAAATCCTCTTTAAAATCAAAAAAGCAGGAAGTCCTAGCTTAAATGAAGGATCCACCTTCTCCTCCTGTTATTTTGTTTACAAACAAGGACAGCCAGAGGCCTATCAGAAGCTGCTTCCCTCAAGCCTTCCTTTAAAGGTAGACTGCCTTTCGACAGGGAAGTTCCATTGCCATGGAGATTGACTGCAAACTCTTTTTTTTTTTAAACCCAGCCAAATAACAGCTCACGCAAAGCCAAATTGGATAAAACTGCACGCAGGGTGAAAATAATTTTGTAAGAAGGCAAAAGAAATGCTTCCCCCAAACTCACCTGTTGCCGTCTTCCACGGACAGCAAGAAGACCCAAATGACAAGCTGCGTTGTCACCGACGCCATAATCCCCTCCCCACAATCTTTGCAAAATCAGGAAACTTGGAGATCAGGACACCCCAGCCCCCTGCCCGCAGATGGATCTTCGTAGCCTGAAACGAGGACAGGAAATTCCCATTTTTAATAGCTAGCTATCCATTCAGATCAAGCAGCAAACCAAAATGAGGATAACATTTTATATAATCCTCAGGATTCCTAATCTGAGCCTTCAATATTCAGAAGGAAAGTGCTTTATAGCTCAGCAAATGACAGACAGACGTCTTGGGGGAAAGGAATCACCGAGCAATTTTAAACATCGCTATTCATTGTTTTGTTTTGTTTTCCAGGCTGCATGAACGCAGCAGCCCCTGTTCAAAATCCCTTTTATTTATTTTTAAGCCATTTTATTAAGTTGTTTTTAAAATAAAATAGAAAGTAACAGAAAGATGAAGAAAAGAAAAAAGAGGAGAGGGGAGGGGAGAAAAGAAGAAAAGAGAAGAGAAGAGGAGGAAGGAGAGGGGAGAGGGAGGGGAGGGAGGAGAGGGGAGGGGAGAAGGAATGGAGAAAAGAAAAGGAGAGGGGAGAGGTGGGGAGAAAAGAAGAGAAGAAAACAAGAAAAGAAAAAGGAGAGGAGGAGAGAAAAGAAGAAGAGAGGAGGGGAGGGGAGAAAAGAAGAAAAAAAGGAGAGGAGAGAGGAGAGGAGAGGAGGGGAGAAAAGAAAAGAAGAGGAGAGAAGAGGAGAGGAGAGGAGGAGAGAAAAGAAGAAGAGAGGAGGAGAGGGAGAGGAGAGGAGAGAGGAAGAGGTGGGGAGAAAAGAAGAGAAGAAAACAAGAAAAGAAAAAGAGAAGAGAGGAGGGGAGGGAAAAAGAAGAAAAGAAAAGAAAAGAAAAGGAAGAAGGAAGAGAGGAGAGGAGGGAAAAGAGAAGGGAAGGGAAGGGGAGAGCTAGAAGGGAGGGAAGGAGGTCGAGGGAGGAGAGGGTGTCTGTTTGTTATAAAAGTGCACAATCTTTCAACAACCATCCCCCAAATCGAATTATAATCTTATAACCTAATGATCAAACCTAAAATCCCCCCCCCCCCCCCCCAGTTGTCGGAAAACTTAAAACGGTTCCACTTAAATTTGAACTCGGGACATTACCTGTCGATATTCTTGACGGCGATTTTAATCGCTGGGTTTCTTCGCTGTCTTCCTTCGAATTTGCCCCGAATTTGGGGGGGGGAAAAAATATATCCTTCTTGCCAGACCAGCTTTTTCAAAATCAGCCTTGTGACACCTTTGTGGGCAATCTTTTATCCTCTTTGCTAAATCCACCGGCCTTCCTTTCCACGCCTCGCCTGTCACCACATCACAATTATCCTCTTAAGCGGAAAAGATACCAAGAAAAGAAAGAGGAGGGGGGAGAGAGAGAGAGAGAGAGAATAGATAGAGAGATAGAAAGATGGAGAATCGATAGAGGAAGATAGATAGGAGAGAGAGTTGGGTTAAAGTGAAGATAGTTTTCTTTGCTTAGCTGGAACTAAAAATAAGAATAAGAATAAGAACTACCTTTGGTATAGGGTTTCCCTGCTTGAGCTTAGGGGTTGGACTAGAAGACCTCCAAGGTCCCTTCCAACTTTCTATTCTATTCTATTCTATTCTATTCTATTCTATTCTATTCTATTCTATTCTATTCTATTCTATTCTATTCTATTCTATATTCTACTCTACTCTCTTCTTCTCTCTTCTATGCTATTCTATTCTCTATTCTATGCTACTCTACTCTCTTCTCTTCTCTCTTCTACTCTACTCTCTTCTCTCTTCTCTTCTCTCTTCTCTTCTACTCTACTCTCTACTCTCTTCTCTCTTCTCCCTATTCTATTCTCTATTCTACTCCTCTCCTCTCCTCTCCCCTCCCCTCTCCTCTCTTCTCTTCTCTATTTACTCTCTTCTTCTCTCTTCTCTCTCTTCTATTCTATTCTATGCTACTCTACTCTCTTCTCTTCTCTCTTCTATTCTACTCTACTCTCTTCTCTCTTCTTCCCTATTCTATTCTATTCTCTATTCTACGCTACTCCTCTCCTCTCCTCTATTCTATCTATATTCTCTCTTCTCTCTCTCTCTTTCTATGCTATTCTATTCTTATTCTATGCTACTCTACTCTCTTCTCTTCTCTCTTCTATTCTATCTTCTCTCTTCTTTTCTCTCTTTTCTCTTCATCTATTCTACTCTATTCTCTATTCTACGCTACTCTCCTCTCTTCTCTTCTCTTCTCTTCTCTTCTCTTCTCTTCTCTTCTCTTCTCTCCTCTCCTCTCCTCTCCCTCTCCTCTCCTCTCCTCTCCTCTCCTCTCCTTCTGTTCTGTTCTGTTCTATTCCGTTCTGTTCTATTCTATTCTATTCTCACATGCATGGCTTGGAGGAAGGATTCCCATCCATAAAAAACATTTTGGCATAAATAATGTGAATAATTTAGTAATTAAAGTGTTGGTCTACCCCGAAGTGGGAGAACTGGGGTTGTTAATTCTCCCTTAAGCCTAGAAACTAACCCGGTATCCTTCACCCTCCCCCCCCCCCCATTTCTTAGCAAAACCATTTTTGAAATCATGACCCAGAAAACAGTCTTAACGAAACAAAGCCAAAAAACCCCCAAAAGCTAAAAATGACCAATTTTGGACGTCCTTCGGGCCTCCTGGATTCTAAAAAATTCACGAAAAGGATAACAAGAAGCCTGTAACTTTACTTTCATCCATTCAAACACGAGGTTCGGTAAAAAATATATCCGTGGTCATTAGCGCCATTTTTCGACCCTATCCTTCAAGGAGAAGGTGGTGGTGCCGGGGGGTATTTTTAAAAATATTTTTGCCCTTTTTTAAAAAAAAAAACAAAAACACACACACACAGCTCCCGAAACCACCAGCTGCACTTACCTGGGAAGCCGGGATGAAATTGTTGTCTTTTTTAGCAGCTCGGCATGAAAGTAACTCACCTGAAAAGATGAGGAAATAAGGAAATACCTTTGAAACAGGTTATACCACATAAATTTGATGCTACCTGGTTGACTTGGAGAATTACAGGTCGCATTCAGATCATGAGCCTCGAGCCAAGCTTCAAACGAAATCCAGTTATTTATTAGGCGCTTCGTGTCGGCACGTTCCCAACTGAAGCCAGTCTGACCCTACGTAATTTACGCCCCAAACATGTTTCCCCCCCCTTCCCTCCCCCAGGGTGTGTCATCAATCACATTCGCCATGCTGGTTGTAGAGATCACTCCCCTCCGGCTGCTTTGGGTAACCCTGGGAGACACCTTGAGTAAGTCTGGAATGTGTATTTGTCTTTGGCTGCCATGCCGTTTCGCCTGTTTCCCATCCCCCTTGGCCTATGGCAACTCGAGAGGAGGCCAGGGATGCTTTGCGAGTTGACACGGCCCTGGGGAAAAGGGCTGTTTTTCACACTTACGACCATTGCAACATCCCCATGGTCCCGTGAGCCAAATTCAGACACTTGGCCACTGACTCGTATTTATGACGGTGGCAGTGTCCCGGGGGTATGTGTGTCACGCGATCCCCTTTTGTGACCTCCTGACAAGCAAAGTCCACGGGGAAGCCGGATCCACTTAACGACTTGCGACTCACTTAACAACTGCAGTGATTCCCTTAACAAGGAAGGCCATAAAATTGGGGCACGGTTCATTTTAACACCTATCTCGCTTAGCCTTAGGAAATTTTGGGCTCAAGTGCCGTCGTCACTCGAGGACTACGGTAGCTGTGGTGCAGCGGTTCGCTTAAAACCCTCCCAAAAAAAACCAGGTCGTAAAAATTGAGCACGGCTCGCTTTAACAATGCTTTTGGTAGCGACGGATATTCGGTACTGTTGTGGATAATTCAAGGACTACAGTGTTTTGGGGCTCTCAACCCTGAGACACTGGATACAGGTAGGATCACGCTGTACAATGCCAGAGGTTTGACAACTCCACACACCCGTAATGGCACATTCCTTGTAGCCTTGGAAAACCAGCGCCACTGAGTAAAGGGCACATATCTTATGGGCAGGAGCTGGAACAAGGTGGAAGGAAGGAGGGAGGGAGGATATTGGGAGAGGAGGAAAGAAAGGAGAAGAGATGGAGGGAGGGAGGGAAGGAAGGAAGGGAGGAGGGAAGGAAGGAAGGAATGGGTGGAATGGAGGAAGGAAAGAGAAGAGGAAGGGAGGGAGAAGGTGGAAGGGAGGAGGGAGGGAGGATATTGGGAGGGAGGAAGGAAGGAAGAAGGAGAAGGTGAAACGAGGAAAAAAGAGAGAGGAAGGGAGGGATGAAGGAGGAAGGGAGGAGGAAGGGAGGGAGGGAGAGAAAGAAAGAAGGAGAAGAGATGGAGGGAGGGAGGAAGGAGTGGGTGAAAAGAAAGAAGGAAAGAAAGAGGAAGGGAGGGAGGAAGGTGGAAGGAAGGAGGGAGAGAGGGAGGATATTGGGAGGGAGGAAAGAAAGAAGGAGAAATGGAGGGAGGGAAGGAAGGAAGGAAGGAGTGATGAAACGATGAAGGAAAGAGAAGAGGAAGGAGGGAGGGAGGAAGGTGGAAGGAAGGAGGGAGAGAGGGAGATAGGGAGGAGGAAGGAAGAAGGAAGGAGTGGGTGAAAAGAAAGAAGGAAAGAGAAGAGGAAGAGAGGGAGAGGGTGGAAGGAAGGAGGGAGAGAGGGAGGATATTGGGGGAGGGAAGGAAGAAGGGAAGAGAAGGAGGGAGGGAGGGAGGGAAGGAAGGAAGGAAGGAAGGAGTGGCTGAAAAGCAGGAAGGAAAGAGAAGAGGGAGGGAGGAGGGTCCGGTGGGCTCCCTATTGCAAGGCGAACTGGCTGCCGTTATCCCAGCCCCAACCTCCGCGCCCGCTAGTCACTCTTGCCCGGCTGCTCACGGAAACCCGCAGCCGACAGCCGCCCGCTTCGCCTCCGCGCCTTGACAGCTGCCCGGAGAGGAGCCGCCGCCGCTCAGCTGCCCTGCAGGAGGGGAGGGGGGAGTGAAGGGAAATCAGCTGATGGGCGGGTCACGTGGGAAAGAGGAGCAGGAGGGGGAGGAAGAGGAGGAGACTGGGAAGGGGGTGTGGAAAAGACACGTGGCCACAAACTTTAGCTAGTCCCTGGGTGGGGGGCTCGGGGGGGGGAAGCCGGCTGAGCGGGGAGTTCCCAAACCCATCAGCCCCAGCCGGGAGAGGAGAAAGGGCTTGGGCAGCTATTCAGTTACCTGTCCTAAATTCACATTATGATCCTACATCCCTCTTTAAGATCAGGGTACTTAATATAGCCTGATTTTATATATATTTTACACACACACACACACACACACACAACACACACACACACACACACACACACACACATGTTTGTATTGCCATAGTTAAGTGACATCTCACATCAGTGATTTGAGATGTCACTTAACTATGGCAATACAAACATCTTGATTTACGTAGGAAAAACCCTGCCTAGAACAGTAATGCACATATATATATATATATATATATATACATTATGATTTATATATATATATATTATATATATATATACATACACAGATTTATTTATTTATTATTTATTAATTCAATTTGTATGCCGCCCCTCATATATATGATTATATATATATATATATTATATATATATATAATATATATATATATAATATATATAAATATATATATATATATATATTATATATATATATACATACACAGATTTATTTATTTATTATTTATTAATTCAATTTGTATGCCGCCCCTCATATATTATATATATATATATATATATATATATATATATATATTATATATATATATACACAGATTTATTTATTTATTATTTATTAATTCAATTTGTATGCCGCCCCTCATATATATGATATATATATATATATATATAATATTATATACATACACAGATTTATTTATTTATTATTTATTAATTCAATTTGTATGCCACCCCTCTCCGAAGACTCAGGGCAGCTCACAATGCATTTAAAATCATGATAAAGAACATTTAAAAATTAAAAACATTAAAACACATTAAAACATCCATAGATTATGGATTGATTGATGATGGATGGATGGATGGATGGAAGATAGATAGATGATGGATGGATGGATGGATGGATGGATGGATGGATGGATGGATGATAGATGATGGATGGATAGAGAGAGATGATGGATGGATAGATGATAGATGATGGATGAATGAATATAGATTGATTGATTGATAGAATAAATGATGGATGGATAAATGGATGGATAGATGATAGATGGATAGATAGATGATGGACGAATGGATATAGATAGATTGATTGATTGATAGATAAATGATGGATGGATACATGATAGATAGATAGATGATGGATGAATGGATATAGATTTATTTTATTTTATTTTATTTTACTTTAGATTTATATACCGCCCTTCTCCCTAGGGACTCAGGGCGGTGTACAGCCAAGTAAAAACACATAAATACATAATACATAATACATAGATTAAGAACAGATTAAAAGGAAATATCTCAATCTGGCCCAAAATTTAAAAAGACAAACGAATTTAAAATCATTTAAAATCATTTAAAAGGATTTGTTAGGCCAGCCCGGCTTGTTGAAAAAGAAAAGTTTTAAGGGAACGGCGGAAGGCACGAAGGTCTTGGATTCTCCTTATCTCTGGGGGCAATTGATTCCAGAGGGTGGGAGCCCCCACAGAGAAGGCCCTCCCCCTGGGGGTCACCAGCCTGCATTGCTTGGCTGATGGCACCCCGATTGATTGATTGATTGATTGATTGATTGATTGATGATGGATGGATGGATAGATGATAGACAGATAGCATACATACATACATACATATAGATATATAGATATACACACATACATACAGAAACATATATACACACATATAATATTATTGGACACTGTCCCTGTTTTAAGTCCATTAGGATCCTTCAAGGCACTGTCCATCAGCCAGATGTTGAGACTGGATTTGGAATGATTGCCCACCAATTGAATGCTTCCCAAGGATCTTGATATAGCTAGATGTTTGTACTGAATAATATTAATAAGATTTATCTGCAAGATGTCAGGTGTTCCCAATCACGCCGCCTTTGGCGAATGGCCCCGAGGAATTGCTCTGTGTGCCACTTCCGACACGCGTGCCATCGGTTCGCCGTCACGATCCTAGAGCGTCCACCGTTCCTGCCACGAAGCTTAGAACGAAAAAATGTATGGGGGTTTTTTTTTTTGGCTTCCTTGGAGGCAAATCTGCGTGTGGCTCCCTGCAATAGTGTGGTTGTGTGTCAGTTTGTCCTTGTGGTTTCAACGAAGGTGTAGCTGTTGAGACTTCCGTTGGAGAAAGCGGTTGGAACCGTCCGTGGTTATAATTACGGCAATCGAGAGAGAGAGAAAGAGTGCGGATCTTATCTGGAAGAAATCGAATTTTCGTGGCTCTCACCCAAACGTCGACTGGAACGGCTGGCTACAAGTCAGTAAGAATTCCAAAGAATAAACATGCTTTGGAAACCAAACGACGTTTTCCTTCTTTGCTACAGGCGGTCCTCGACTTACGACGACAGCCGAGTCCCAAATTTCTCGTCTTTATGACGGTCGGGTGAGTTTTGACCCGTGCGACGAACTTTCCCGCCACGGTTATTAAGTTTTTGTTTTGTTTTTATTAGATTTATATACCGCCCTACTCCCGAAGGACTCGGGGCGGTGAACAGGCACAAAATAAAATACATAGATACAAAAGTTAGAAACATAATTAAAACCAGATTAAATAATTTATCCCGAGACAATTAAAAATCCCAATAATTTAAAACCGATTAAAATTTCGATTTAAAAGAATTTTAAAACAGGGGAGAAAATTAGGCCAGGCCGGCTTGCTGGAATAGGAGAGTCTTAAGAGCACGGCGGAAAGCGCGCAGATCCGGGATCCTCCGTATTTCCGCGGGGAGCTCGTTCCAGATATGGGTGCCCCCACAGAGAAGGCCCTCGCCCTGGGGGCCGCCAGTCGACATTGTTTGGCTGACGGCACCCGGAGGAGCCCCTCTCTATGAGAGCGTACTGGCCGGTGGGAGGCTGTTTGTGGTAGTAGGTGGTCCCGTAAATAACCAGGTCCTAAGCCATGGAGCGTTCTAAAAGTGGTGACCAAAACCTTGAAGCGCACCCAGAAGACCACCGGGAGCCAGTGCAGCTCGCGCAGGAGAGGTGTCACACGGGAGCACCATGTTGCTCCCATAACCACCCACGCGGCCGCACTCTGCGCCAGAGCCTCCGGGTGCTCCTCAAGGGGAGCCCCATGTAGTGACATTAATAACGGAGTTGTTAAGCGAATCTGGCTTCCTCCTTGACTTTAGGGGGTCTCCTGCTTGAGCGGTGGTGGGTTGGACTAAACGACCTACAGCCGTGATGGCGAACCTATGGGACGGGTGCCACAGCTGGCACACGGAGCCGTATCAGTGGGCACGCGAGCATTGCCGTAGCTCAGCTCCAGGGCGCATGCGTGCGCCGGCCAGCTGATTTTTGGGGCCTTCCGGTCCCACCGGAAGTTGGGAAATGGGCTGTTTCCCGCCTCGGGAGGGCCTCCGGGGGAGTGGGGAAGGCTGTTTTTGCCCTCCCCAGACTCCTAGAAAGCATCTGGAGCCTGGGGAGGGTGAAAAAACGGGCCTACCAGGCCCACCGTGCCATTGCGTGTTAAAAGTGGGGGGGAGCTGTGCGCACATGTGGGGCGCATTGAATTAAGGGTGTGGGCACGCACGTGGGTGACCTCTCCACGCTCCCCACGTTTTTGGTATGTGACGGCAAAACAATTAGCCATCACTGACCTCGTTTTAATCTGTTCGTCTAATCTTTGCTCGTCAGAAGGTTGCGAGAGTTCGTTTAGCAAGACCGGCGTTACAACGGCACCGGAAAAAAGTGAATTACGTCCGCTTTTCACACTTAACGACCGTTGCAGCGTTCCCCGGAGGGGTGTGTGTCACGTGATCAAAATTCAAACCCTGGGCAACTGACTCATATTTACGACGGAGTTCCCCGGGGGGGGGGTTTCACGTGATCCCCTTTTGTGACGACGGGGGAAACCCGATTCGCTCTGCAGCCGTGTTCTTCACGGAACAACGGCAGCGATTCATTTAACAACTGTGGCAAGAACGGCCGTAAAAGGAGGCGAAATTCGCAGAACAACCCGTCTCGTTTAGCAACGGGAATTTTGGGGGTCGGTTGCGGTCGTAAGTCGAGGACTACCTGTACTTTAGCCAACAGCCTAAGGCTGATGAGAGAGAAGGCGGAAAAAAGCGTCGCCGTTACACAACTCTTTAATCCTTTTGTTGGAGCAACATGTTGTTTATACAACTGGATTTCCCAGTCCAGTTGTAAGACACTCAGCAGGTAGCTAGCATTCGAAAGCTGGTTTGCCAACTCCTTCCCCAGCTCTTCACACCTCCAAACTTCCTGAGCTGAGGCGTAAAGCAGTCCTTAGCAACGTCCTCGACTTACGACCGGTTGCTTGGCAACCGCCCCAAGTAACGACCGATGTAATTCTGATGTTCCAACAGGGACTTCCCTTCTCAGCGGTGGCGTGATGGCTCCCGGCCACCGTTGACGGCGGTTTGCAGCGTCCCGTGGCTGTGTTTTTTACGACGTTTTTTGCTGAACGAAAAACGGCAACGGAAGGTAACTAATCAAGGAGAGAAGAATCTAGAACTCGGGAGAAAGTTCTGGACAGTGAGAACAATTCCTCAGTGGAACGACTTGCCACCAGAAGTTGTGAATGCTCCAACACTGGAAGTTTTAACACTGTTAATCTGCTATTCTTTTTTCCTTCCTTCCTTCCCTCCCTCCCTCCCTCCCCTCTCCCTCCTAACCTTCTTCCTTCCCTCATCTGTCTCCTTCCTTTCTTCTTTCCTTCCCTCCTTTCTCCTCCCTCGTCTGACATACTTCCTCCCTCCCTCCCTCCCTCCTCTCCTTCCTTTTATCCTTCTTTCCTTCCTTCCCCTCCCTTCCCTTTCCTTCTCCCCTCCCTTCTTCCCTGGAGGTTTACAAGAGGAGATTGTATTTTAAATTGATAAATTTCTAAACTATGGGCCAAATTTAATTATTTTAAATCTATTTTTTAATCGTACTTTATGTATAAATGTTTTGTTTTGGCTCTTCACCGCCCCGAGTCCGAAAGGAGAAGGGCGGTATAGAAATTCGAATAATAAAATAAACAAAAATAAACCATTTGTCTGAAATGCTTTAGAGTTTCCTGCCTGAGCCGAGGGTTGGACTAGAAGACCTCCAAGGTCCCTTCCGACTCTATGATTCTGTTAATTACTTCTGGGGGTTTTTTTGGAAACCAAGCAACTACGAGTTTTCTGTACAACCGAGGTTTCGCTCACTTAACAAATCACGGCAAAACAGGTTGTAAAATCAGGTCGGTCACGACTTAACGACTGTAATGGGCAGGACTGCCTTACAGTCATTCTGTTAGGGACTGCCTATCCGAGTTGCAAAAGTTTAAACCCATTTTCTGGTTTCTCCCCGCGAGGAGCCTACGACAGGATAGGGTCAAAGTGTGCAAGAATTCATGTAAGATTTGGAGAGCTGGTTGAGGGAATCAGAGGCCTCGAGGATCTACCAAGTCTTCGGCTGGGAAGGGTGTTTGGGCCTGGCCCGCCTCGTCGGCTTGTTGTGTAAGATCAGAAATCAGAATCCGGCGATTGGCAGGCGGCAGGGTGTCCCAATGCCTTCCTTTTGTGAAATATCTCTTTTGTTTACATGCCAGGCTCCGAAGATTGTTCCACGGCACCAACATGTGTCCTAGACGAGGGTGTGGTTTGTACGGAACACCTGAGATCAGCTGTCAAGGATTAGTAATCCTGGATTAATTGTGAAGCTTGGATGGAGCTGTGTATCCTAGGCTCTCGTGGACCGCACTTAATCCCGCCACTTGCGATGATGTTACTTCCGGTTTAGCGAAGTGCGTGCGACAATGTTTTCATTTGCACGGCGTGGTCGATTCAGGGAGTCCTTCGTTTAGCCACCGGCTCGTTTAGTGACCGTTCGGAGTTACGACGGGGATGAAAAAAAAATAATAATAATAACTTGGTGACCAGACTTCGCATGGACAACTTCCTGCAAAGCAAAAGTGAGGTCAGACCATAAGCACAGTCGCAGTGTCACTTTATGACGGCTTTGTTTAATGACCAAGGTGCTGGTCCTTTCTTCCTTCCTCCTTTCTTTCTCATCCCCCTTTACTTTCCCTTCCTTCTTCCCTCTCGCCCTCCCTCCTTTCCGTCTTCTTTTTCTTTCTCATCTCCTTTTCTTTTCCTTCCTTCCTTTTTTTTCTTTCTCATCTCCCTTCCCTTCCCCTTCCTTCCTCCCCTCTTTTCTTATCTCCCTCCTTCCTTCCCTTTCTTTTTCTTCTTTCTTTCTTCTTTCTTTTCTTTCTCATCTCCCTTCCCCTTCCTTCCTTCCCTTTTCTTTTCATTTCCCTTCCTCCCTTTCTTCTTTCTTTCTTCTTTCCTTTTTCTCATCTCACTTCCCTTCCCCTTCCTTCCTCCCCTTTTCTTCTTCTTTCTGAAAAAAATCTCCCTCCACCCCTTCCCTCCCTTTCTTTTCCTTCCTTCCTTCCTTCCTTCCTTTTGGCTTTGCTTTCTTTTTTTTCATTCCTTACTTTTTCTCTCCCTTCTGCGGCCTCCAATTATTTCTTGTGTTTCATCTTTGCCTCTTCTAAAAACATAACAAAGCTAGAGAAGAAGTAGAAGTAGAAATAGAGGAGGAGGAGGAAGAGGAGGAAGAAGAGGAAGTAGAAGAGGAAGAAGGAGAAGGAGAAGAAGAGGAGGAAGAAGGAGGAGGAGGAGGAGGAGGAGGAGAATAAGAAGAAGACTAAGGAGGAGGAGGAGGAGAAGAAGAAGAATAAGGAGAAGAATAAGGAGGAGGAGGAGGAGAAGAAGAAGAAGAATAAGGAGAAGAATGAGGAGGAGGAGGAGGAGGAGAAAAAGAAGAAGGAGAAGAATAAGGAGAAGAATAAGGAGAAGAATAAGGAGGAGGAGGAGGAGGAGGAGGAGAATAAGAAGAAGACTAAGGAGGAGGAGGAGGAGAAAAAGAAGAAGGAGAAGAATAAGGAGAAGAATAAGGAGGAGGAGGAGGAGAGGAGGAGGAGGAGGAGGAGATAAGAGAAGAAATGAGGAGGAGGAGGAGGAGGAGGAGAGAGGAGGAGGAGGAGGAGGAGGAGAAGAAGAAGAAGAAGAAGAAGAAGAAGAAGAAGAAGAAAGAAGAAGAAGAAGAAGAAGAAGAAGAAGAAGAAGAAGATGAAGAAGAGAAGAAGAAGAAGAAGAAGAAGAAGAAGAAGAAGAAGAAGAAGAAACAGGAGGAGAGCATCCAGTCCTCACCCCCAATCACCCACTCTCATCTTCGATTTTAAGATATGGCTTTATTTGTCTTTTCTCAGGCGAGACATTTGTGCATCTCAAAAACCGGCGCAGCCAAGGAAGGCTGCCAACTGTTCCCCTCTGCGGAGAATCCTCTTGTCTTTCCAAACGGCGGAGAGATTTCATAGGTGGGTGCCTCCCCTGGGTTGTACATGCAGGCTTGGTTAAAGAGCAGAGGCACCGGAGGGGTGGGGGAGAGTTGGCAATCCTCAATCACCACCCTCACCCAACTCCCCCGCACCCGAGATTGAGAAAGTCGGGAAAGGTGACGGCGAGATCTTACCACATGCGCCTTCCAAAAACTGGGAACCCCAACTGAGTTTGGAGTCAAGAGGACATGCCAAACTGGAGGGAAAAAATCTTTGGGGAAATCTAAAAATTTTGAGGTCTCGCCTCCGTTTGCAAAATCTCCAGCCGGAAAGCAAAATATGTGAATTTTGCAATAGCGGGAAGAGAACAGAGCTACCGCTGACCCCCTTTCTCGTCCGAGGAAGCTTCTGGGCCCCAGAATTGTTGTAAATTTCTTACTACAGGTAGTCCTCGACTTACAACAGTTTGTTTAGAGACTGAAGATACAACGGCACTGAAAAAAAGTCACTCGGGACCATTTTCACACTTAACGACCATTGCAGCATCCCCGTGATCAAAAATCAGACCCTTGGCGACTGACTCGTACTTATGATAGTTGCAGTGTCCCAGGGTCACGCGATCTCCATTTTGCGACATCAAAGTCAATGGGGAAGCCAGATTCAACCGTGTTCCTAACTTAACAGCTGCAGTGATTCCCTTAACAACTGTGGCAAGAAAGGTCGTAAAATGAGGCAAAACACACTTAGTAACTGTCTGGCTTAGCAACAGAAATGTTGGGCTTCAGTGTGGTCGTAAGTCGAGGACTATCTGTACCAGTAACCCCTCTTCTCGTCCAAGGGATTGGTTGAGGCCCTGGAATTGACATAATTTCTTACTCTGAGGACCCTCCAAGGGGAGGGGAAGTCTATTCTGGGAAAGCGGGTGCCCTCAAACCGTGACCCGAACTATTTTGGGCCTGCTTTTGTGGCGTCTCCTCTCTCGCCCCCCCAAATTCAACTGGGTCCCCTCCCAGTCCATGATGGCCTCTCCGAGGGAAGCACCCCAAAAAGGCACAGCACTAAAGTGAGGTATCCACAAAAGAGGGACAAATGCGAGAAACGAATGTACAAGGAACCGAACAGCGCGACACTGCAGACGTATCGTGGATAACAGGAACAGCATCTCAGAGGCAGTGAATCCGGGATAGAACGAAAGGATTATGGGTTCAGTGGTGCATCCAAGCCTTTGGATCAGTCTTTCCCGCTGAGACGTAAGAAATACGTTCAAGGGGATCTCTCGTTTTAGAACAGCTCGCCGGATTATCACAGCGCGCAGATAACCGGGACTCCAGAACGAGTGTCGGTGAAGCCCTTAAAATTAAGAGTCAACTGTTGTGTTAGGTAGCAGGGGTCAGCGGTTCTGCCCTCTTGGTGCGCCAGCAGCTAGGCGAGCCCTCCTTCCTGACCCCCCTCAAATTTTGTGGTTCCTCCCCTCGAAATAATTTTTGAAGATCACCGTGCGGGAGCACGAGACTCCCCACTTTGGTTTCGCATGTATCCTGAGCGAGGCGGAATAATTTCCAAGCAACGGTGTCGGGCAACCTGTTAGGCCATTCCTGGACATTGTACGGCAAGGACGTCCACCAGATGTCCATCTCGTGGCCGGTTTTTAGCTCCAAATCCTCTTCCGCAGAGGACAAGCATCGGAGCCGGTCTTCAGAGATTGCTTTCTCGCAGAAGTCCACTCAGGCTGCAGGGACGTCTTTGATCCAGCCGGCGACCAGACAGTAGACGCCGTAAAGGGGAGGTCGAATTCAGATCTCCACAGCTCTGCAGATGGATGCCATTGGATGGACTCCCCAGCCTTAACACCTGAAAAACCCAAGGAATCACTTGAAAACGGTTGAAAAAGATAGGTCATAAGTAGAGAGGAAAAGAGGAGGGTTTGGATGAGGAAAACTAACCGAGGGTATTCAGGATAAGAAGCACAATTCGGTAGGATAAGTAATGCTCAAACCTACGACCACAATCACAATTCATTCTTTCTTTCTTTCTTTCTTTCTTTCTTTCTTTCTTTCTTTCTTTCTATTTATTATCTATTATTTATCTTTTTATCTATATCTATTTTCTATCTATCTTCTATTTATTATCTATCTTATCCATCTAATCTATCTATCTAATCCTATCTATCTATCTATCTAGCTAGCTAGCTAGCTATCTAATCCATCTAATCCATCTATCTTCTATCTCTCTTCTGTTTATTATCTATGTTATCTACTGTATCTAATTCATCTATCTATCTAATCTTATCATCTATCTATCTATCTATCTATCTATCTATCTATCTATCTATTCCTATCTATTTCATCTATCTAATCCTACCTATCTATCTATTTCATCTATCTAATCCTATCTATTTCATCTATCTATCTAATCAATCTAATCTATCTAATCTTATCTATCTAATCCTATCTATCTATCTATCTATCTATCTATCTATCTATCTATCTATCTTTCAGCCTCCAGCTTTTATGTTCAATATCGGATATATTCAATATTTGTATTTTTCTTTGTACTCGTGTTTTTTTTTTTGGCCAGTGTTCTTTTCGTTTTTCTTGTTTGCTATTTTATTCTTGTTGGCAAATGAAAATAAATCTGTTAAAATGGACATGTGGCAGAGTGCTGGCCACTTTGGCATCCCTGCCTCGCCACAGTCAACTAGAGTGACATGATCATGGTTTACAGTGCTCCTTGCCAGCAGCTTCCCACAAGAAAAGTCACTGGGGAAGCCAGCAAGAAGTCGTAAATCACTCCCATTCCCGCAGCTTTATTGCCACCCTACGATCATTCTCCTTTGTTTAAGGAACAAAATATCTGTTTAATGATGACCTGCAATGACAAAATAATTTGTCTGCATAATCTGTACCAGCACTCATACCCAACAGTTCATAGTCACGATCCGCAGAGATCTGATAATTACTTCCGATGTTAATTACTCCTCATTACAATTCTCATGCTGTGAAGTGGCCTTTGGTAAGGTCAGATGAGACGAGATAAACCTATTCATGGTGACTGTCTTTATCAGTTCATTTTATTGTTCATTTTATTATAGGAGGGAGGGAGGGAAAGGAAGGAAGGAAGGAAGGAAGGAAGGAAGGAAGGAAGGAAGGAAGGAAGGAAGGAAGGAAGGAAGGACAATACCAGGGGTGAGCTGCTGGAGGTTCGCAGGGGTTCGGGAGAATCTCTAGCTAAGATTCTGTGCAGTTCGGAGAACCCCTGAATCGCACTCCTGGCTGGCCCCACCCATCCTGCCCCGCCCCTCCCAGGAATCCCCATGTGACCCGTTTTGGATGCAGGTATGCAGGGCGTGTGCAGAGGCTCGGGAAGGGTGAAAAACGGGCCTACCGGAAATTCAGGGAAACCGGAAACTGGCCTGTTTCCAGCCTCCAAAGGGCTTAAGTAGCCTCGAGAAAAGCCTCCGGAGCCCGGGGAGGGCAAAAACGCCCCCTCCCACTGTGGTGCAGGAGGCCGACTAGGCCACGCCCACCATGGCCACGCCTATCCAGCAACCGGGCAGAGAACCCTTTGCTAAAATTTTTGAAGCAAAGGGTAACTCTGAATTCTAACCACAGTTTCTGGACAAGCCAAGATCAGGTCATCTCATCCTGACAAGAAAAGAATTCAAAAGACGAAGAATTGAGACCAAATCGTCATTTTAGAAACGGACTGCGGTGAAAAACACAGGAGTTTATGAAACGGTGGAAGGAAATCCCTGTAAAACTCCAATCGTTTACATTCTGGGCCATCCCTCCTTTTCCGAGGCCTCCCGGGTAATTAGGTGTTAATTAGCTGACACAATTAGTTAAGGAGGGAAAATTCCAGGCTCAACAGAGGAAACTGGATTGAGGGCAATTCTTTTCTTTAATTGAGTCTTTTATGTTTGCTACTGATTTTTTTTTTTTTTTGCTTTGTAATGCTTTCTTTGTTTGCATTGCTGTTTTCATTAATCAGGAGCAAAAAGAGAGGGAGGGAAGGAAAGAAATAGGGTTAGAGGAGAAGGAGGGGAGGGAGGGAGGGAGGGAGGGAGGGAGGGAGGGAGGGAAGGAAGGAAGGAAGGAAGGAAGGAAGGAAGGAAGGAAGGAAGGAAGGAAGGAAGGAAGGAAGGAAAAATAAGGGAGAATGGAAGAGAAAAAATGTGTGAATGTGGAAGGGAGAGGGAGGGAAGGAAGGAAATAGGGTTAGAGGAGAAGGAAGGGAGGGAAGGAAGGAAGGAAAAATAAGGGAGTGGAAGAGAAAAAATGTGTGAATGTGGAAGGGAGAGGGAAGGAAGGAAGGGAAGGGAAGGAAGGAAACAGGATTAGAGGAGAAGGAAGGAAGGGGAAGGGAGGGAAGGAAGGAAGGAAATAGGGTTAGAGGAGAAGGAAGGAAGGGAGGGAAGGAAGGAAGAAAAGGGAAGGGAAGGGAGGAAGGAAATAGGGTTAGAGGAGAAGGGAGGAAGGGGAAGGGAGGGAAGGAAGGAAAAATAAGGGAGAATGGAAGAGAAAATGTGTGAATGGAAGGGAGAGAAGGAGGGAAGGAAGGAAGGGAAGGGAAGGAAGGAAATAGGGTTAGAGGAGAAGGAAGGGAGGGAAGGAAGGAAAAATAAGGGAGAATGGAAGAGAAAAATGTGAATGTGGGAGGGAGAGAAGGAAGGAAGGGAAGGGAAGGAAGGAAATAGGGTTAGAGGAGAAGGAAGGAAGGGGAAGGAGGGAAGGAAGGAAATAGGGTTAGAGGAGAAGGAAGGAAGGAAAAATAAGGGAGAATGGAAGAGAAAAAATGTGTGAATGTGGGAGGGAGGGAAGGAAGGAAGGAAATAGGGTTAGAGGAGAAGGGAGGGAGAGAAGGAAGGAAGAAAAGGGAAGGAAGGAAGGAAATGGGGTTAAAAAAGAGGGAGGAAGGAAGGAAAAATGTCATGTTAATGACAATGAAATTAAAGGAATAGGAACGAAACCTTGAATTAACGCAGGGGAATGAGATTGTTCCTGGAAATGACGAACTGGCCATCATTTGGGGGAGGGGAATCAAGTTTTTTTCCCTTGCGCCATCCAATAGAATAAGAGAAAAACAGTTGGAAGGGACCTTGGAGGTCTTCTAGTCCAGCCCCCTGCCTAAACAGGAATCCCATTTTAGACAGACAGTAGTTCAATCCCTTCTTTTTTAAAAAAAAAAACAACACCAAAACCCCTTCTCGTCCCTACTTCGCTAAGCCTCCTGAACATGAGGGGGGGTGGAAAAAACCCCACCCACCCCCCAACCTCAGTACGGTACCTGCTTGTTCCCGCGTGAACTCATTTCCGCGCCCGGCAAGGTCAGGTTCCGTTTGGATCGGTGCAGGAAACGGGCCATCAGGCCGCGAGACCCCCGGCACGCCTTGAGGTCCCCCAGAGACCGCGTGATAGTCTTTGAGAGATGGTGGGGCACCTTCGCGGGCAGCTCCAGCTTGGATTTGCCGGCCACATGAGCCAGAAAGAGTGGGTCACAGAACGACGGGTGCGAGGGCCACGCCTCCGAACACGGCCCTGAGAAGAGAGGGGGGAGAATTTAAGTGAGGTGTGTGTCAGTGGTGGGTTTCAACCGGTTCGCCCCGGTTCGGACGATGGCGGGAAGCTCCACCCACCCACCTGGATGTCATCATGGACGCCCTGCGCATGCCAACAACTTATAACAGCCCCCCCCTCCACCAAACAGCTGCTTACAACCAGGTTACGGCCTCTTGTAGCACCCTGCAGTCCCGTGACTGCAATTTATAATGGTTTCGCCAGAAACGGTCATGATATTACAATTTTCAGGAAAATTTTCAGGAAAACTTACAATTTTCAGGGGGGGAAAAAAACAAAAAAAGCTCATAGGGAACAATAGGTCTGCTTAACGTCTGCCGTGAAAAAAGGTCATAAAATCGAAACTGGGTATGTGAACCTTTTTCCAAGGGTCACGACTGACTGGAATTGCCGGGCTCCGTTACAGTCGTAAGTCAAGGATTCCTACAGGGTGTTCTTGAGTTATGACCACAATGGAGGCCAAATTTTATGTTGCATATTTCTTGTTATAACCAAGAAATTGGTTTAGCGAATTCCCCCCCCTCCGTTTTATGATTTTTCTTGCTGCCGTTGTTAAGTGAATCACTGCAGTTGGGAAGCCAGTCACACGGTTGTTAAGTGAGTCTGGCTTCCCCCTTGACTTGGCTGGTCGCAAAAGGGGATCGTGTGACCCTGGGACGCTACGATCGTCATAAATAGGAACCCATTGCCCAGCATCTGAATTTTGTCCACGTGATTGTGGGGATCCTGCGACGGTCGTAAGTGCGAGAAACGATCCTAAGTCCCTTTTTGAAATGCCGTCGTAACTTCAAACGGTCACTAAATGACCCATTGGAAGTCAGGGACTGCCCACAGAGCACGGGAACCTTGGAGAAATGCTGAACTTCCAACCACCTGCATTCCTGCAGAGTTTTAAAGAATTAACCGTCATACAGGTGAGACATCTTTGAAAACTGCAAATAAGGGTTTGTTGACGTGGTTTAAATCAGGGTGACAACAATTAGGCACTACGACAGGAAAATTGAAATCACCGCTGGGCAGCACAGCCCTCACCTGTTTCCGCTGAGGAATTAGAAGCGTCGTCTCCAGACCCTTTCGTGCAAAATACTTCGTGGTCATCGGTTTCTGTGGGGTGGAAGGGAGAGGGGGGGAAAACGGATGGGAAAGAATGAAAATCTTTTCCTTCCTTCCTTCCTTCCTTCCTTCCTTCCTTCCTTCCTTCCTTCCTCCCTCCCTCCCTCCCTCCCTTTACAAGGGGTTGGACTAGAAGACCTCCAAGGACCCTTCCAACCCTTGTGACCCCATTTTACTTACCAGACTCCCTGGACACGGCCATCCCAGGGTCACTGTGGGACCGCAGCAGCGGACAACGGATCACGGGTGACTGGCAGGAGGTTTCGCTGCTGCGGCGCGGTCGCCTGGGCTCTTTGCGGGTCGATACCGTCAACTTGGGCTTCACACGAACCTCAGGAAAACAGGGTCCCATGCTGTGGCCGAGACCCTCCAGGCGGTGGCAGCTGTGGGTCTGAGCACTACTGACCTCCAGCAGGCCGTCGTACACCGTGCCCGGCGTGGAACAGGAGAAGGAGCGCTCGCCCCGCAGACGTGTCTGCGGGATGTCTTCGAACGGGCCCTGCGGGTGAAGCCCGCAGTGTCCACAATCGACACTCAGGCAGTAATCTGCTCGGCTGCGCTGGATGGAGCGGAAGAGGACGTAATCCACCGAGCAGGCCGATCCGCTCCCTTCCAGCAGGCACGAATCTTCGGACGGGCTGCTGTCCCCGGGAATGTCTACGATTTCCGACATGATGAGCGAGTTGCTGTCCGCGGAAATTGCTGTTGAAAAACGAGACCGCAAATGAAGATAAACTGGAGGGACTGACTTCAATACGGTTCCAGTTTTCCAGTTGTGCATCAAAACAATTGTGTATTTGTGTCTGTGTTTGCGTGTGTATTTACCTTCACCGCTAAGCACAACGGAAGGCACCTGGTTGCAGGAACACGGCCCATGCGATGTTTCCGTAAACTGAGAGTCAAACAGCGTTACCTGCAGAGTGGAGACAGAAAACGTCCGTTAATTTAGCTTCGCGGAACGAATGACCGTGAAGTTTTCAAGATATATGCTACTGTCTTTGGAGGTTCCGCAACAGGCCTAAGGAACAACTAAACACAGCATCTACTGTTATACAATAGGAATAACACTTAGACTTATATACCGCTTCACCCTCTTCTCAGCGGTTTACACAGTCAGCATCTTGCTCCCAACAATCTGGGTCCTCGTTTTATGACCTCGGAAGGACAGAAGGCAGAGTCAGCCTAGACCCAGTCAGGATTGAACTCCTGGCAGTCGGCAGAGTTAGTCTGCAACGCTGCATTCTAACAGAAAGGAAGGAGGGAGGGAGGAAGGAAGGAAGGAAGGAAGGAAGGAAAGAGGGAAGGAAGGGAGGAAAAGGAAGGAAGGAATGAAGAAAGGGAAGAAGGGGAGGAAAAGGAAGGAAAGAAGGGATAGGTTGGAAGAAGGAAGGAGGGGAGGAAAGGAGGAAAAGGAAGGAAGGAGGGAGGGAGGAAAAGGAAGGAAGGAAGGAGGGAGGGAGGGAGGGAACAGCAATACCACTTCGACTTAGATACTGCTTCACGGTGCTTTACAGTCCACTCTAAGCAGTTTACAAAGTCAGCCTCTTGCCCCCAACAATCTGGGTCCTCATGTTACCGACCTCGGAAGGACGGAAGGCTGAGTCAACCCCGAGCCGGTTAGGATCGAACTCCTGACAATCGGCAGAGTTCGCCTGCAATCCTACATTCGGACCACTGCGCCACCACGACTCTTCTTTTCTTATCCTTCGATAGACTTATTTTATATCCAGTATTTTAATTTCCTGCCGTCGCCCAGTCAGTACCCTCCAGACAGTCCATACCATAACCACATCCCCCTGGCAGGCCAGCCCAGATAGACTGCGTCTACCGGTGGTGCTCTCCTCGAAGTCGCCTGGTTTACACCCTTTGCTAACCAAATCGTCGGCTGCAAACAAATGGGATCGATCAAAGCGCTTGAATTTTTGGGATTTCATTCTTTTTTTCTCGCCAAGAAGCTCCTGCGTAGATAGGCGGAAAGTCAGTTCCTGAAACTGATATCCAAATTAAACCCACCTTCTGGGTTTTCAAAGGCGCCCTTTGTACATGCTCCGTGGTACTCTGTCCTTCCGCTGATTTTTATTTTTTTTAAAAAATAACTCAACTGGTCCCTCGGCTTGGGTTCAAGAGCAGAAAGAGCCATACCTGGCTGTCCCCACGGAGCCCCATAACAGCCTCATAACTTGGCGGGAAGTCGGTGGGGTATAGGGGAACGGGGCTGTCCATGGAACCGTTGTAGGTAATGCTACACAACAATTAACAAAAAAAAAAGAAGAAGATATTCTCCGTTAAATGGATTAAATAAATAGCTCCCCGATCACTGCAAGAAAATTAAGCGTTAAAAAAAACCCCTTCCGATTTGATTTTAGACTTTTTTCCCCCCCCATTTTTACGCTTCAGTTCTCCAATTACGTCCGGTCGCTTAGCAACGGTTCGAAGTTATGACGGCCGGTCGATCTGAACCAGCTTCAGATCCGGTGCGTGTTTTGCAGCCCAGAAAACAGGTTATTTGGGCAATGGACTCCTAAGCGATCCTCGACATATGACCACAATCGAGCCCAATATAACCGTTGCTAAGCGAGACAGTTGTCAGGTGGGTTTTGCCCCATTTTACCACTGTTGTAATTTTGAATGGTCACTAAATGAACTGTTGTAAGTTGAGAGCTATCTGTATGAGGGAGGATTTATTATTGTTTACATCTTTCTTTCCTTCCTCCTTTCTTTCTTTCTTTTTCTTTCTTTCATCTCTCTTTTTCTTTCTTTCATTCTTTCATTCCTTCTTTGTTTCTTTTTTCTTTCTTTTTCTTTCTTTCCTTCCCCTCTTACTTTCTTTTCCTTTCTTTCCTCGTTCCTTTCTTCCTCTCTTTATTTCTCTTTCATTCATTCATTTCTTATCTCTTTCTTTCATTCATTCATTTCTTCTTCCTTTCTTTTTTCTTTCTTTCCTCCTGCTCTTACTTTCTTTTTCTTTCTTTCCTCTCTCCTTTCCTTCTTTCTTTCTCTTTCTTTCTTTTTCATTCATTCATTTTATCTCTTTTTCTTTCATTCATTTTCATGCATTTCTTCTTCCTTCATTCCTTGCTCACTCTCCTTCCTTTTTCTTCTTCCCTATTTCTTTCTTTCATTCATTCATTTCCGTCTTTCTTTCTTTCATCTTTTTTTCTTTCTTCCTTGCTCACTCTCCTTCTTCCTTTTTCTTCCCTATTTCATTCATTCATTCACTTTCTTTCTTTCTTTCTTTCTTTCTTTCTTTCTTTCTTTCTTTCTTTCTTTCTTTCTTTCTTCTTACATTTTCTTTCTCTTCGAATTGAGCTCCCGCTGCCAGCAAAACCTCCCTGATCTTTTTACAGGACCTGGAATTTTTTTCCCGTTGACCCAAAATGTATTTACATGCTCTGCCATCCATATTTTTAGCCATCTCACCTCTGAGCATCAGTCTCTGAACTGCAGGTATATTCCGGGGGGGTAGTAAGGAGGGGGTGGAACTGGGGGCACAAACTCATCCAGATCCAACATGTGTTGCAAGTAAGTATCCGGAGGGGATGTACAGTCCAGAGTGACGGAACTTGACCGAGGTGGAGAGAGCTGAAAAATGGAAAGAAAATTGGATCAATAAATTGTCAGAGTTGCTATGCCTATACATTGGCTGACTAAGCCACGCCCAGACTTCAAACTGTCTCTTATGGCCCCCTCCAAACAAATATTACGTTTCAGTTTCCAAACAGCCCTCATTGGCTGACTTAGTTGCTATGCCTATACATTGGCTGACATTCTCCATGTGGTGAGTCGCTTGGTGGGCGTGGCTTGGTGGGCGTGGCAGGGGAAGGTTACTGCAGAATCTCTATTTCCTCTCAATCAGTTGGGACTCGGGAGGCAGAGAATAGATGGGGGCGGGGCCAGTCAGAATTTTTACTACCGGTTCTCCGAACTACTCAAAATTTCCACTACCGGTTCTCCAGAACTGGTCAGAACCTGCTGAAACCCACCTCTGATAGCAATTGCAGTAGTGGCCAAAATTGTGGAAAACTTTTGGGAAAAGTGGATTTTTGAGGTTTGCTGGCTAATAACGCCACTTCTTTTTTGGAATTTCAAGATAATCCTATTCCGCTGCTGGAATGGCCTGGGAATAGCCCAGACCTCAACCCAATTGAAAATCTATGGAGCCGACTCAAGAAACTGGTGTCAAGTTTTGAGGTCGTCTCAAATAAATTGCATTTCAAACAAAGTCTTCGATAAAAACTCCCATTTATTGAGCACGACATTCTAAATCCGACTCATCGTAGCCAACACTGACTTCCAGACCCAAAACCCTCCCTTTCCGTTCCCCACTCCCCTGCACTCATTGGCCATCTTCCAAGTCACTCTACCCCTAATCTACTGCTCCAGCTCAAAGGAATTTCCCCCCTTCCATCCCATCTCCTAGGGGATATTATCTCCAGGGAAAATAAGTAGATGAAAAGTCAAACGTCCCTTTCCAGACGCCTCCGCTTCTCCTTCTTTTGTCAGCACTAGAGTAAATGCAGCTTCAAGTGCTGACAACTGGTTAGTCAGAAGCGACCCAGCAATAAAACCCAGTTAATAGAAGCCATTATTCAATCTTGGTTTCGCATGATAACAGCTGCAGAACTAAAAGACTTGGTTCACTCCATGGGAAGACGTCGTAAGGCCGTCATTCATGCTAAAGGTTACCCAACTAAGGATTAACTGACATGGGGATAATTTTTTGTATATCTCGTTTTTTTTCTACGGTGATCATTTTTGCATATCTCGTTTTTTTCTACATGCTTTGCTTTTCTTCTTTATACTGCAACTGCTATTCTAATAGCAAATCCTTCCTAAAAGTTACGGCATTACATTCTTGATTAAATTATCTTTCCATTGATATATAATTTTATGGTACTACTCCCAACAAAAAAAAAGTGGTGTTATTAGCTAGTTTTTAGAAAATACACTTTTCCCAAAAGGTTTCCACAATATTGGCCATTTCTGTATTCCAGTATTTGAGGGGCTGCCCCAAAGAAGAGGGGGTCAACTTATTCTCCAAAGCATCAGAAGGCAGGAGAAGAAACAACGGATGGAAACTGATCAAGGAGAGAAGCAACCTGGAATTAAGGAGAAACTTCCTAACCATGAGGACAATTAACCAGTGGAACAGTTCGCCACTAGAAGTTGTCAGTGCTCCATCCCTGGAGGTTTTCATGAAGAGACTGGACAGTCATTTGTCTGAAGTGGTTTTAGGGTCTCTTGTTTGAGCAGAGGGTTGGACTAGAAGACCTCCAAGGTCCCTTCCAGCTCTATTCCGATTCTAATTCTATTTTTTGGGGAGTCTCTGGCTGTGAGTCGAAGCCAAACCCGCGTTTTTCGGAGACTCACCACGTGGAGAATGTCGACCGAAAAAATCTGGATGCAACACATGATGGCGGACAGGGTGCACACAACAATGGAGAAGATGGTTAAGCCGCAGATGCTGAACAGCAAGTCCTACGGAGAGGAAAGGGAAAAATTGTCAGAAAGGAGCAACGGAGAAAGAGAAGGAGAGAAGAAGAAGCCCATTTTAGGTAAGTTCTGGAGAAATTCCAAACAAGGAAAAGAAGAATAACAATATCCAAATATCTGGAGCATACCGCTTGAACGCCGTTGGCATTGACAAAAATCCCCATCGGTCAATTGCGAAAGGCAGCTTTCCTTGGGGCAGCTTAAATCCTTCGAGGCCTCTAACCCAGTGGTGGGTTGCTCTCGGTTCGGTCTGGTTCTTGCGAACCGGTAGTAAAAGCGGTGGGAGGCTCCGCCTGCCCACTCGCCCGGACGTCATCGTGGATGATCTGTGCATGCAGAGAAGCGCAAGTGCGCTCCCGTTGCGAACCGGTAGTAAAGGTAAGTAGAACCCACCCCTGCTCTAACCCCATTGAACATTCACATCTGCCTTATCCCAGGTCCTTGGGAAAGACTTGATAAGTGGATAAAATCGCTGAATCCAGTCTAAACATCTGGATCAGTGGTGGTATTCAGCTGGTACAGGTTTGAGCGAACCAGTAGCGCCGTGATGGCTAACCTTTTTGTCGTCACGTGCCAAAAGCAGGGGGAGTGTGGGAGGGTCATGTATGCGCGGGCCACACGCATAATGCAATGCCCCCCTCATGCCACACCCCATACATCCACGTGTGACCCCTCTATGCTCCCCCCCGCACATGTGTGTGATGCCCCACCCCCCCTCTGCGCATGCGTGGGTGACCCCCACAGCCCGTTTTGGGCCTGGCAGGCCTCCCTGAAGCCTCTTGGGACCAAAAACGGGCCGTGGAGGGGGTGTGCCACACACACCCTGTGGCCCGTTTTGGCGTGGGGGCGCACCGCTCCACCCTGCACTCCCCCCACCCCCGCACATGCCCATGAGACCCCCCCCATTCATGCGTGAGCGTCTCCCGCATGTGCCCCACCCCCGCGCCAGAGACCCGAAAATCAGCTGGATGGCGGGAGGTGGACACGCATGTGTGGTGGAGCTGAGATGGGTGATGGCTCGCGTGCCCGCAGTGAGGGCTCCGTGTGCCACCTGTGGCACTGTGTGACTGTGTGACAGACCATAATAATAGCAAGTGAACACTCTCGGCATTGACAAAAATCCCCATCAGTCAATTGCAAACGGCAGTTTGATTTGGGACAGCTTAAATCCTGCAGTGAGACCTGTTACACAATCAAACAACCACACCTGTCTATCCCAGGACCTTCGGAAGGACTCCAAAGGTAGACAAAAAGGCCAAATCCAGTTTAAACACCTGGCTGTGTGAGGAAACCATAATAACAATCATTGAACACTCTCAGCATTGACAAAAATCCCCATCGGTCAATTGCAAACGGCAGTTTGACTTGGGACAGCTGACATCCGGCGACAATACCTTTCATGTATATCTGTCGATCCCAAATCTTTGGGAGGGACTTCAAGGAGCATTTAAAAAAAATGTCAAATTCAGTCAAAACATCTGGCTGACTTGGTGACAAACCATAATAACGTAAATAATAAACGGGAAATCTTGAGAGGTTCCGTTTGTCCTTCCCCAGCAAATTCTGTCAATTTCCCCAGCTATTTCCCCACGATGGATAGGGCGAAATCGTTTCCTGCCACTCACTTTCAGGACCAGGAGAACCCTGGAACAATTCGAATCCACTTCAGCTTTATTGCCGCAGGCAGGAATCCCCGATTCGGACGGCGAGTAGATGCATTTCTTATACAGAAAACTAGTCTGCAAATGAAAAGACAGACCATAGCATATAAAAGCATGCTGGTTGGGGAATTCTGAGAGTTTTCAGAGAATTTTCTAGATGATGTCAGCAGTGGGATACACTTTTTCCTGCCCTCTGGATGGTGTCAGAAGTGGGAACACTTTTTCCTGCCCTCTGGACGGTGTCAGAAGTGGGATACACTTTTTCCTGCCCTCTGGATGGTGTCAGAAGTGGGATACACTTTTTCCTGCCCTCCTGGATGGTGTCAGAAGTGGGATACACTTTTTCCTGCCCTCTGGACGATGGTAGCAGTGGGACACACTTTTTCCTGCCCTCTGGATGGTGTCAGGAGTGGGATACACTTTTTCCTGCCCTCTGGATGGTGTCAGAAGTGGGATGTATTTTTTCCTGCTCTCTGGATGGTGTTAGAAGTGGGATACATTTTTTCCTGCCCCTTGCAGGATGAAATAAACTCCTCTTCCCTTCCCCGTGGCCCCAAAATCTCGCTCCTCCAACTGTGATTCCTCCCCCCTCCTCATTACCGACCTGTTGCACGCCCACCTGGGCTTTCAGGCTCCGTCGCCATCCCACCTCCTTTGGGATCGAAGATCCGTCTCGCTGCCTTATCCGTTCACAGACTTCCAGGGATTTCACCTGCTGGGCGTGTTGGCAGGATAAAATAGAACCGGCCAGGGTGAGCATCACCCCTAAAACGGACAGCAGGGTGAAGAAAGTGATCTGGAGAGGAGGAGGGGAGAACAGGCGGTTCAGGGTGCAAAAATTGCCAGAGGGGAAAAAAAATCTAGACTTTTTTAATCTTGAAAAAATGTTTTCACTGAGCCTCACTGACCGAATGATACCGAATCTGTATTATACTCTATAATCTGGTATAGGTATAGGGTTTCCTGCCTAAGCAGGGGGTTGGACTAGAAGACCTCCAAGGTCCCTTCCACCTCTGTTATTCTATTCTATTCTATTCTATTCTATTCTATTCTATTCTATTCTCTATTCTACTTCTATTCTGTTCTATTCTAATTCTATTCTATTCTTTATCTATCTATTGATCTATCATCTCTCTCTCCTCTCTCTCTCATTTGTCTATCAACCAATCATCTCTCTCCCTCTATCATCTGTCTATCATCTATCATCTGTCTGTCTATCACAGGGGTCTCCAACCTTAAACACTCAAAGAGCCATTTGGACCTGTTTCCCACAGAAAAGAAAACACCGGGAGCCATAAAATCTGGGTGGGCGTGGCCAACTCGATGTCACTCACTCCTACCCAGTCACATGACACATACCCCCAGCCATGCCTATCCAGGTTTTGTGACTCCCGGTGTTTTCTTTTCTGTGGGAAACAGGTATCTCTCTAATCTCTCCCTCTTTCTCCCTCTCTGTCTCTCTCTCATTTCTCTCTCTTTGTCTCTCTCTTTATCTATCTATCTATCTATCATTTATCTACCATCTATCTATCTATCTGTCTATCTATCTATCTATCTATCTATCTATCTATCTATCTATCTATCTATCTCTATATCTATCTCCCTCTATCTCTATCTATCACCTATCTATCTCTATCTACCTCTATCTCTATCTATCTATGTATCTATCTATGTATCTATCTATCTCTATCTATCTCTATCTTTATCTCTATCTATCTATCTATCTCTATCTCTATCTATCTCCATCTCCCTCTATCTCTATCACCTATCTATCTCTATCTATCTCTATCTCTATCGATGTATCTATCTATGTATCTATCTATCTATCTCTATCTATCTCTATCTATCTCTATCTATCTATCTATCTATCTATCTATCTCTATCTCTATTTATCTATCTATCTCTATCTATCTCTATCTATCATCTATATATCTCTATCTATTTCTCTCGCTAGCTAGCTAACTATCTCACCTACCTATACAGTAATTAGCTTTTGGATAAGTGTTCTGGCTGCTGCAAAGGAATCAAATAAACTCCAGTTTGCTTCTGAAATCTCTGGGGTCCAAGGGCCACCATGGACGTGTCCCCCGGTGCTTTTCTGCTTTCCCACAAAGCTTCCCACTTACCACGGGGGTGAACGGGCGTCTCCATGACACGATGCCAACCACACCGGAGAATGCCAGCTAGAAAGAGAGAAAACCAGAATGGGAAATCGGTCCGTCACAAGTGTCACGGAAAGGAAACAAATCTTCTACACATAATCGCTCCATAATCGAATAATAGAGCCGGAAGGAACCTTCTAGAGGTCCTCTAGCTCAACCCCCTGTTCAAGCAGGGAACCGTACACCATTTCAGACAAACGGCTGTCCAATCCCTTCTTCAAAACCTCCCGTGTTGGAGCAGCCACAACTTCTGGTGGCAAGTCGTTCCGCTGGTTTAATTGTTCTAACTTTCAATAAATTTCTCCTTAGTTCCAGGTTGCTTCTCTCCTCGGTTAGTTTCCATCCGCTGCCTTCAGGTGCCTTGGAGAATAGGTGGAAACACCCCCTCCCTCTTCTTTGGGGCAGCCCCACCAATATTGGCACCCTGCCATCATATCCTTCTTTTCACTAAACCAGACATCCCCAATTCCCGACAGTCGTTTTTAGAAAACTCTTCCACCTCCACCATCAAGGTCACCATCCTTTAAATAATACCCCACCATCTCTGCCAAGCACCAGCCGGTTATGGAGTCTGGAATATATGTGCCACCGTGAAAAACCGAGATTCCTTTTTTGGTCTCGGCGGTTGCAACCGAACCCAACTAAGCCACGATTGCCCGATCCAACCGTCTTCCCCATTTGGGGAACGGAGTTTCCCCTTTCCTGGGGATCGTGGCACGGCATCTTTTGCAAACGTGTCTCTGCTGAGTGGCTCGTAAAATGGCAAGGCCGGGCACCAGCGGGCATCTCTCTCCCTTTCTTTCTCTTATGTGTCTAATGGAAGGCCTTCGCCCTGAATAATTTATCGTTGCGTCTCGATGCAAGGCAGCTGAAAACACCGTTAATGCAAAAGAGCCGGGAATTTCGGCCCCAGCCAAAGAGAAGAAGGAGAGCCAATTTCCAGAAAGAGGAGTAGAGTTGTTTTCGGCTTTCGATCTTTCTAGAAAGAAGCTCTCCAGAGCCAGGAAAACACAGCGGGGATAAGGGTGCAATATCTATCTATCTATCTATCTATCTATCTATCTATCTATCTAGATATCCCCCGTTTCCCTGAAAATAAGACCCACCTGGAAAATAAGCTCTAGCATGATTTTTCAAAATGCTGGTAATATAAGCCCTACCCCAAAAATAAGCCCCAGTTAAGATCGTCAGCAGACCGAGTTTAATACTGTATTTTCCCTAAAATAAGACCTAACCAGAAAATAAGCCCTTTTGAAGCAAAAAAATAATATAAGACCCGGTCTTATTTTCTTCGATTCGATTTTCTATTCAGTTCAGTTCAGCTCAATTCTATTCGGGATTCTATAGTATTTTCTATTCTCTATTCTTTTTTTCCATTTTTTTCTGCTGCCTTCCTTCCTGTTTTCTCTCTTCTATATTTTATTTTCTATTTTTTATTCTCCCTTTCTATTTATTCGACTTTACATTCTATTTTACATTCTATTCTCTATTCTATTCTTTTCTTTGTATTCTATTCTATATCCTACCCTTCCCTTCCATTCATTTTTATTGTTATTCTACTATTGTATTCCTAACCCTCCTCTCCTCTTCTCCCCTCCCCTATTAATTTTGATTCTATTTTCTATAGGGTACTCAGCTCTTTTTCCCTTCTTTTCCTCCCTTTATTCCTTCCTTCCTTCCTTCCCTCCTTTCCTTCTTCTCTTCCCTTCCATCTCCACATCCTCTACCTCCTTTCCTTCCTTTCCTTCCTCCCCTCCCTCTCTTCCCCTTCCTTCCTTCCTTGTCCTTTAATCCTATTTCCTTCCTTTGTTCCCTTTTCTTCCTCCCTTCCCCTTCCTTCCTTCTCCTCTAACCCTATTTGCTTCCTTCCCTTTCCTTCCTTCCTTCCTTCCCTCCCTCTCTCCCTCCCTCCCTTCCCACATCCACACACATTTTTTCTCTTCATTCTCCCTTATTTTTCCTTCCTTCCTTCTCCTCTAACCCTGTTTTCTTCCTTCCCTTTCCTTCCCTCCCTCTCTCCCTCCCTTCCTTCCCACATTCACACACATTTTTTCTCTTCCATTCTCCCTTATTTTTCCTTCCTTCCTTCTCCTCTAACCCTGTTTCTTCCTTCCCTTTCCTTCCCTCCCTCTCTCCTCCCTCCCTCCCTTCCTTCCCACATTCACACACATTTTTTCTCTTCCATTCTCCCTTATTTTTCCTTCCTTCCTTCCTTCCTTCCTTCCTTCCTTCCTTCCTTCCTTCCTTCCTTCCTTCCTTCCTTCCTTCCTTCCTCCCTTCCCCCTTCCTTCCTTCCCTCTAACCCTATTTCCTTCCTTCCTCCCTTCCCTTTCCTTCCCTCCCTCTCTCCCTCCCTTCCTTCCCACATTCACACACATTTTTTCTCTTCCATTCTCCCTTATTTTTCCTTCCTTCCTTCCTTCCTTCCTTCCTTCCTTCCTTCCTTCCTTCCTTCCTTCCTTCCTTCCCCTACTTCTTGCTAGATGTTTGGGCCCCTTGAAATTCAGCTTCTCTTCCAAAGGCTTTTTGGGTTCCCTTCGAATTATTTCAGATCAGGGGTTTTTTTTGGGGAAGGGGGGAGAATATCTCGTTGAAAGCAACGGGGATCACGCAATCCTTCACACAGACACACAACCCCACACACACACAATCCCACCCAACCTTTTAGAAGAGACTCACCGGAAACCCGGCCCAGATGGGACAGGAATTCCCAATGGGATGCTGAGATGGGATGGAAGTGGTGACCAGCAAACTCAGCGTCACGATGAGGACTCCCAAGATCATCTGGATGAACCCCAAGAGGAGGATAATTTGCAGCCAAGCCCTTCGGACGCGCAGATGCGTAAAACTGTGAGAAGTTCGGCCAGTTAAAGAGTAGCTGGAGTCGCTGCGGGAGGGCATCATGACCCCCCAAAAATTAGACTCATGAAAGTGGTCCCAAAAAACAGCCCAAACAATATATATATATATATATATCTAGTTTTTAAAAAACTGAGGACTAGGAACATGGAGGAAAACAAACGAGAGATGACTTCCGCTTCTTTCCCACAGGCGACATCCAAGCCAATTCCAATCCCTGGATTTATCAGCTTCCAGTCGTTATAAAATGCATATTTTTTGCAGGCAAAATTCACTCCCACTTCCCTCCCTCCCCCCTCCCCAATTCAAGAAAAGTAAGTCTTTTTTGGGGAGGGGTTGCCTTTTCCTAAAGGAAAAAAAATCCCATTTGAATTCTTTCGGCCGCTCCACGAGAAATCTCCATATTGCAATTTTTTAAAAAAAAAATGTTTGTTTTTTAGCTGGAATGATTTTGGCCCAGTTTTGCTAGTAGACCCGTCTGGAAATCCAATGAAAAGAGCGTTTCTGGGCACGTGCAGAGAGCCAGGTCAATTCCAGGCGAAAAGGCCAGGAAAAAAAAACAAAAAACGAAGCAATTTAATTCCAGCTGGTTTTTTTATTATCTGGATCACGGAGCTGGTTTGTTGTTGTTTTTTTTCCCTTCCTTCCTTCAAAAAGCACAGAAATCATCTGTTGGTTTCCGGAGTGAGATTATCCTAAAACGAAATAAAATAAAATAAAAACTTGCCAAGTACAAAACAGAGACCTGAAAGGAGAAAAAAAAATGCACAATTTCCTCGTTCGGGGGGGCTGCCCAAATCTGATTTTTTATTTTTATTTTATTTTTTTTTTGAGATTGAGAAGCAAAATTTTCGGTCTTTTTTTCTCCCTGCGGGGTTCAACGCCTTCATAAGCGTCCCGGTGTGGGCAGAAGTTGGCGCTTGCCGAAAAACCCACGAGATGCCCAGGGCCTAATTATGCCAGCCAATTTTATCCTTAAATTTTATCCTTTCTTATTAATTATTATCCTGTCTTATTTTATCCTTCCTTATTAAGAAATAAGAAAATAGCCTCAGAAGCCAAACATCAAACATCAAAGCTTGCCCACAAAAAAATGATGGCGTTGGAAGTAAACTTAAGCTGCTTGGAAGCATCTTACTCGGCGCTGAGCTTCCTCCCTCCTTTCTGCCTTTTCCATCACTCCTTCTCCTCTTTCTCTTTCTTTCCGTCTCCCTCTCTTTCTTGACTTCGTCTGCCTTCCTGTCTGCCTTCCCCTTCCATCTTTCGTCACCCTCCTTCCTTTCCTCCCTTCTCTATCGCTCCTTCTCTTCCTCTTTCCTTCCATCTCTTTCTCTATCTCGTTGTTTCTTTCCTTCCTTCCCTCCCTCCCCCTTTCCCTTCCTCTTTCCCTCTTTCTTTCTTTCCCTCTCCTTCCTCCTCCCTCTCCTTTCCTTCCTTATTGGCTTCCCTCCCTCTCCTTCTCTTCTTCTTTCCTTCCATCTCTATCACCTTGTTTCTTTCCTTCCTTCCTGCCTTCCCTCCCCTTTTCCCTCTCTCCCTTTCCCTTCCTTCTCTTCCTTCCCTCCCACTTCCTTCCCTTCCTCTTTCCTTCTATCTCTGTCTCCTTGTTTCTTTCTTTCCTTCCTTCCCTCCCCTTTCCCTTCTTCCTTTTCCCGTCCTTCTCCTTTCTTCCTTCTCTCCTTCTCTTTCCTTCCTTCCTTCCCTCCCCATTCCTTCTCTTCCTCTTTCCTTTCATCTCTATCACTATCTCCTTGTTTCTTTCCTTCCTTCCTTCTCCCTTTCCCTTCCTCTCTTTCCCTTCCCTCTCCTTCCCTCCTTCTCTCCTTCCTTCTCTTCCATCTCTATCTCTATCTTGTTTCTTTCCTTCCTTCCCTCCCCCTTTCCCTTCCTCTCTTTCCCTTCCCTCTCCTTCCTTCCTCTCCTTCCCTCCTTCTCTCCTTCCTTCCTTCTCTTCCATCTCTATCTCTACCTTGTTTCTTTCCTTCCTTCCCTCCCCCTTTCCCTTCCTCTCTTTCCCTTCCCTCTCCTTTCTTCCTCTCCTTCCCTCCTTCCTTCCTTCTCTTCCATCTCTATCTCTACCTTGTTTCTTTCCTTCCTTCCCTCCCTCCTTTACCTTCCCTTCCCCTCCCCCTTCTTTCTCTCCTTCTCCTCTCTCCTTCCTTCCCCCCTTCCTTTTCTTCCTCTTTCCTTTCATCTCCATAGCTCTTTCTTCACTCTTCCTTTTCTCCTTCCTCTTCCTCCTCCTCCTCCTCCCCACAGCTGGCAAACATCTTCAGTCCTCCACGCAGAGTGTCCGGGGGTGGGGAAATTTGGGGGGGAAGGGAAGGGAACAAGGAGGGGAGGCCGGTGTGGCACGACCCGCTCGGGGCTGTCAGCGAGCGTGCAAATCCCCGTTTTATTTTTTGTGCTGTCACCCACGGAAAGTTTGCGGTCCAGATTTTTTTTTTTTTTTTGGGGGGGCTGCTTTTCACCATCCCCAAAAAAAACAAGGCTGGGAAATCTGCCCTCCTTCTCCCCCCCCCCCCAATTCCCAGTGTTTGGGTGATGGGATGCTTGCAAGGAAAGCTTTCCCTGGGGGGGTTGGGGAGAGGAGCTCTGGAACTGGGGCACCCCCCCCCCAAATCCCAATCCCGAAGATCCAAAAAATCCCAATTTACCAGGAAGAAAGGCCCAATTGGTCTCTCTTGTTTTGGGGAGCAAGGAGGGGCGGTGGGGAGCCCACATCTTCTTCCTAAAAACTTAACATTCAGCTAGCCCAACCCTGAATTCGCTCCCTTGCAGCAAAAGGGAGGGGGGCTCTTTTCCCATCTCCCCCACAACGAAAAGCCCCCCTAAACTCCCCCCACCAACAGGCTCCCCTCCCTGAAAAATCCATTCCCACCCACTCCCATCCTCCACCCCCTTCCCCTATTTTTCTCCTGGGCCCCCAAAAAGGAGTTAAAATCGGATGCAGCCTTACCCAGAAAGGGGCGGAGTCTCTCTGCTCGGCTGCAGGACCGCTCCAAGCCAGAGATGCTCTTAAGCTCCGCCTCCCTTAAGTGCCTGCATCCTTCTCTCCAAGCTCCGGTCCTGATGCTGCAGGGAGGGGAAAGGGAGGGGGGGGAAATAATATTAAAAAAAAAAAACAGAACACCCTTCCCTGCTGCATCTTGGGAGCTGTAGTTCTCCAGCTCCGAATCTTATAAAATTTGACCTCGTTTCACAAAACAGGGTAGAAAAACTGGAGGGGGAAGGAGAGAGATGTAGCAAATTGAGCTTATTCCACTTATTCCACATGCTTTTTTTCCCTTTTTCAAAATTTATTTTTAAGTCTGTTTTGCAATCTTGCCTCCTTCCTTGTTCCGATTTTTTAAATTTTGCAAGAATTACTACTTAAAAAAAAAAAAAAAACAGCTTTTCTAACCGATTCGGATGCCTGTTCAGCCTCTGAGAAACATTGAAAGATTCACACCCGCTTTTGCAATCTCGTCTCCTTCTCGTTTCTGGTCCGAATTCGATCCTTTTCGCGACAATTCCTTTAAAAATAAAAATGCAAAAGCTTCTCGAATCGATTCGGGCCCTTCGGGACCCTGCTGTGAAAACTGCTGGAAAATCCAGACCTGCTTTGCGATCTTGTCTCCTTGTTAATTTTTCATATTTTGCAACGATGACTTTAAAAAAAGAAGAAAAAAAAACCCTTTTGCAACTGATTCGTGGACTCCGGAGTCTGTCTAGCATCTGAAAAAATAAGACGCCGTTTACCCAATTTGTGTTCGCAGAGGTTTTGGCAAGGGAGATGGCAGCCCTCTCTAGACAGAGGCAGTCTATCTGCAAATCTTTATCTATCTATCTATCTATCTATCTATCTATCTATCTATCTATCTATCTATCTATCTATCTATCATCTACCTACCTACCATCAATCTATCTATCATCTATCTTCTATCATTACCATCTATATCTACCTATCTTCTAGCTACCTATCTACCTATTATCCATGTATCTATCATCTATCTACTTATTTTCTATCATCTATCATCTATATCTATCTACCTATCATCTACCTATCTACCTATCATCTACCTATCATCTATCTACCTATCATCCATCCATCCATCCATCCATCATCTACCTATCATCTACCTATCATCTATCTACCCATTATCCATCTATCTATCTTCTACCTATCTTCTATCTATCATCTATATCTATCTATCCTTCCATCTATCCATCTATCATCTACTTATCATCCATCTATCTATATATCTATCTATCCATCCATCCATCATCTACCTATTATCCATCTATCTAACATCTATCTTCTATATACCTCTTCTTTCTTTCTTTCTATTTATCTATCTATCTCTATTAACATATCTATCATCTACCTATCATCTATCTACCTATTATCCATCTATCATCTATCTTCTATATATCTATCTTCTTTCTATCTATTTATGTATCTATCTCTATTAACATATCTATCATCTACCTATCATCTATCTACCTATAATCCATCTATCTTCTATCTATCATCTGTCTGTCCGTCCATCCACCTATCCATCTATCATCTATCTACCTATCTTCTATCTATCATCTATGTCTGTCTGTCTGTCTGTATCTATCTATCTATCTATCTATCTATCTATCTATCTATCTATCTATCTATCTATCTATCTATCTCCAGAGGGGTCCTATAAGCATCCTTCTGTTAATCTTGGAAACAAAATGTTTTGAGTAGATGCTTTGATCCATCAGGAGCCCAAACAGGATAAAAGCCAGCTGGGAAAATGTTTCCCGCGAGGTCTCTTAGCTAATGGAACAAGATCCGTTGCCAATTTTTTCATCTTTTCGGCTCTGCGGTTCAATCCAGCTGATGGGAATTTCAAACAGGGCCCAGCAAAAAGCCACTTCCTTTTCATAGTCATCCCGAGCTCCTTAAACCAACGTTTCCCTTCGCTTTTAATCCCTCCGAAATGTCATTTTTGCAAAGTGACACTTCTATTTTCAACGTAACTGTGATTGTTCCTATCGGTAACAAAGATTGTTTTGACTTTGTCCGGTAAATGGAGGTGTTTTTTTCTCTCTTCCTATTAGCAATATTTTAGCCACCTAACTGCTATGCTTAAAAAAAAAACAAAATTTCCCATGAGCCTAACTTGAGAACAATCAACACAGCAGTGAAAAAAAGCCAAAAAAAAAAAAGAGATAAAATCAGGAGAAAATTTACTACATTCAACTTGGCTACGTTACAAAGTCTCTTTTAAAAAGCAAAGAACTTCAAAAAAATTTCCTTCCTAGTTTTATCGGTACTTACTTGAAATAAAAATAGAATTTTCGGCAATATAGTGATTTTAATGGTGGCAATTCTTCCAGTGAGTGAAAGTTGTAATTTTTTCCAGTTGTCCAAATCTGTTATTATTTGTTGTACTAACTTATTGTAAATTATCTTCTTTAATCGATGAACATTTTGCTGTTAGCCATATTCCCAGGTATTTAACTTTCTTGGTCAAGTGCATACCCATTTTTTTCCTCCCGTTCTTTTTTGTTTATTGGTAAGGGTTTTTTTTTTGTTATTATCTTTGCTTTGTAAAAAAGCAAAGAAGACAATTATTTTTAACAGTAATGAATTAAGCCTTGCTGGAGAGGCCACCTTTTCATCCCCATTTCCCCATCTCCAAATTATATATATATATATATATGTAGCCAAACTAACTTTTGCTCACTGAAATCCATTCAGTTGCCTGGTTATTCGGGAGCTGGGATATGCCATCGCATAAATTATTATATAAATTATAAAAAATATATTATATAAATTATAAAAAATATATTATATAAATTATAAAAAATTCGCATGAATTATTCGCACGATGGGACATCGTAAGAAAAGCAATGAAAATTTATAATAAATAATCCTATTGTAATTTTTTATTTTGACATATTTTCTTATTTAAAATTTCCCTTGCAATCCTGGCCCTAAACATCAGCGCCCTCTGGTGGACTAGCTGGCTTCCTGCAAGCCCCATTTTTAAGCACAGTCTTTTTAACTAAGTTAGTGCAAAGTTTTGGCAAATGCATTCGTGCAACTTGGTTAATTAAGCTTAACCTAGATTACTCGGGGAAGGGGGGTGCGCCTTCCTGTAACAACCCAGCCTGTTTTGTTACTTTACGGCTGAAGTGCAGAAAACTGAGTTTAAGTCAAGTTATCGACTGTTTGAATAGTGAGAAAAAAAGGAATTTTAATTGGTGGAATTCTCGGTGCTCCCTGAAATGGCTTGTAGGGTTTTCCTGCTTGGACTAGATGACCTACAAGGTCCCTTCCAACACTATTCATCTGTTTTTTTAAAAAAGTTAGCTGTTCGTTTGCCGATGTTGCATTATCCGGGTAATCCTCGATTTACAACCATAATGGAGCTCCAGGCTCAAAAGTGGTCGTAAGTCGAGAATTACCTGCACCGGGCTGGGTGGGTGGGAATGTTGAGATTTTAAGGCTTCTTTAAATCAAAACGCGGGCTCACGGGTGAGCTGCTGTGGGTTCGGGAGAATCTCTAGCTAAGATTCGGAGAACTCCCAAATCCCACTCCTGGCTGGCCCCGCCCCCCACCCCTCCCCTTCCTTGCCAGGAGTCCCACATTTTGGATGCAGGTAAGTGCAGGGCGCGCGCGGAGGCTCAGAGAGGGCGAAAAACGGGCCTACCAGAAGTTCAGGAAGGCCGGAAACGGGCCTCCGGAGTCTGGGGAGGCCGTTTTCGTCCTCCCAAAGGCTCATGAAAAGCCTCCGGAGCCCGGGGAGGGCAAAAATGTTCCCCCACCCTGCACCGTGGTGCAGGAGGCCAACTAGGCCACGCCTACCCCGCAACCGGGCAGAGAATCCCTTTGCCAAAATTTTTGAAGCCCCACCCCTGCTCGGGCTGACTTTCCCCACGCATGGCCCTCCAAGCAGCTCCCTCCCACGAAGGGCCGATCTTGACAAAAAACCATCAAAATTTGAGGCAGGATCTGCAAAACTTTCCCCAGGAAAAACCACGACCGGCTGAAAAAAAAAAAAACCAGTGAGATAAAACGTAGTTTTATTCTTTAAATAAAGTTCCATACTCCGTCTTGCGCTTGGCACAGCAAAAAATAATAATAATAATAACAACAACAACAAATGGGGAAGGTGCCCAAGGGAAAAGAATATTGTTATTTGCACATTTACAGACGCACGAAGAACGGTGGGGCTGCCCCACAAACCCTTAGGAGACAGAGATCAAAGAAGAGGGAAAGACACGGGGGAAACCTTGGGGTGGGGGGCGTGGTCTGAAATTTCAGTTACCGACAAAGGGGGGAGACGAGAGGGGGGGGCCCACCAGATAGGTTTGGGGACCAAGCAAGTCCAATGAACAGGATGTCGAAAAGTCGAGTCATTCACAGACACAGCAAAAGAAGACACTGCGGAGAAGTCGAATTTGGGGAGACAGTTCCCAAATTGCAAACACCAAAGGGACCCCAAAACATTAAAACAGGGGTGCCTCAATCAGTCCTCCCTTCTCACCTCCCTTCAAATGGGGCTCCGAAAACAGAAAAGGGGACCAGTCAGAGAGTAGTAATTTGATATCCCAATTCTCAAATTTCGGGGCGACCGGAGAATTTATTCATCCGCGCAAAAACAGCCGTTTTACGCCGACTGGGCTGTGCGAGAACTTCGAAGGGGGGAAAAAAAGGATAAATAATAATATAAAAGAAGGCACCATAGGGGCCGAAAAGCGATCGTAGAGGCCAGAGCTGGCTTTTGAGCCAAATAAAATAATCCCCGTTGCTAATAAAACGACAAAAAAAAAAAAAAAAGGAACTTATCTCCCAGTGGCCGGCACTGGCAGAAGCGATCAAAATAAGAGAGGGGGAAAAAAAAACTTTTAAAACCGAGTTTTTCAATCTTTAGCAACTTTAAGGAGGTTGGACTTCGACTCCCAGAATTCCCCAGCCAGCCAGGGAGAATTCTGGGAGTTGAAGTCCGTATGTCTTAAAAGTTGCCAAGTTTGGAAAACTCAAGGTTAGGGTAGTGTAATAGAAACTCGAAAAGCCCCTCTTGATTTCGACTCAACATCTAGCAGAATTCTACTGATCGATTTAACTTCAGCGGTGTTTCTCAAGGATGGGAGTTTTAAGACGATGTGGACTTCAACTCCCAGAATTCCCCAGTCAGCCAAACAGAGGGAATTCTGGGAGTTGAAGCCCACATTTCTTAAAGATGCTAAGGGTGAGAAAAACTGTCTTAAAAAGGAGAAACGTACGAATGAACGGGGACATGCTCGGCTTAGCAAATTTGCAGCAAATCGGGGCTGAAAGGAAACTTAAAATTAATTTCGGGAAAAATCAGCTCCGACCGGGAGGGAGCGCAGGATCGAAGGCGAAAAAGAGAAAAGCCAAATATTTTGAGGGAGGGGGGCGCACGAGCAGGAAGGAAAGACCCCCGTTCCTCCCGGTTTGGGTAAATGTGGAGAAGTCACAAGCAGAGAGAAATAGCCGCTAGGTATCCCTCTTGTCAATTTCGGGTGGAAGAAGAGAAGATTAAAGCCGTGTTCAGGGATCGGTGAACTTTTAAGTCAGTGCAGCCGGAGCGGGATGGATCCGTCGCGGGTTTCCCTGCCGAGATCGCAGAGCGGAAGCTTCTGAAAATCAGCACAAAAGTGGGGAAAAGGAGGAAATTCAAGGCCAGGAGGGCAAGGCCGTGCACTTGAAGGACGGTTCGTTTCGGTGAAGGAGTCCCGGCGAAATCGGCCGACTGATGACAACTCGCAGGTCGCAGTTCCTTTAGGGGGCCTGGAACGAGTTGGAGGCTGCCCCAGCTGCGGCGTTGGCCGCCGCCGTGCGGACCGTCTGGTTGGACAAAACGCCGGCGGCGAATTCAGCCTGGGCTTTTTGGAAGCTAGCGCCGGTGCGGCGGTAAAGGGAGTGGATCTGTGGGAGAAGAGAGGAAAATCGGCCGAGGGTGGACACATTGGGTTTTGTGGGTACGAGGGCGCGAGAAATCGGGGACTCGCCCGAGATGGAAAAGGAAGAACCAATCCTCAGGAGGAACCGATCCAAATTCTGCATCAAATACAGGTAGTCCTCGATTTACAACAGCTCGTTTACCGACTGTTCGAACTTGCAACGGCAGTGAAAAAAAGGGGACCGATGACTGTTTTTTCACCCTTACGACCGTTGCCGCGTGCCCGTGGTCGCGTGATAAAATTCAGACGCTTGGCCACTGACCCGTATTTATGACCGTCTGCACCGTCCCTGGGGTCGCGTGATCCCCTTTTGCGACCTTCTGACGAGCAAAGTCCAGGGAAAGGACGCCGGATTCACTTAACGACCGTCTTACTCACTTAGCTAACGGCAGCGATTCGCTTCAGAACCGTGGCCAGAAAAGTGGTCAAATGGGACGACCCTCCCTTAACCGACGTTTCGCTCAGCCACGGGAATTTGGAGCCCCCCGTTGTGGTCGTAAGTCGAGGACTATCTACGCTTTCTGCTCTACTCACCCGTTTCAACATGATGATGCCCAGCCCGGCTACGACGGAGAACAACACGGCGACAAGGATCATGAAAATGCCCACCCCCGGGTGGCCTTTCAGGGCGACGAAGCTGATAATCCAACCGCTGCAAGACAGAAAAACAGAGAAAATAAAAACGTTGCGATCCGACAGATCGCTAAGAGGAAGAACGGGGCCGTGCTACGTGGAACGAGCCACGTTTGATCTGCTCCCCAAATTCAAGCAAAGATACACCTCGGATCTAGGCGTCAACCCACCTGACTCGATTTCCTGAATCTTACCTAAAGCCCCAACCGGGAATTCCAACGGCCTGCAGGACGTACATCACGTTTTGGGCGAAGAAGATGAAGAAGAAGACGAAGAAGTTGAAAGAGCTGTCACTCCTGCCATCGAAGGAAGGAGGGAGGGAGGGAGAGAAAGAGAGAGATGGAGGAAAACAAACATTGCTCGCCCGTTTGATTTCACTAGCTGGACGCCCGTGCTTCGCTAGGAAATCTATCTGCTCGGGCTTGGTAAATTGACACTTGCAGCCAAGTAGAATGTGTAACTTCGTAGCATCAGAGTGTGTTAATATGATGCAACTGGCAGTTGGAACAGAGGTGGAGGGGGGAGTAGAACGTCCCAGCTTGCAGCATCCATCGGTATTCATCTGGCTAGCATCCTCTGTGTGTGTGAGAGAGTTGAGGGCTGTTTGGAAACTCAAACAGTATTTGCTGTGTGAGCAAGGAGACAGGAAGGAGGCTGGGCGTGGCTTAGCTCAACTGTTCTGTAGTAAAGCTGCTTGCTGCTGTGAAAGTAAAACTGAAAGTGAAACTCCTCTCCTCTGCTTGTGTTTTTGCATTTGGAACAGATTTCTTTTCAGGTGGGGAGACGGGAGTACAACTCCTTAGCATCAGAGCGTGTTAATAATAATATAGGAAATACTAATGCTGTGATGGTCATTTTGAAAAATCGTTTCTTAGTGAGCACCTAGAAGCCAAGAGGAACATAGGTGGCAAATTTCAAGTTTGTAGGCTTTACGGTTCTGGAGATTTCGTGATTAATGCGTGAGTGGTTTTTGCTCAAGGAGCTGGCTTTCAGGTCTAAGGTAGAACTACAACTCCCGGCCTGGTCCAAAGTCATCCAGCTGGCTTTTGTGCCTAAAGCAGAACTAGAACTCACTGTCTCCTGGTGATCGACCCAAAGTCACTCACCCAGCTTTCATGTCTAAGGAGGGACTAGAACTCACTGTCTCCCAGTGATTAATCCAAATTCTCCCAGCTTTTGTGCCTAAGGCAGGACTAGAGCTCACTGTCTCCTGGTGATTGTCCCAAAGTCACCCAGCCGGCTTTCAGCTCTGTGGAACTAGAACTCACCCAGCTGGCTTTCATGCTTAAGGTAGGACTAGAATTCCCATTCTCCTGGCGATCAACCCGAAGTCACCCAGCCAGCTTTAAGCTCTAAGATGGAACTAGAACTCACGGCCTCCTGGCGATCGGCCCAAAGTCACCCAGCTATCTTTCAAATCTAAGGCGGAACCAGAACTCACTCTCTCCCAGTGCTTAGCTCAAATTCTCCCAGCCAGCTTGTGTGCCTAAGGGGCAGGACTAGAACTCACGGCCTCCTGGCGATCGGCCCAAAGTCATCCGGCTGGCTTTCATGTTTCAGGCAGAACTAGAACTCACCGTCTCCTGGTGATCGGCCCCCAAAATCATCCAGCTGGCTTTCACGCCCACAGTGGGACTAGAACTCACCGTCTCCTGGCGATTGGCCCCCAAAATCACCCAGCTGGCTTTCACGCCCACGGTGGGACTAGAACTCACAGTCTCCTGGTGAGTTCTAGCTTGCCACCTCGTTTCCCCTTTCTCTTAAAAGCCTGATCTAAACCAGGGCTGATTCCTAACTAACCCCGGGCCCACCAAAACAAGAGAGACACGATGCCGACGTACCGGAAAGCTTTGTACATGGGTCGATACCAGCAGACGAAGGAGCAAGGCGTGAAAATCAAAGCCCAGAGGATTGAGAGGCCGAATCCGGAAGCGCCTGTGGAATCCACGCAGAACCAGATCAGGGAGGCCAGGAAGTTGATGAAAAGAGCTATAGTGCTGGCTGTCAAAAATAAATAAATAAATAATAATAATAATAATAATAATAATAATAATAATAATAATAATAATAATAATAATAATAATAACAACAACAACAATAACAAAAAAAAAATAACAATAATAATAAAGGTAAAGGTTCCCCTCGCACATATGTGCTAAGCGAATCACTGGCAATTGTTACTTACACAATGGTTAGGCGAATCCAGCTTCCCCTTGGCTTCGCTTTTCAGGAGGTCGCAAAAAGGGGGAATTCACGCGACCCCGAGATGCTGCGGCCGTCATAAATACAGGCAGTCCTCGACCACAATCGAGCCCTCCCCCCCATTTATGTCGCACCGCGAAACGTTTGTGAAATGCCGTTTTGCCTCCCTTGCGCCCCCTTCCTTTGCCACCGTCGTTAAGTGAATCGGTGCTGTCGTTCAGCGAGGAGGGCGGTCGTTAAGCGAATCTGCCTTCCCGGTGGACTTTTGCTTCTCAGAAGGTTGCAAAGGGGAGCGGAGGATTACATGACCCTCCCCCCTCCCCCCTCCGTCATAAATACAAGTCGGCGGCCAAGCATCATGAATTTTGACCGTGGGACGGCGGAGGGATGCGTCAGCGCGAAACACGGTCCTAAGCCCCTGGTTGTTGTTTTTTTCCCCAGTTCCGTCGTGAGCTTGGAACGGTCACTAAACGAAACGTCGTAAGTCGAGGACCGCCTGCAGGTAAATAATCTTTTTTTTTTAAAAAAAAAAGGCTTACCCATCCAGAGGTAGTACATGATGGTGACCGTTTTTTGGAATTCCACAGGAATCTCGACAGAAATATCCTGATAGAAACAGGGCTTCACGGGACAGACGGAAGGCAGCGGGGGCCAGTTGTTCGGCTTGGCTGTAAACAAAGGAAGGGAAAAAGTGGGTTTCGGCCTTTTCGGGGCGGGGAATTTGGGGAGGGACGGGCGGGAAAGGACGCCGTACCCGCCCCGCTGCTCAAGGCCGCGTTCTGCAGCTCTCGCTCCCTCCGGTCCAGTTCTTCGGCTTTCCGATTCAGCTCTTCCTGGCGTTTTAAGAGGTCGGCCTTCGCGGCGGTAGCCGCATCCTAATCGGGGAAAACAGAAGGAATTATTCGAGGGAGCCGCAGTGCCACCTGTTGGCCGCGCGGAGGATAAGCTGCCCGATGCCCTTCAAGGCAGCTTGGAAGCGTCAAACTAACCGTGAAGCATTTTAGGGGGGGGAAATCTTTATTTTTTAAAAAAAATTATGCCACCTTTGTTATTTTTTTCGTAAATAAGGGAGTGAACGTAACTAGCGGTCTTTCCTTCTCCGATTTTCCGCATAATATATATATATATATTTAATTTTTATGTTTGTATTATCTCTGTTGTAAGCCGCCCAGAGTCTCTTGGGAGTTGGGCGGCATAGAAATATGATTAATTAAATTAAATTAAATTATCACCCCTGTGAGGTGGGTTGGGCTGAGAGAGAAGGACTGGCCCAAAATCACGCAGCTGGTTTTCATGCCTAAAGTGAGACTAGAACTCACCATCTCCCGGTGATTGGGCCAAACTTATTCAGCTGGTTTTCATGCCTAAGGCAGGACTAGAACTCACTGTATCCTGGTGATTGGCCCAAAGTCACCCAGCCGGCTTTCATGCCTAAGGCGGAACTAGAACTCACTGTCTCCTGGTGATTGGCCAAAGTCGCCCAATTGGCTTTCCTGTCTAAGGCGGAACTAGAACTCACCATCTCCTGGTGATTGACCCAAAATCGCCCAATTGGCTTTCCTGTCTAAGGCAGGACTAGAACTCACCGTCTCCTGGTGATTGGCTCAAAGTTATCCAGTTGGCTTCCATGCCTAAGAAGGAACTAGAACTCACCGTCTCCTGGTTTCTAACCTGGAACCTTCCCCACCAATTTCCCCCCCAAATTTCCCCCCCAAATTTACCTTTCTATTTCTACCAATATTTCCACTTTCTACTTCTCCAGAATGTTCTCTCTCTCTCCTCCTCCCTCCCTCCCTTCTTACCTGCGTCCCGTACGAGCCGTAATTTCTGGGTTCTGCATTGTTGTTTCTCTTAGGCACCTCCGAGACAGGAGCTACGGGCACGGAAGGGATTGTGGGAGCCGAGGCCGGGGGCTGGTATGGCGGGGGAAGCTGCCCCAAGAGAGAGAGAAAAGAAAAAAAGGAGAAATTTCAAAATTCTGCAGAACGTGACTCACTTAACAACCAACCTGCTTAACAAGAGAAATTCTATTTCCAGCTATTGTCGTAAGTTGAGGACTACCCGTAAATCAGATGGAATTCCAAATTCCTAGGGCTTCCTCTTAAAAAGCATGAAATAATAATAAATGCGTGAGTTCCTGTAGCTGGGTAATCCTTCCCAAAAGCCGCAACGGCCTGGAGAATCGGTATTGTGCCCATTTTACAGGTGGGGAACACTGAGGCTAAAAATACAGATTAGGGTCCCAGCCTCCCCTTGGTGGATTTTGAGCAGAACTGACATTGTAATCAGGGCCTTCCAATTAGCTCACTCTGATTGACAAATCCTTGCACGAAGAAATGATCAAAAACCCATCTTTAGTGACGGGGAAATACCGTATTTTTCGGAGTATAAGACGCACTCCCTCCCCCCAAAAAGAGGGTGAAAATTTGGGCACGTCTTATACACCGAATGTAGCCCCGCCCATCCGCCGGCCCCCACCCTTTGGCCTCTGCCTCCCAGCAATTTCCCTCCTGGCAGCAAACAGCAAGTTTCAGTTTCAGCACAGCCTGATTAGCACAAACAGCTGATTGTCGGCCTCCCGACCATCAGCTGTTTCAGGCTGTAGGGATCGCCATTGCCTATTGCTGCCTCCGTGCGCCCCATTTTTGGCCGCCGCTGTTTGCTGCAAGGAGGCAAATGGCTGGGAGGCAGATTATTTTTTTTTCTTGTTTTGCTCCCCCCAAAAGGTAGGTGCATCTTATACTCCGAAAAATATGGTACATCTGCTCCTACGAGAAAAGCCCGCTCATGTTTCTAGACCTCATGAAGGCAGATTCTGAAAGTCCAGAGAGGGAGCCTCTGCAGGAATATCCCCATTGAAAGCAAAGCCAGAAGGCCCGTAAAATCCAAACGTAGCAAGCCCCCCTCCCCAATTCCCCCCAAAAGATCCAGCAATCGACTCACCCCCGAACTATCAAAAGGATTATATACATCCAGGGTAGCATAATCTGTATTTGGCCGGTGTTGAATTATGCCCGGATCCTTAGAAGGAGGGGAAAAAAGAGAGTGAGGTGATTAAATGAAAAAAAGAAAAAAGAAAATTTATTTATATTTGTACCACTCCTTCCTAGAAACCACCCCAAGTTTCTCTTCTTTTTGCATTTTGAAGCAAAAGCTGAACCGAAGTTGTAAAATTCCCATTTCCAACCTTCCTTTCTTTTGCCCCCCAAATATATTTTTTTCCCCCAAATTAGAAGGAATTTCGATCGCCTCTTTTCAGATTTTGATCCAAAGGCATCCGATTTTGTTCGTGGACAATTTTCTAGGTGGGAACCTCCTGTGCAAGTCTATTATTTTATTTATTAATCGCGATTTTAAACCCCCCCCCATCTCCTTTGCATTATAACACACAAAGGTGTGTTAAAAAAAAATGCAGAAATAATGGAAGTGAGGATTGCGAAGAAGGCATAAGGTAGAAATTGCAAAAATGAGGTTCAACGGATTAGCCAAAGAACAAAACAAAACAAAAAATTATTTTTCATAGAAGTTTGGAAAAATGGGCGATTTTGAGAATTTACTGCTTGAAAAGAGCTGAAAAGAGCTGAAAAGGGAAAGTAGGTTCTGTCGTTTTCGGAAAGCTGAAGATTATTAACGAGGTTTCTAACCGCTGCAAAGGAAAACAGAAATTGCTTCTTTCAATATTTCCATTTTTATTTTATTTTTTTTGCTTTCTCTTTCCTTGAGGTGTATCGTTTCGTTTCTTCTCTCTCTCGCTCTCTCGTTCCTCTCTTTCCGTGAACCCCACGATTTCCGCTACCAGCTGAATACGACCTCTGCACCCAGATAAATGTATAGGCAGTCTTTGACTTACGTCCGTTTAGCGACCGTCCGAAGTTACAACGGCACTGAAAAATGGGACTTATGACCGTTTTTCACACTTATGACCATTACAGGAAAAAATGGGTAATCACCCATAGTCACGTGTTCAAAATTCAGACACTTGGCAAGGGACTCGTATTTATGACGGTCGAAGTGTCCCGAGATCGTGCGAACCTCTTTTAGCGACCTTCTGACGAAGGTTCACTTAAGGGGATTCACTTAAGAACCATGTTCCTCACTTAAGAACGGCAGGGGTTCGCTGAACAACTATGTCAAGAACGGTCGTAAAATGGGACAAAACTCACTTAATAACTATCTCACTCAGCAAACATAAAAACGTTTTTATTCCAACAGGCTGGTGTGGCCTAACTCTCCCTTTTAAATTGGCTTTTAAATTGGGTTTTAAATGTTTTTTTTAGATAAATTGGATGTTTTAATTTGGTTTTTTTTTGAGCCTAAATTATTTAATCTATTTTTAATAGTTTTTTAACTTTTGTACGTCTTTGTATTTTATTTTGGCTGTTCACAGCCCTGAGTCCTTCGGGAGTAGGGCGGTATACAAATATGAAAAATAAATAAATAAATAAACAAACAAACAGAAATTCTGGGCTCCATTGTGGTCGTAAGTCGAGGACTGTCTGTCTTGCCAGATTTGGTAAGCTGCAGCTCCCTTCACAAGATGCAAATATCCCATAGGAAAGATCCCTTTTAATCAAATCTGCTAAAAAAAAAAGATTGAAGCAGATTTCTCCTGATTTAGAGCCATACGGACTTAACTCTCTTCCAAACAATTTCTTCAGGAATTTTTTTCTCGCGAAATTGCATTTTTATTTGCAATTTTTTAAAAAACCTCTTCCTTCTCCGGCTGGTTGATTTCAAGGAAGGCCCTAAGCTGCAGATAAGATAGACTGCTCCTGAAACTGGAGGCTCCCTCCAGGCCATGAAGTCCAGCTCCTCATAGATCCTTTTGGAGAAACCTTTTTTTTTTTTTAAAGTTGTGGGTTTTTCCCCCACCCCTCAAAACAAAGCCTCTAAAAACAAGTTAAGATATTTTATTTACTTTTCACCAATTGCACGTCGAGCAAAAGAAAAGAAAAAAAAAACCCCATTAAATAGACTTTACTAGCAAACAAGGTCAGCCCCGTTATTCATTGTCTATTTATTGTGAAATAAGTTGGGGAAAATTTGATTTCGACATTTTCTTTCTCTCTTCCACCCCGTCCCCAAAATCTCTGCTGGTTTTCAAATCAGGAAGTAAGTCAGCAAGATCTGTGATTGTTTTCAGAAACCGGAATATTTCAAAAGAAGCCAAAATAAAGCAAAGATAGAGGCAAAAAAAAGCAATATTATTTGAAACGTTTTTTTTTTCTCCAAAAGCACAAATGTGATTTCTTTGCCCTCCCACAGTTTTAAAAATAAATTTGTTATCCAGAACGGGAGCAAAAATCCCGAATGTCTTTGGCCAAATTAAGAGTTTTGTCCTGTTTGCAGTTGAAAGGAGTGATTGTGTGATAAATATAAAAGCCCTTTTATCTCCTCTCAGCAAAAGGCAAAATTTTTGCTAATTCTCCTTTTCTTTTTTCTTTTGTAATGGATAGAATCGGTAAACAGCCACCGACTGGCTACCTTGTTATTCCAGAGGCTACTGGAGCTGAAACCCAGCAAAGCAGAAACAGATAAAAGATAAAAAGATAAATATTTTGACCAGCTTGGATCTTTAAAGGTGGTTTGTGTGGGGTTGGGCTCCAAGGTTTGGCTTATCTGCCAAACTATGATTTTTAAGCTAAAGAATGGTGGGAATAAAAGAAGGAAGGAGGGAGGGAGGGAATGAGAGAGAGAAAGAGATAAAAAGAGAAAGGAAGGAGAGGAAGGAAGGAAGGAAGGAAGAAGAAAAGGGGAAGGAAGGAAGGCGAGAGGGAGGGAATGAGGGAGAGAAAGAGATAAAAAGAGAAAGAAAGGAGAGAGAGAAAAGAGGGAAGGGAAGGAAGGAAGGAAGAAGAAAAGGGGAAGGAAGGAAGGCGAGAGGGGGGAATGAGAAAAACAGATAAGAGAAAGGAGAGAAAGGAGAAAGGAGAGAGAAAGGAGGGAAGGAAGAAAAAAAGGGGATGGATGAAGGCAGGAAGGTGAGAGGCAGGGAAGAGAGAGAGAAACATAAGAGAGAGAGAAAGGAGAGAAAGGGAGAAAAGAAAGGAAGGAAGGAAGGGAAGGAAGGAAGGAAGGTGAGAGGGAGGGAATGAGAGAGAGAAACATAAAGAGAGAGAGAAAGGAGAGAAAGGGGAGAGAAAGGAAGGAAGGAAGGAAGGTGAGAGGGAGGGAATGAGAGAGAGAAAAACATAAGAGAGAGAAAGGAGAGAAAGGGGAGAGAAAGAAAGGAAGGAAGGAAGGAAGGAAGGCAAGAGGGAGGGAATGAGAGAGAGAAACAGAGAAAAAGAGCAAAAGAGAAAGAGAAAAGGAGGGAAGGAAGGAAGGAAGAAGAAAAGGGGATGGAAGGAAGGAAGAAGGAAGGAAGGAAGAATAAAAGAATAACAAGAGTTGGAAGGGACTTTGGAAGTCTTCTAGTCCAACCCCCTGCTCAAGCCAGAGACCCTAGAACCGTTTCAAAGGCCCAATGATGGATGGATGGAAGGAAGAAAGGAAGGAAGGAAGGAAGGAAGGAAGGAAGGAAGGAAGGAAGGAAGGAAGGAAGGAAGGAAGGAAGGAAGGAAGGAAAGAAAGAAAGAAGGGTTTTTTCCCCATTCCTTTGGCCTCCTTAACATCCCTCTGGACACACTTCCAAGGGCCCAAAAAGATTTAAAAAGCCTCTTTTTCATGCTATGCCCTCCCTCCCTCCCTCCCTCCCTCTCCTCCCTGAGGACTAGAACCTTTGGCTCCCCAGTCTCACAGTGCGGGGCTCTGAAAAAAAAAAAAGAAAGAAACCCAACCCAGCGCCCCCATCAAAGGCTGGGCCTGGCCTCCCATCAGTCCATTTTCCTTTCCTAGGCTGGGCAGCTCCCCCCCCCCACCAACCAACCCCTCCTTTCCTCGAGCCTGCCTACCTCGCAGGGTTGTTGTTGTTGTGAGCCAAGGGGGAAATAAAGAAAAGCAGGGAAAGACCCCGGGTTGACCCCGGATTGGGAGGCTACCCAGGGGGGGGGAAAAAAAACCCCAACCCCCCCCCCAAAAAAGTCCTTTTTTTTTATTTATTTTTTCCCACGCTACGCACCTGGAAGGGATTCCCCGCTTCTCCCTCGAAAGGGTTCCCCCCTCCGTTCTGGCTCATGCCCGCTGTTCTCCCTCGCTGCCTCCCCTCCCTCCGCGGCGGCTCCTCCGAACGGCCGTTCCTTCCGCTCGCCCGCAGAGACGCTCAACGCCGATTGGCCGGCCCGGGGCTTGGCGCGTCACTCGCGAGCTGGGTGGGGATTTCCCATGCGCGTGACGGGGCGCGGAGGGGCGGGGGTCCGCGCGTGACGTCACGGGGGAAAAAAACCAAGGGGGCGTGTCTCTCTCTCACTCGCGCGCGCGCGCGGGGGGCCGACGGGAAATGTAGTCCGCCGCCAGGGATTACGTAACGTCCAGGAACCTGGTTTGATGAGGGTTTAGCAGTGGCGAGGCTTCTTTTGCAGCAAGTTCTGTTTTTAAATGTCTTAAGTTGGAATTTAAATTGAATTCGAATTTTTTAAAAATGTCTTTAAGTTTGAATTTAAATTTAACTCAATTTTTAAAAAATGTCTTAAGTTTAAATATAAATTTAAATTTAATTTTTTTGAAGTCTTAATTTAAATTTAATTTTTCTTAGTCTTAAGTTTTAATTTAAGTTTATTTTTTTAAATGTCTTAATTTAAATTTAACTTAATTTTTTTAAAGTCTTAATTTAAATTTAATTTAATTTTTCTTAGTCTTAAGTTTTAATTTAATTTTTTTTTAAATGTCTTGTTTTAATTTAAATTTTTTAAAATGTCTTAAGTTTTAATTTAATTTAACTTAATTTAGAGAGAGGGAGAGAGAGAGAGAAAGGGAGAAAGAAAGAAAAAATAGGGAGAGGGAGAAAGATAGAAAGGGAGAAAGAAAAATAGGGAGAGGGTGAAAGAGAGGAAAGAACGAAAAATAGGGAGAGGGAGAGAGAGAGAGAGAAAGGGAGAAAGAAAGAAAAATAGGGAGAGGAAGAGAGAGAAAGGAAGAAAGAGAAAGAGAGAGGATAGATTATAGACAGACAGATGATAGACGGACAGGAGAGGGATGGAGAAAGAGAGAGAGAAAGGGAGAAAGAAAGAGAGAGAGAGGATAGATTATAGACAGACAGATGATAGACGGACAGGAGAGGGAGGGAAACAGAGAGAGAGAAAGGGAGAAAGAAAGAAAAAATAGGGAGAGGGAGAAAGATAGAAAGGGAGAAAGAAAAATAGAGAGAGAGAGAGAGAGAAAGAGAGAGAAAGAACGAAAAATAGGGAGAGGAGAGAGAGAGAGAGAAAGGGAGAAAGAAAGAAAATGGGGAGAGGAAGAGAGAGAAAGGAAGAAAGAGAGAGAGAAGGATAGATTATAGACAGACAGATGATAGACGGACAGGGGAGGGAAGGAAACAGAGAGAGAGAAAGGGAGAAAGAAAGAGAGAGAGAGAAGATAGATTATAGACACAGATGATAGACAGACAGGAGAGGGATGGAGAAAGAGAGAGAAAGAGAAAGGGAGAAGAAAAGAGAAAAATAGGGAGAGGGCGAAAGAGAAAGAACGAAGAATAGGGAGAGGGAGAGGGAGAGAGAGAACAGATAGTTCTCGACTTACAACACTTTCATTTAGTGACCGTTCACCGAAGTGACCACGGCACGTTTTTCAGAGTTAACGACTTTTGTAAGCATCCCCGGGATCGCGGGATCATAATTCAGGCGGACGCGTATTGATGACGGTCGCGGTGCCCCCCGGGGGGGCTGTCACATGATCCTCCTTTGCGCCCTGCTGACGAGCCAAGTCAAGTGGGGGGGGGGAACCAGTTTCACTTAACAACCGGGTTACTTATTTAACAAGTGCAATGATTCCCTTAACAACTGTGGCAAGAAAGGTCGTAGAATGGGACTTGGGAAATGTCTCGCTGAGCAACAGAAATTGGGGGCCACGCTGCGGTCGGAAGTCGAGGACTACCTGTACAATGGCCGTAGGGCCGTATCTGGGCAAGGCTGCCCTATTGGGGGGCGGGGGGTGGGCTTCTCAGCAGTCTTCATCCAAAGCCCCCTTTCCTACCAAAATGGCGACGCTCCGGACGTTGTATGAGACGGCGTGGGCCGAAGCAGCCTTGTAGAAAATCTGGCGTTACCCCCTTTATGCAAATATTTTTATTTCCTGCCTCCTCAGAACAAAAAGGGCAACTATCGTTCACATGATACGACATTGGGCCGGGCGTGGGAAAGCCTGCGCTGGGCTCTGGAGGGTCGTTTGCAAGGAGTCGAAATCTATCCCGCCGAAGCTGGGGAGGTTGGCCGCGTTGGGTTGCACGATGCTCAGAAGGTCTCGGGGCAGCTGGCGCTTAACCCCCACGGCTTCCAGCTGCTTTTCGTCCGCCGGGTTCTGAGAGGAGGAGGGAAAGAGAGAAAGAAAGAAAGAAAGAAAGATCAGAAACGTCAATCAGAATAGAGCGGGAAGGGACCTTGGAGGTCTTCTAGTCCAGCCCCGACTGCTCAAGCAGGAGACTTTATACCCTTTCGGACAAAAGGGTGTCCAATCTCTTCTTTAAAAAACCCAGGGATGGGGAAGGAAGGAAAGAAGGAAGGAAGGAAGGAAGGAAGGAAGGAGGAAGGAAGGAAGGAAGGAAGGAAGGAAGGAAGGAAGGAAAGAGATGGATGGGTGGAAGGAAGGAGAAATGGATGGAAAGAAGGAGAGATGGATGGATGGATGGATGGAGGATGGAAGGAAGGAAGGAAGGAAAGAGATGGATGGGTGGAAGGAAGAGAGATGGATGGAAGGAGAGATGGATGAATGGATGGAAGGAAGGAAGGGAGATGGATGGGTGGAAGGAAGGAGAGATGGATGAATGGATGGAAGGTAGGAAGGAAGGAAGGAGATGGATGGGTGGAAGGAAGGAGAAATGGATGGAAGGAAGGAGAGATGGATGAATGGATGGATGGAAGGAAGGAAGGAAGGAAGGAAGGAAGGAAGGAAGGAAGGAAGGAAGGAAGGGGATCGTGTGATCCCGGGACACTGTGACCGTCATAAGTATGAGGTCAGTGGCCAAGCGTCTTGAATTTTGATCATGTGACCATGGGGGAGGCTGCAATGGTCATAAGTGCGAAAAAGTCACTGTTTCCAGCGCAGTTCGGGAAGTTTCTGGCCTCCGGAGCCTGGGAAGGCTGTTTTTCACCCTCCCGGAGGCTCAAGTAAAGCCTGCAGAGCCCGGGGAGGGCAAAAACCCGCCGTGGTGCAGGAAGCTGACTAGGCCACGCCCACCATGGTCACGCCCACCCAGCCACTGGACAGAGGACCCCTTGCTAAAATTTTTGAAGCCCACCCTTGCAAAAAATCTCACCTTTGGGAGGTTGTATTTCTCCCGCAAATGAGCTCTGAGAGAAGCACGCTGAGCTTTCTGCCGGGCAAAGGCTGCGTCTCGTTCGGCCCTGGCGAAGAAGAAGAAGAAGAAGAAGAAGGAGGAGGAGGAGGAGGAGGAGGAGGAGAAGGAGAAGGAGAAGGAGAAGAAGAAGAAGAAGAAGAAGAAGAAGAAGAAGAAGAAGAAGAAGAAGAAGAAGAAGAAGAGGGTTTCAAGAAGAGGGGAAAGGAAACCGCCAAAGTTGTGGCATCGGTCTCTCGTCAGACTCCCACCCCGAACACAAAATCACACGCCCCGAATGCGTAGCCAGGCGCTGTTTCTCCTGGGGGGGGGGGAGACATCCCCCCTCCTTTTTTTTTTTTTCTAAAGAAGGGGGATTTTGTAACCCCAAGAAAAGTCTAAATGGTTTTATTCCCAGCTGTTTCATCGGAAGCAAAGAAAAAAAGCGACTGTGGGAGTTGGCACCGGGAAACTGACTAGATCGAAGACAGTACGCTCTGGGATCGGTGCCACGAAATTGGACTAGAGAGCAAAAAGGTAAGGAGGGGAGGATGAAGGGATACCTATCAATCTATTCCTTCCTTCCTTCCTCACTCTCTATCTGTTTATTATCTTTTCCTTGTGTACCACACTCCCTCTTTTCCCTATCGCCATCTATTTATGTATTTTATATTTTTTTTCTATCTATCTATCTATCTCTTATCTTTTTCCTTGCCTCCTTTTCTTCCTTTCCCTCTCCCTTCCCTATCTCCATCTATTTATTTTTATCTAATTCATTTTATCTATTTATAATCTATTTATTCTATCTAATCTATCCATCTTTTCCTTGCTTTCCTTCCTTTTTCTTCCCTCCCTCTTCTTTTCCTATCTCCATTTTAATATCTACCACTATCTATCCATCCATCCATCCATTTTCCTTTCCTTCCTTTCATTCCACTCTTCTCTATTTCCAACTATTTATTTTTATATTTTATAATTTATCTCTTTTCCTTGATTTCCTTCCTTTTTCTTCCGTCCCTCTTTTCTTTTCCTATCTGCATTTTAATATCTACTGGTATCTCTCTTTCTCTCTTTCTATCTATCATCTCTTTTTTCCCTTTCCTTGCTTCCTTCTCTATCCCCAACTATTTATTTTTATATTTTATAATCTATCTCTTTCCTTGATTTCCTTCCTTTTTCTTCCCTCCCTTTTTTCTTTTCCTATCTCCATTTTAATATCAGTATCTATCATCTATCTATCTATCTATCTATCTATCTATCTATCTATCTATCTATCTATCTATCTATCATCTCTCTCACTCTCTCATCTATCTTTTTTCCTTTCCTTCCTTTCCTTCCTCCCTTCTCTATCTCCAACTATTTATTTTTATATTTTATAATCTATCTCTTTTCCTTTATTTCCTTTTTCCTAACTCCCTTTCCTTTCTCCATCTATTTTATATTCTTTCTATCCTAACCCACCCATCTATATCTATCTATCTTCTATCTATCTATCTATCTATCTATCTATCTATCTATCTATCTATCTATCTATCTATCTATCTATCTATCTATTTCAACTACTTATATAGCTATTTAGCTGTTCAATTTTAAAGAGTTTGTCTGGCTGCCTCCTGTTTACACCAAGGTGTAAACTACGCTTACTTCTGCCTCGGGTGGACCTGCATCTTGACCGGCTCCCAGCTGTGGCTTCTCTGGACGCCCATGTCTTTGTCCTTGGCGGAATCCGTTGAGAAGCCGCAGAGCAGTTCTTTGACCGCGTCCCCAAACCCCGATCTCATGGTAAGGACGGGAGCCGAGTGGAGAAGAGGAGGCTGTTTGGCACCTGGAACTGAAAAGCAACGAAAAAGCAGCTTCGTAAAAAGACGCACCCAAAAACATTTTCTCCCTCCGTCGGAAACCGAGCAAAAGCCAACATCCCAACCGATATTCTCGTTTTCCATAAAAACGATGGGACTCACGGAGGTAGATCTCCCAAGATAGTTCAGCTTCTCTTGGCGTTAGGTAGATCTTCCCTCTCCGGATGTGGCCGAAGGATGATTAAAAGAAAACCTTGCCTGCTCAAGATCTTTTAAGTGGAGATCAGGAGCAATAAGGAGAACAGGTTTTCCTTGATCCATTCGTGCGACAGCTGGCAAGACAGATGGTCCGGTGAGTGGAGCTGCTAGTACGTGCCCTTGTCTGGAGGACAGGTATTCGGGTCTTTCTCGGATAAAACAGCAAAGGTACTAGTCCTCAATGGATTTGGGCCCAAGAGAGCCAGGGCTAAAAGCTGGTCCCAAACTATCTTTTTTTTTTTTAAAAAAAAAGGGGGTTGAGAGCCGGTCTGCAACATCTTGTGGTACCTTAAGGACAAATAAGATTTATCGCAGGTAGGAGGAAGGGAGAGAGTTTGGGTTAAGGCGCGAAGCTTGGAACTAGGAGACTGGGAGTTCTGGACCTGCCTCGGATGACTTTTGGGCCAGCCACTTCCTTTCAGCCCTAAGAAGAAGGGCAATGGCAAACCTTTTTTTCTGAAAAACCTTGCCAAGAAAACTGCAGGGGTTTGTCCAGGCGGTTTCCGAAGATCAGAGACGATTGAAAAGCAAGGAAGAGAGAGAGAGAGAGAAATACAGAGAAAAATTAGATGGATAATAGAGATGGATGGATGGATGGATGGATAGATAGATAGATGGATAATAGGTAATATGTGATATAAAGATTAGATTAGATGGATAATAGATAATATAGATAGATTAGATGGATAATAGATAATATGAGATAGATGGATGGATGGATAGATAGATGAATAATAGATATGTGATATAAAATAGATGGATAATATGTAATAGATGGATGGATGGATAGATGAATAATAGATATGTGATATAGATGGATATGAGATAGATAGATAGATAGATAGATAGATAGATAGATAGATAGATAGATAGATAGATAGATAGATAAGAGATGGATGGATGGATGGATGGATGGATGGATGGATGGATGGATGGATAAGAGATATGTGATATAAAGATAGATTAGATGGATAATAGATATAATGTGATAGAGAGGATAGATGGATAATAGATAATATATGATAGATAGATTAGATGGATAATAGATAATATGAGATAGATGGATGGATGAATGGATAGATGAATAATAGATAATATGTGATATAAAAATAGATGGATAATATGTAATAGATGGATGGACGGATAGATGGATAATAGATATGTGATATAGATTAGATGGATGTGAGATAGATAGCTAGATAGCTAGATAGAGATGGATGGATGGATGAATAATAGATATGTGATATAAAGATAGATTAGATGGATAATAGATAATATGTGATATAGATACGATAGATTAGATGGATAATATAGATATGTGACAGACAGACAGATGCAGAGATACCCACAATTCCTTGACATATAATACTAGAAACATTTATTAAAATAAGGACAAGAGGAAAGGACTAGCACTGCCTGTGTGAAAATTGCTTCACGCTTATCAAGCAAAACTAAAACGACAGCCCTGGGTTTTGCCGTCTAAAGCAACCCTTTGCAGCACAATGACACACAATCCCACCACCACACACACACCGCGAGAGGGATGAAAGGTTTATAGAAGAAGCTGAAGGAGCAGCTGCAGCTGGCAGGATTTGGGTTTTAAGCTCCTTATATCGGGGGGAAGGAAGCTGGGGATATCGTGATCTCAGCTCCCCGTTTTTCTTGAACTGGATTGTCTCCAGCTAAGATGCTCTTCCCTAAAACAGCAATGAAAATAATACAGCAGGGAGGTTACAGGGGGGGAAAAAAATTGACAAATTAGCACCTGGTATATAGTCCCGGACTTACAACGGCAACCGGGACCAGAATTTCGGTCGTCAAGCAAGGCGTTTGTTAAACTGAGTCACTGCTCACTTTCTTTTTTGTTCAGCCAATTTTTAATACGCACTTGATCTTGCTAATTTGCAAAGCTCGAGAAAAATCTAGACGTTCGGGATTCATGCTTTTATATAAAATTTAGAACGGGGAACTTACAATATTTTCTTAGAACGAGAAAAGACAGCCTGCGCCTCCAGATCTAATGCAGGTAGTCCTCGACTTACAATTCATTTAGTGACTGTTCGTATTTATGACGGTCACAGTGCCCCCCACATAAGGTGAGGTCTACCTGTATGGTATTTGTCCCGATCTCAAAAAAAAAAAATGTTTTATAGGTGGCATTTACCACCAGCAAGACTGGAAAAGATGTTTAAAAACATGTCCATTGGAAATGCAATCAGATATCGGGTACCACTATCATATGTGGTGGACATGTCCAAAGGCCAAAAATAATATTGGACAAAAGTACATACATGGTTAGAAAAAAAAAATGGCAAAGCAACATATAGATTTAAAACCAGAAATATTTTTGTTGGGTATTTTAACCAGAAAAGTACAATAAATAGAATACGTATTTAATTTTACGGGTGTTAACAGCAGCGAGAATTGTTTTCACACAACGGTGGAAAAATGAAGAGAAAAATGATGAAAGTGTAATAATAATAATAATAATAAAATATTAGAATGTGCAGAGATGGATAGATTAACACTCAGAATAAAGGAGAAGGAAGAAACAGTATTTTTTAACATGGGACTCATTTTACCTGACAGAAATAGAAGTTAGAAACTTAAAAGTTTAAGAGAATGATTAACGATATAATGAAGATCTATTAATATGGATAAGCAAATACTATTATTATTAATGCTATGGATATTGTTATCATTATATTATTATATTTTTCAAAACTAACTGTATCCAGACAACGCACTGTTCACGTAGCTATTGAGTTTTTGTGCTCACTAAAGAAAAATGCATAAATAAAATATTTTTAAAAATGGTATGCTAAAAAGAAAAAAAAAAGAGAAAAGAGAAAGCAAACGGATAAATTTTTCCTATCCCGAATAGAAGCACACTGGGACAACGAACACAATTGGACACCTGGAATTGTATGTGTGTTGCCAGAAATAATTATAATTATCGGTTGCACGCTCGGCCAGATGTTTAGACTGGATTTGGCATTTTTATCTGCCTCTCGGGTCACCGGGATAGGCAGATGTGGTCGACTGATAGTCTCAGCGCAGGATTTCAGCTGTTCCAAACAAAGCTGCCTTTCGCAATTGACCGATGGGGATTTTGTCAATGCCAACGGTGTTCAATTATGATGATGGTTTGTCGCAAAGTTAGTTAGGGTCACTAACTGTGGTGAGAGCAGAGAGAAAAACGAAGAAACAGGAAGCGTTAACACCCAACACAGAGCGAACTTCATTGGACGTGGCCTTTTTATTTTTCCCCACCAGGACTGTACAAAATTCATATAAAATTCCGGCATTTGAAACGGGGATGCGGTTTGTTCTCCCAAAAAAAATAATCGTCCGACAACCGCAAAATCCACGCAGGGTAGAGAACCGGGCAGAGAGGATGGAGGGGGGGACAGGGATGGTAGCATTATTTACAGAGGGAGGGAAATGGCACAAGATATCCTGTGTGTTTTATATATAATTTATATATACAGAGATATATATATATATATATATTTATATATTTATATTTTATCGAGAGAGATATTTACAGACTATTTCACATATCCACAAACTTTATAAGGTAACAAAAAAGGGAGGGAACCTGGAGGAGAGGAGAACTCAAAAAGGTTTTTTTCTGTGTTCTTCGGATGGTCGGAAAAGCACCAAAAATGGAGAAAAGACGTGCCCGGCCACCACAGGGGCCAAATACGTTTTGAGAGGAGGGGGGTTTCAAGGGTTCAGGAAACGAAGCCAAGAGGCCCGACGGGTCACCGGCTGATGTCCCGGTTCGAATCCCAAGCTTTCGGGGCAGGCTGTAGTTGGAGGACGCTGAAGAAGGGGTGCTTTTGGGCCTCGGAGAGGGTCACCCTTTTGGCCGGCTCGTATTCTAGCATGCCCTCCAGGAGGTCGAAGAGCTGATGGTGTTCTACGGCTTCGGACGCCAGGTATCTCTGGAAAGAGAAGCGGAGAGGAAGGGCTAGGAGGAAGAGTGGGGTGAAGTGGGGCGCCCGTTAAAAAACGATTAAGCCGGTGGGGCTGGAGGAACAGGCTGCTAAGTTTCTCCTTGTTCTGACCTAGGCTTCCTGAGACAGTAAAAATTACTGATTAGTCCCAAAACCCCTCTCTTTATTTGAATGGCTGTAAATTCTGTTCATTCCCAGCTCTGATGAGTCACAAATAGTTTGTAAAGAGTCCGACAGAAGTCTGCCACGGTCCTTCGGGATAAGGCTGATCAACACCCACCTTTATCTCCCTTGACACGCTGCCAAAGGCCTAATTGGCAATTAGCTTTGCAAAGCCACACGGAGGACAGAGTCAAAAAACGGAGCTTCGGAATGTAAACCAACCAGAACGAATAAAGTTGCTTCCTGCAAAGGCTCACCTGCCTTTGCTCCTCCTTTATGTCTTATGGGAGGGGCCAATCATCATTATTATTATTATTATTTATTGAATTTCTATACTGCCCTACTCCCGAAGGACTCAGGGCGGTGAACAGCCATAAAATAAAACACATACATATACAAAATTTAAAATCGAATAAAATGAATTAAATAAATTTGGCTGAATTAATACAATCATCTCCAAGCCTTACTCCCGAGTCGCCCCTTTTTTCCTTAACTGTTCTTGCCTTCTGGCAGCTCTGCGCATGCGCACACTGGGAAGAGGCTCCCCCTGTGCCTTGCTGACGTCAGACTCTGGACATTCCAGAGGCAGCACATAACTCCCCGATGGCCCTGGCTCCCTCTCTGCCTCCGACGCAGAGCCTTCCCCAGACTCCAGGACTGGCTCATGTTCCTCCCCAGCCTCCTCACTGTCCGACTCCGCTGCCAGCTCCGCAGGCTGCCGGCGGACCACAACACTCCTTGGTGGGCGGAAAAAGGCTGGGTGGTTTGTCAGAGAGGGCATTCCTGCGTGGGGTTGGGCTAGAGCAGGGTTCTCCAACCTTGGCAACTTTAATGTCAGCACTTCAACCTGCATTTACTCTAGTGCTGACATAAGAAGGAGAAGAGGGGGCAGCTGGCAAGAGGACGCTTGACATTTCACTTACTTATTTTCCCTGAAGATAATATCCCCTAGGAGACGAGATGGGAGGGGGGACATTCCTGGGAGCTTAAGTAGTAGATATGGGGAGAGTGATTTGGAAGAAGGCCAATGAGACGCAGAGAATTGGGGAACGGAAAGGGAAGGTTTGGGGTCAGGAAGTCAGAGTTGGCTACGCCACGATCGGAGACAGATTGTCGTGCTTAATAAAATGAAAGATTTCTTCAAAGACTATCTGTTTGGAAATGCAATTTATTTTATTTGAGACGACATCGAAACCTGACATTTAAGACTTGTGGACTTCAACTCCCAGAACTCCCAGAACTCAACTCTGGGAGTTGAAGTCCACAAGTCTTAAAGTTGCCAAGGTTGGAGACCTCTGAGCTAGAGGACCTCTAAGGTCCCTCCCGCTTCTGTGATTTTAAATAGCTGGAGGAGGAGGAGGAGGAGGAGGCATGGACAATGGCAAATGACAGATAATCCGCTCGTTTAGTGACCGACGGTGCTGAAGTAAGTGACTTAGGGCCGTTTTTCATACTGACAGCGTCCCCATTGGTTACGAGATCATAATCTGGACGCTCGGCAACTGGCATGTTATTTATCACAGGATGGATGTATTATTACGGTTTCCTGAACGAATCAAAACTTAGTTGGGCTGGTGGGACACAGGGACAGGGCCCCGGCTTACCCGGAGCGGCTTGCAGTTTTCGCGCACATAGCGCCCCGCAGAGGTATTCTCATCCCAGTCTAAATGTCCGTGGTAGAAATATTTCTGCTTCCTAAACCGGAGGGTGGGGGGGAGGTGGGAGACAGAAAAATGTCACATGAGTGGTACAGACGTTTCATTTCCCAGCTAAGTAATATCATCAGTGGGAGTGGGAGGAGGAGGAGGAGGAGGAGGAGGAGGAGGAGAAAGACTGTGAGGCCTTGGTGCTCTCTGAGCTTGGTGGTTTTCTTGCAGACGTTTCATTTCCCAGCTAAGTAATATCAGAGGGGAGGAGGAGGAGGAGGAGGAGGAGGAGGAGGAGAAAGACTGTGAGGTCCTTGGTGCTCTCTGAGCTTGGTGGTTTTCTCGGAGACATTTCATTTCCCAGCTAAGTAATATCGGTGCTAGAAGAGAGTGAAGGTTTGCCGATGAAGTCACCTGGTTGTGTCATGAAACATCTGCAAACCCCCAGCCCCAAAGCTCAGAGAGAACCAAGGACCCCACAATTCTCCTCCTCCTCCTCCTTCTTCTAGCACTGATGATGTTAGCTAGCTGGGTCATGAAACCTCTGCAATAAAACCACTCAGAGAGCACCAAGGATCCCTCAGTTCTTCTCCTCCCCTTCCTCTTCCTCTTCCCTTCCTCCTCCCAAACGCCACCTCCTTCTAGCACTGATGATGTTAGCTAGTTGAGTCATGAAATCTCTGCAAGAAAACCACTAAGCTCAGAAAGCATCAATGACCCCCCCCCCACACACACACACAGTTCAACCCTGAGCTACGAAGATTCCCTTTTAACGGTCTCGACTTCTGCTAATCCAAAGCCGCTCGAGTTCCAAGCCTTTTCGACCTTCCCTGAGGATCGTACCCCCTCCTTCCTCTGCCCCCAACACTCTTTACCTTGTTTTTCGGATCATCCGGGATGGGATGGGGCCTAGGATACGCTCCATCATAGCCAGGTGTTCGCGATTGTCATGGGTCTACAAGGGAGGGGGAGAAAAAAGTTTTAGTTCGTGGAAAAAAAAAAAAAAAAAGACCTGGAACGGCCTGATTTTGGTAGGGCTCACCCCTTCCTTCCTGCCTCCAATGGCTCCTACCTGCCAGACTCACCTGGAACAAGGTGAAGCCCATATAATACTCGAAGATAATACAGCCGACGCTCCAAACGTCACAAGGTTGAGTCCAGCCAAGTTCTGTTGCAGCAAAAAAAAAAAAAAGAAGGAGTTTCAGAGTCTGCATTTGTGGTATTCAGAGTCCGACCCGGAGCTGGGAAGAGCACCGAGGTATAATTACTGACCTAAAATGACCTCGGGTGCCCGGTAGTGCCGCGTGGAGACGATGGTGCTGTGATGCTCGTGATCGAAAGTGGCACTGCCGAAATCCACCACCCGAATGGCTGTGTTTTTGATGCTGCGCTCGTCACGTTTCTGGGAAGGGAGGGGGAGGAGAGGGGAAGGGACAGGGGTGGGATTGAAAAATTTTAGTGACCGGCTCCCTGCCCGGTTGCTGGGTGGACGTGGCCATGGGGACGTGGCCTGCTCCTGCACCACGCGGGGGAGTGGGGGGGGGGACTTTTTTGCCCTCCCCAGGCTCTGAAGGCTTTTCTTGAGCCTCCAGGAGGGAGAAAATGGCCTCCCCCGGGCTCTGGAGGCCGGAAACGTGCCCATTTCTGGACTTCCGGTAGGCCTGTTTTTCGCCCTCCCCAGGCCCCAGAGGCTTTTCTTGAGCCTCCGGGAGGGTGAAAATGGCCTTCCTGGATTCCAGAGGCCTTCTGGACTTCTGGTAGGCCCATTTTTCGCCCTCCCAGAGCCTCCGCGTTGGCCCTGTACTTAACTCGCATCCAAAACTGGCCGTGTGGAGACTCCTGGGAGGGGAGGGTTGGGGTGGGCGGGGCCAACCAGTCCTTGCAACTACCGGTTCGGCGAACCAGATGTAACATTAGCATCCGGTTCGCAAGAACCGGTCAGAACTGGCTGAATCCCACCCCTGGGGAAGGAAAAGTTGGAGTTAGCAGCAAGGACAATGTTCTCCCACCTTCATGCCGAACCCAAAGTAGCCCTGAAGGGGAGGGAGGTCATACCAGAGGAGGAGACATTCCCGGTGACACAAGCTCACCTTTTCCAGGTTGTAGGTCATCTCGTAGTCCGAATTGACGAACAGGATGTTCTCCGGCTTGAGGTCTGTATGGGTGAGCTTGTTCTCGTGTAGAACTGGGAGGGAGAGAAAGTGTAAGAGAGAGGGAGGGAAGGAAGAAAGGAGGTGGAGAGAAAGAATGGAGGGGGAATGGAGAAGAAAGATACAAAGATCGGATGGACGGATGGACAGAAGGAAGGAAGGAGAGAGGAAGGTTGATAGACACAGACAGACAAAGATAGGGAAGGGAGGGAAGGAGGGAAGACGAAGTGGAGAGAGAAAATGGAGAGGAAATGGAGAGGAAAGATACAAAGATTGGAAGGAAGGAAGGGAGGGAAGATTGATACATAGATACAGACAGATGGAGATAGGGAAGGGAGGGAGGGAAGAAAGGAAGTGGAGAGAAAGAATGGAAGGAAATGGAAAGATACAAAGATTGGATGGATTGAGCGATAGAAGGGAGGGAGGGAGGGATTGGTAGACACAAAAACAGACAGATGGTGATAGGGGAGGGAGGGAAGAAAGGAAGGAAGGAAAAGATTGATAGGGATAGATGGATGATCATTTAGATTGACAGGTAGGTAGGTAGATGAGTGGATGGGTGGAGGTAGAGAAAGGAGGAAGACCCACATGTTTGCATGCACCCTTCTACATTCAAAGTCACTGCCAGCTAAGGCGTCGTAAATCCTTATTCGAATTCAAAACCAATTGGAATGACCCCCTCCCTCCCTCCCTCCCTTCTTTCAGCCCTCTGCTCCCCCCTTCCCACCCCGGACACTCACATCTGACCGCCTGGCACACTTGGTAGGCCATGTGCCTGATCTGGTGGAGCGGGTAGGGCAGGTAGTTGTTATCCTTCAGGAAGTCGAACGTGCTGAGGCCCAGGAGCTCAAAAGAGATGCACATGTGTCCGTGATAGTCGAACCAGTCGTACATCCGGACGCAGAGGCTGAAAGGGGGAAACCGAGGCAAAGAGGAGGAGGAGGAGGAGGGGTTGGGAAGAGGGAAATGAACTTTTCAAAAATTGACTCGGCACCCGAGAAAGGGCAGGTTAGTCTGGACTGAAACATGGAGCACAGCGATGGGTGAATGTGAAGGAAGCAATGACTGCGGCCAATAAAAATAGGGAAAGGGGGGGAGCAATCATCCATAAGGACCCTAAACGTGGGAAGACAGATTGCAGAGGATCTGGAGATGCCACAAATTAATTAATTAATTAAGATTTATTTGTTTGTTTGTTTGTTTTGCTGCCTATTTGCTCATGGCAACTCAAGGCAGCTTACAGAATATAAAAACCACATTTAAAAACAGTAAAATTAATTTTAAAAAAATCAAATAAATTGATGTAATAAAATCAATTAATGTAATTGATTTAGGCCCCCTCTCACCCAGGAGGGCGCCTAAATCCAACTTACTTTTGGTTGTTGGGATCTTTCTCGTTAATTTTCTCCAGCACGTTGATCTCCAAGCGAGCGGCTTCTTTGTATTTCTCGACGTTCTTGATGATTTTGAGCGCCACTCGGGTGTTGCCCCTGGGGAGGGGAGGGGGGGAACCATGGAGAAGGTCAGAAATGGGATTGAGGTCCCAGGAAAGCAACCACGGCAGGCGGACTGACCCAGCCCTGCTTGTGAAATGCACTTTCTCTGCTCTGTTCTGCTCTGGCGTAATAAAGGCCAAGACAGACCAGCTTGGCACATTGATGCTTAACTGTAGTTTGCTTGTCTTAAGGCCTTGGCTGGCTGGGGGATTCTGGGAGTTGAAGTTCAGGCCTCTTAAAGTTGCTCGGGTTTGAGAAACACTGGATCTATCTATCTACCTACCTACCTATCTTCCATCATCTTATCTCTTACCTATCTATCTATCTATCTATCTATCTATCTATCTATCTATCTATCTACCTTATCTCTTATCTATTCTATATTTATCTTCCATTATCTACCTTTTTCTTATCTATGATCCATCATCTATCATCCATTATCTATCTACCTTATATCTTATCCATCTACCTATATCTATCTATTCTATATCTATCTTCTACCTTATATCTTATCTATGATCCATCATCTATCATCCATTATCTACCTTATATCTTATCTCTTATCCATCTACCTATATCTATCTATCTATCTATCTATATCTATCTATTCTATATCTATCTTCTACCTTATCTATGATCCATCATCTACCTATCTATCATCCATTATCTACCTTATATCTTATCCATTTAGCTATATCTATCCATCTATATATCTACTGTATCTATCTATATCTACCTATCTATATCTATCATCTATCCTTATATCTTATCTATATCAATCTTTATCTATTATCTCTCTATCATCTTATCCATCCATCTCCAATCTGTTTCTATTTCTTCTGTATCTATCATTTATTTCGAACTATGTCTGTTATCTTCTCTATATCTCCCATCCATCCATCCAATCTCTCCCCCCCCCCCCCCCCCCCCCCCCCCCCCGTCTGTCGGTCTAACTCTATCTATCTCTCCATCTTGGATCTGTGGCGGCCATCCAGTTTAGGAGGAAAATCTGGAGCCAGCTGGACTTCCACCCTGGCTGGGGAGGGAAACACCAGTCAACTTTCCAGCAGCCTGAGCCAGTTTCTCCTCACCTGCGATGGTCGATGCACTGCACCACGCGGCCGAAGGTACCTTCCCCGAGAGTAGTGATGATCTCATCTGCAGAGGAAAGGAGACAGAAGAGGTTTGGGGGCAGGGGAGGGGAGAAGAGGAGAGGGTGAGAGGCGGGGCCCGGCATCTGAGGGCCAAACAACAAAACATCACCACCAAAAAAAATAAAATAAAAATAAAAGAGACTATCTTGGCCAGTCCCTAACGCTTCGGATATCAATACAGAAAGAAATTAAATGGGAGGGAGGGAGGGAAGGATGGAAGGATAGAGGCAAAAAGGGAGGAAAGAAAAAAAAAAGGAGGGGGGAAAAAAAAGACTGCGGTTTGGTCTTTTATTTAAAAAAAAAAAACACTGCAAAGAGAGAAAGGAAATAAAACAACAGAACAAACGAGGAAAAGGGAGGAAGCTAAGAACAATTCTGTAACTGCGACGGGAGCTTAACTAGAGACGGGATTAATGTTACGATTTCGCAGTACATCTCTCTTGCAGACAGTCGCCGACCCGATAGATGAGGTGGCCTTCCACGTCGACTTCCACGTTCTTGGCTCTCCTCCTGCTGCCGGGACGACTCTGCTGCCGGGGAGGCCCCCCCAAAAACGCAGCGGCGGCGGCGGTGGTGGGGCGGAGAGGGGAGGGTTTTCATTCATTCATTCATTGTTTTCACCCGGGCGGCGAAGGGGGGAAGCCAGCCAAGTGGACACGGTGGGCCCGTGGCGGATATGGAGGTGGTGGTGGTGGTGGTGGCGGGACGAATTCCAGGCCAAGTTCATAACGGCACAGAGGCGTATAGGTATAAACAATATACAACACACGTGAACAATAAGAGGGGTGGCAAGGGAGGAAAAGCAATGCTCAACACACACACACACACGCAAACACACGCTCTTGCACGCCCGCCGGCTCAGGGTGGTCTTTGCAGGTGGTCCTCGACTTACGACCACAATGGAGCTTTCCCCCCCCCAAAGCGAGATGTTTATTAAGTGATCTTCGCCCCCCCTTCTTTTTTTACGCCCTTCCTTGCCACTGCTGTTAAGCTAGTCACATGGTCGTTAAGCGAATCTGCCTTCCCCCCATGGCTTGTAAGGAAGTCGCAAAAGGGAAATCACGCGACCCGGGAGGCTGCGACCATCGTTAACTGTGAGTCAAGCGTCCGATGTAAATCGCGTGACCGTGGGGGAATGCTTCCATGGTCGTTAAGCGTGGAAAAGTGCGGTCATTAAGTCCCTTTTTTTCCCCAGGGCGGTTGTGACTTTGAACGGTGGCTAAAATGAACGGTCGTAAGTCGAGGACTACCTGTATATATATATATATATATAAAATAAATAAATAAACAGGAATCATCCATCAAAGTTAGGGAGAGCGTCTTCTGCAAACGGGGTGCTGCCCCTGAGAAGAGGACCCCCGTAGGAAACACATATCAAGTAAAGGTCAGCGACGGAATGACAGAAAAAAGGCCCCCAGCCACTCCTCCTCCTTTCCCAGGAACGGCATTATTATTATTATTATTATTATTATTATTATTATTATTATTATTATATTTTATTTCTATACCGCCCTTCTCCTGCGGGACTCGGGGCGGTGTACAGCCAAGATAAAAACATGGCATATAAAAATTTAAAAACAATTTAAAAAACAATTAAATAATTTCGGCCCAAGATATTAAAAACAACCCAATTAAAACCAATTAAATACTTTCTAGTATTGGGGAGGGGGACAGTGGTGGGTTTAAAAAATTTTTTTGCTACTGGTTCGGTGGGCGTGGCTAGGTGGGGGGGCATGTGACTGAGTGGGCGTGGCCAATTTGACAGCACTCACACCCACTCAGTCACATGACACACACCCTCACCTAGCCACGCCCAGAGGAAAAAGTAGGAAAATTTGGGGAATTTCCACCTATCTATCTCCGCTCTCCCTTCGCCAGTCGTCCCCGTTTCCCCTCTTTTAGCGGCCCCGGCCCTAGCCACGCTTCCTCCCCCGCCACCTCTTCTTTGTTCAGGCTGCTTATCTTCCGCGGTGGCTGGTCCAGAGTCCGGAAGGCAAGCTGACAGGAGTTTTCAGCGGCCCCCCAGCCAGCCGTCGCTGCTGGAAAGCGGCTGGCAAAGAAGCCTCTTTGAGAGCTGCTTTGCCGCAGGCCGCTGAAAAGAACCAAAGTTCGCGGAAACAGCTGCTGCCATCGTCATGTTCTTCGCGCATGCGCATCCCATTGGACTTGCAAGGCAATGGGATGTGCGTGTGCGAAGAACATGGGGGCGGGGCGAGCGAGCGGTGACCGGAGGGATCGGTTTGGGGGCGTGGCCAGCTGGCCGCCGCTACCGCTTCGGCGACCTTGGCCAAATTTCCGCCAAAGGTTTGCACGAACCATCTGAATACCACCTCTAGACGGTGGAGATATATCCCAGTTCAAGCTACAATTTTCCAGCTTGCCTGTTCTAGAAGCAATACGGATGGGATTATTATATCTTCTCTGCTCCCCGATTTTCTGAACAGCCAGCCCAGATTTTGACGCTGGCTGGGGGTGAATTGATTTCCTAAATTCTCTTAAATTGGGTGCGGTTACACGACGCCTCCCTTAACAACTGCAAATTGGTGGTAAATCGAGGACTGTGTGTATAGGCAGAAGACGGTTTCTAGACCAACGTTCCACACACACTAGGAAAACCAAAAATAAAAAAATTACAAAGATTTCGAAGATTTCACGAGATTTTTGAAACTTTCAGACCCGTTTTTGAAGGCAGAGAATTTTATGAAATGAATAGATGTTATCAACCATCATCCCACTGTTGTAGTCTGCTCAGAAATTTATCGATCTATCCATCCACCCATCCGATTTATACGTAAATAAGTCCGGACATAAATAAGTTTAATAAATTGGCCCATAACTCCAGGGGAAAAGTTTGGGGTTTTTTTAAATGCTTTTGAAAAGGTTAATAGGGTTGGACAAGATTAGCTTTGCTGGGGGGGTGGAGAAGGAGGCAGCTTGATCATTTCAAAGAGCTACCACTGAAAAGATTCTGATCAGAAATGTTTTGAAGTTCTATAAAATAAATATATAGAAATAATATTCTGGATTATATGAATGCCTTTAAAAGCTTAGTATCGTGCAGCAGAAACTTTAGACAAGGAAATTCCTTAAAATCACATTTTCCCCCCCAAGCTTCCACTACTGCCAGTCCCAGAAAAAAATGTAAATTTCCAAGCAACTCAAAACCAACATGAATGTTCCTAGGACAGACTCGGATCTCATTCCGTGATGCCGATTTCCCACGAATCCAGAATGCCATTCCTAAGCGAATTCCAGAGATCTGGAGAAGGCCGAAGAGATTCTGACACTGCCTGGATCAAAGGATCGGAAGCAGCAGAGATTACTCACCGAGGAGGAACGGCTGAAGGAGCGGCTTCCGTGCCGTCTCCGTTGCCGTTTCCGCCGATTGCTCTTGCAGTTCCGGTAACTGCCGTCCCGGGAACGTTGGTACTCATCCGAAGGGTGGTATTCGGGTTCGTAGTAGGCATCGCCGCCCCGGTCGCTGTAGCCGTCTCGCCGGTAATCCTCCAGGTATCGCCGGTCATAGGCACGTCGGTCGGACGAGTGATCGTCGTAACTGAGAGGAAGAGCGAAATTAAAGCGATCCAGGAAACCGACTTATGTTGTTGTTGATCATTTAATGACACCATAATCCTTTGCAGGGTGGAGTTGGGGCAACTGAATGGAGATGTGATCCCTTTGACAAGCACAGTCACTGGGGAAGCCAGATTCACCCAACCACCGTATGACTAACTTTAACTGCAGTGGTTCGCTTAATAACTGTGGCAGAAAGGTTGTAAAATGAAGCAAAACTCACTCAGCAACTCCCTCGGTTAGCAATGGAAATGTTGGGCTCGGCTGTGGTTGTAAGTCGAGGACTAACTGCATTGAAGCCTTCTCCTCGCAGGCTCCGTTTTGGGGACTCACTCACCTCCGGGATCGGACGTGATAGCTGTCCTCTCTGTGACGCCATCGCTCACTGCTACTCGAGTGGGAACGACTCCGTCGCCGCTTGTGTTTACGGCTTCGGTAACACTCGCGGTAGCTGCCCCGGCTGCTGCGTTCCGAAGACAGAAACCTCCGAGAACGAGGCATCTGGCAAGGGGAGGAAAAGAATCAGAAGACCAACCGGAGAGGTTGAACCTTAAAAGTGGTAAGAAACAGCCAAAAAACAACAAACAAACAAACAAACATGTACGCAACCACCCTGCAAGTAGGCCACTTGGAAGGAAAAAGGAAGCTGGGCAGTTAAAAGGAAGAAACAGCTGCGATCACACATATTGCTCCTAGAAGCACGAAGCCGAAAACACCAGCCTGAAGATGACGAATGAGACTACTAGATTATTTATTTATGTATTTATTTATTTATTACATGTATTTATTATGCCGCCATTCTCCCGAAGGACTCAAGGCGGCGAACACAAGTTAAGAAACAAGTACAATAAAATCATAATTTAATCCAAATAATTAATTAGTAGTAAATAATAAAGCCCGGAATCAGTCTCAACCTATTTGTTTGAAAAGCCAAGTCTTCAAGTCTTATATTATTTATTATATATATGTATTATATATTATACACTTACACATATATATTTTATATATATTATTATATATTATACACTTACACATATTATACAATTACACGGGAAGAAACCCGAGATATTAACTGTACGTATACACACACACACACACACACACAAATATATATGTAGGTCTTTGGTTATTCGGGTTTTCTCCCACGTAAAATTGGAGGAGTCTTGGCAACATTTCGACGAAGTCTCATTCGTCATATTCAGGCTGGTGTTCTCGGCTTCATGCTTCTAGGAGCAATGTGTGTGATCTCAGCTGTTTCTTCCTTTTAACTCCCACTAGCAGTTCAAAGGAAGAAACAGCTGCGATCACACACATTGCTCCTAGAAGCCCGAAGCCGAAAACACCAGCCTGAAGATGACGAATGAGACTACTAGATTATATATTATACACTTACACATATATATTTTATATATATTATTATATATTATACACTTACACATATTATACAATTACACGGGAAGAAACCCGAGATATTAACTGTACCACACACACACACATATGTAGGTCTTTGGTTATTCGGGTTTTCTCCCGCGTAAAATTGGAAGTGTCTTGACAACGTTTCGACGAAGTCTCAAGACACTCAAGACACAAGACAACTGTAGGTCTTTGGTTATTCGGGTTTTCTCCCGTGTAAAATTGGAGGTTTCTTGGCAACATTTCGACGAAGTCTCATTCGTCATCTTCAGGCTGGTGTTTTCGGCTTCGTGCTTCTAGGAGCAATGTGAGATCGCAGCTGTTTCTTCCTTTGAACTGCTAGTGGGAGTTAAAAGGAAGAAACAGCTGCGATCACGAAGCCGAAGGCACCAGCCTGAAGACGACGAATGAGACTACTAGATTATATATTATACACTTACACATATTATACAATTACACGGGAAGAAACCCAAGATATTAACTGTACACACACACACATATATAATATATATTACATTATATATAATATAATTATATATTACATCCCTCTCCCGCCCTCAATTTATTTATTTATATATATATATTTTATTAAAAAAATACATTTTATTTTATTTTTTAAATTATTTATTCATTTATTAAATACATTTTAACTCTAGGCGGCTGAATGGGGCCCAAGGACGGCCTACCTGGCAGGGCTGTTGTGCAGCCATCGCCCCGGGAGGCGCTTTTTTTCTTTGTTTTTTCCTTTTTAAGAGGCCGGGTCGGGACGGAGGCCTCCCCGGCTGCTCCGCCGGCCTCTCCCGGGCCTGTTTCGGGGGTCCCGAAGAGCCTCCGAGGCCTCCCCCGGCCCCGCCGCCTCGCCTCGCCTCACCTTCTTGGCCGTCAGCCCCGTGCGCTTGTCCCACAGGAAGTCCGTCTTGGCGGCGGCTCGTCCTTTCCCCGCCCGGCCGGCCGCCCGTCCGTCGTCGTCGCTTCGCCTCAGCGTCCCCGCCGCCGCCCGGGGTCGCTCTGAGGAAAGCTCGAGGCTGAGGGGGGGAGGGGGAGGGAGAAACGGGAGGAGAGGCTTTACCGCGCATGCGCCGCTACGCACGGACGGCGTCACAAAGCGCCCTGAAACGTCCCCTTTTTTTTTGCGCGCCCCAGGATCGTCGAAAGTGACAGAGAGGACGACGGTCCCGGTGGGGGGTGGAGGGGTGGGGAAAATCAACTTTGCGCCGGCAGCTTCCGGGTGCGCTTGGCAAGAAATGGTCTTCCTCCAATGAATTAGAATAGAAAAGAAAAAAGAAAGAAGAAAAAAGAAAAGAAAAGAAAAGAAAAGAAAAGAAAGGAAAGGAAAGGAAAGGAAAGGAAAGGAAAGGAAAGGAAAGAAAAGAGTAATAGAATATAGGAAATGAATAGAATAGAATAGAATAGAATAGAATAGAGTAATGGAATGAAAGAATGGAATAGAATAGAATAGAATAGAATGGAATGGAATGGAATGGAATAGAATAGAATGGAATAGAATAGAATAGAATGGAATGGAATGGAATGGAATGGAATGGAATGGAATGGAATAGAAGTAGAGTGGAGTGGACTAGAGCAGAGTAAAGTAGAATATAGAAATAGAATATAGGAAATAGGAAATGAATAGAATAGAAAGACTAGAGTAGAGTAGAATAGAATAGGAAATAGTAATAGGAAATAGGAAATGAATAGAATAGAATGGAATGGAATGGAATGGAATAGAATAGAATGGAATAGAATAGAATAGAATGGAATGGAATGGAATGGAATGGAATGGAATGGAATAGAAGTAGAGTGGAGTAGAGCAGAGCAGAGTAAAGTAGAATATAGAAATAGAATATAGGAAATAGGAAATGAATAGAATAGAAAGACTAGAGTAGAGTAGAATAGAATAGGAAATAGTAATAGGAAATAGGAAATGAATAGAATAGAGTAGAGTAGAGTAGAGTAGAGTAGAGTAGAATAGGAAATCGTAATAGGAAATTGGAATGGAATGGAATGGAATGGAACGGAATAGAAGTAGAATAGAGCAGAGCAGAGTAAAGTAGAATATAGAAATAGAATATAGGAAATAGGAAATGAATAGAATAGAATAGAAAGAGTAGAGTAGAATAGAATAGAATAGAATATAAGTAGAAGTAGAGTAGAGTAGAATAGAATAGGAAATCGTAATAGGAAATAGGAAATGAATAGAATAGAATAGAATAGAATAGAATAGAATAGAATAGAATAGAATAGAATAGAATAGAATAGGAGTAGAGTAGAGTAGAGTAGAGTAGAATATAGGAATAGAATATAGGAAATAGGAAATGAATAGAATAGAATAGAACAGAACAGAACAGAATTCTTTATTGGCCAAGTGTGACTGGACACACAAGGAATTAGTCTTAGGTGTATATGCTCTCAGTGTACATAAAAAGACGATACATTCTTCAAGAATCATAAGGTACAACACTTAAAGCATTGAGAGCATACGCACCAAGACAAATTCCTTGTGTGTCCAATCACACTTGGCCAATAATATGCCATTTTCTCTCTATTTTGGGGGTGGGGGGGAAGAGAGGGGGGGCAATAACAGAAAAATATTTATAGCTCAGGGTTCATTTTTCATTTCATTTTATTTGATTTATAGGGTTCAAATGAGACAGTTGGTTTGCTTATAAATATTATAAATATTAATACTGAATTAAATATTTTGTTTACAATTTGGGTTGAGCTCCTTATATTTGGCCCACGTCCTTTAGGGTTCTTGCCCTTGAAAGCTAAAATATAAATTTTACGGGGGGGGAAAAATCCACAACGACAACTAAAAGCGAAACCACTTGTCTGTTTTACTTAAAAACAAACACACATGCGCAGTAGAGGCAGGACCGAGCTGGAGCACGTGACCTCCGCCTCGGCTCTCTCGCTCTAGCGATTGAATGGAGGGGCGGGGAAAATTCACCGCCACGCCCCCCCTCGAGCCACGCCCCTTCCCAGGCACCACGTTCCACGTGGGGAAAAAAAATATATTAACAAAAGCAACTTTCCCACGCCTGGAAGGTAATACAATTAGCAACTCCTGCGGGACAGATCCTTAATTTCCATCAAAAAGATATTACTATTTACTTATTAATTTATGTAAGTTTGATCAATTAAACCGATTTATTTTCTAAATGTAATAAATAAGGAATAAAATCGGTCATTGTGACTGGTAAGAAGATTATGCCTCCTTCAGGATAGATAGATAGATAGATAGATAGATAGATAGATAGATAGATAGAT